TATTGGTGTGGACTCAGATCCTCTTCACTAACATTTGGGGCTCGTAACCTCTACGGCGTACGTGTTCTTATCACGTCTGCGCACTTATTACTGATAACACTGACCGGCCCGAAGGGTGTGTCAGGGCAAGTCGACGCTTAATTATGTATACAAGGATATACCTCAAACACTGTTTAAATAAGACAAACGTAAATTAATGTATTTATGTATATAGATTAGCAGTTTAAGAGAACTACAATCACCTTTTGTGGTTGATTGTTCATTAAATCACTGAACTATCAGATTAGAGAGTTAGAGAGTTAGAGAGTGTTAGAGAGTTAGATCTGTTAGAGAGTCTAACAGATCTCTAACTTTGTCTATAGACAATAGAAGAGAGAGAAGGGAACTATGAGGAGAAGCACCAAGCCAATAAGACTATATAGCAACTGGAAGGGGTCAGGATAAGGATTTGGGATGGGACGAGGCGAAAGAATGGTACCTAACCACTTGGACGGTCGGGGATTAAACGCCAACCTGCATGAAGCGAGACCGTCGCTCTACTGTCCATTCCAAGTAGTTGGGGTGGAGGACAGAAGAAAAAATATATATGTTGATTAGCAATGCAAATATATGGCTACATCTTTGGAAGAAAATAATTAAAATAAACTAAGTTTCAGCAAGTCACTGTCAAATATCTATTGTAGGACTGTGGATACTACACACCAAATATGTTAAAATATTGTGGCACTAATTGCGATAATGGCACTAAGATAAAAGGCAACACTAACTACAATAATTATCAACGCCAAGTTAATAGGCAGCACTACGACAATGAACAATATTGTGTATGATAAGCATTAATTCACCTTATTTAATATTACCGGAGAGGCATAGCATCTCATCCTAATTATCATGGAGGAGGTATAGCATCTGTCTTTAATTAACATGGGAGAGGTATAGCACCTCATCTAATTATCCTGGGAGAGGCACGGGGCAACATGACCTTGAACACACACAGAATGCACCCTATCTTAAATGCATTAAAATATTCCTGGCGTGTTCACTAGTAACTCACCCTGTGAACCCTTTGTTTTTTAGGTAAACCATTTACAGAGAGGTTTCTTTGAGGGGTAGATTATACTTATTAAATAAAGTGTAATTATCCTGGAAATAATGAATTTTATAAAAACATAAGACATCGTGTTTTTTATGAGATGTCTCGTAAGAATTCTGCATTGGCATTTATACTGAGTTTTTAGAATAATACAGGAGATTGCTTAAGGCCTTTTGGCCCATGCGAAGCAGTTCCTATTCAGGAAACAGGGATATAAACACCGAGGTGGGCTTATCCTCTTAGTGTATATACTCCGAGTTTACTTTAGTCATGGACAATGTTTAGGACTAGGTATACTTGCTTGATAGTCAGTAAGCTGTTGTGGGGGGCTGTAATAATCCTCCACGAGTCCATAGTGCTGAAGCATAATAACATCAAATAAATCGAGCTGCTATCTGAACCCCACCAAACCTCTTCATATATACGTCTAACCTTCGCGTCAAACAGTCCTGTAATCCAACTTCTGTTGTATTACCAGGTATATTGTTTCACGTAAACCCCCCCCCCCTCACCTTTCCCTCTCCGGAATTTTATGATTTAAACTTTTGTAATGTGCATCCATTGTCTCGTATTCTGTGTTATGTTCAATGTTTTTTAATATATTATTAATATGTCTTTGTTAAAACCTATCATCCACCTCACCCCTAACTCTTCGCCTTTCTAGAGAATGTACATTATGCTTTCTGAATCACTCTTCGTAAACAAGATTTTAAGATTTTTACCACCAAAAACAAGTTGCCATCTGAAATATTGTTTCCAGGGAGTGATTAGACATCGAACTTGGTATAAGGTCATTGTGGGGACTTATTATGCATTTTCGTGTCCGCTTGGGAAACTTGTACATCTTTCCTCGATCATAGCAGCTTAGTATACATTTATTAAACAGTTTACGAGCTTGGAAACATTCAGAAGTCGTCCTCGGCCCACAATTTTTTATTATTGTTATAGGCAGTCTCGTAACGCTTCGGAGCTTATAAACTGTTTAATAAATGAGTGAGGAAAGATCTACGTGTCTCGTAAGTAGGCATTTAAGGGTGCCATGAATCTTGATGTGTCTGTAAGGAGGCACTTATCATAAACACTAGCTTAGGGACAACGTATTCCTCACTCTATACAGGAACCACAAGTGTCTGAGCAATGAACAATACAACAATATTCCGTACATCTGGAACCATTCATCAAACATCTGGAATATCAAACATCAAACATCTCGCCACATGAATCTGGAACAAAACCCCATATGTCAAAAGCAATTCCAGATACATCTGGAGCCATGTCCCAAACATCTGGAACCATGCACCATACATTTGGAACTATATTCCGTACATCTGGACCATACCCCATACGACTGGAACCATACATCAAACATCAGCAGTCTTGTCATCATCAGTAATGGAGGAATGTGTCTCGAAACATCGACTTTCTTCTGTTTACCATTGTTACTATAGGAGGTACATATTAATTAGCCATTTTAGCACATTATCTCATCTGCAATACAAGTCTTTTTTGGCGATTATACTTAAATTAACGTATACTTTTATTTTTCTTAAGCTCTTGTGTCATGTACGAGCAAGAATAATACAAGACATTTACTTTCCTTGCTCGCTAAGTCACTTTTGTAGGTGATGGGGTTTTGCTGCCACACTAATGTGCTGGTCATTCATCCTACGAACTTTCTTCTGATATAAACTAATTGCTTGTAGAGTAATTCAATACGTACGTGTAGAACCACACCTTGTAAGGTTGGAACTTTCCCATGCATCTGTAACCATGTTTTGTGTCTGGAGGCAGATCCATACGTCTGGAACCCTACTCCATATGATTGAGGCTATACTCCATACACCTGGATCCATACCCGGGACGTCTGGAATTGTCCCATATGATGACATTAATTTTGTTTTGTTTTCCTTATAAGGGTTTCAATGCGTCCATAAACACGATGAATGAAGTTGGAAGTAATTGGTCCAAACTTATTGGGCATGGTTCCAGACTTATGAGGCATGGTTCCAGACTTATGGACGTGGTTCCAGACTTACGAGAAACCTTGTATAATTTACCTCAGGGACTTGTAGCTCTTGGCGATGTTTTCATATAATATTATGACCTTTGGTGAAGTCAAAATATGCGCCGTTGGTATTGTTTACTAAAACAATGTTTTCCTTGACAAGGTTGCAGAGCTCTGCCTGCCACTCTCGGGGGGAGCCGAGGCAAGACAATGACAACACACATATATGTGCATGTTGCATGCAATCTGAGGGTCATCATCGTCACTAAATCAACAGTAACACATATGTTGATCAGAAATTTTACATAGATGAAGTCTTTGCTTAAAAATCCTTGGGGTCCTGATCATGAACCTATGTGGTGGTGGATGTGGTGTGGTATCATTTTGATACCACACACAGGATTGGTATGGGGTCCATGACTTTCTGCCACCACACACAGGATGGGTATGGGGTCCATAACTTTCTGCCACCACACACAGGATGGGTATGGGGTCCATAACTTTCTGCCACCACACACAGGATGGGTATCGGGGCCATAGTATATTAATTAATCTAACCTCTGAAGAGTCAGTATTGCGCTTGATGTTAAACTTAAGGCCTATCAACCGCGGGAGGGCTATTAGGGCCACCACAGTAAAGAACTAACCAACAACTACTATAATTTTTTTCAGCCCCCTGAACATAATCCAGAATTAAAGTAAGCAGTCAATTCTTATACCCCGAGAAGCAAGATACACCTATCAGTGTATATACCCGATATATACACTGATATATACATATTTAAGACCTATACACCTCAGGTAAATAAATAAGGCCATGACAATTATACTAATCAACCAGCAGTTGCATATAATTCAGAACTAAAGTATACCCCACGGTATGTGAGGTATATTTGTATATCAATACACACAAAAAAGCGGGGTATACCTTTCACTTTCGTACATCTATCACACACCAAAAAGTTTCCGCAAATTTGTACTACGTCACTGTTGCGTTGCTCTCACCAAAATGCTGTTGGTGTTCACGTTGACAACAAACGCCCACAAGAAGGCTTTTAGACAAAGATTGTATCGTTATTCGAACAAGTTTGTGACACAATACAAAAAATCTGATAATCAGTATGGCCAACCATTTCACTATGCCGACATTTTCTGTGTTCATATGATAAACATATATAATAGTTAATCTTGACAACAAATGGCATAAAAACATGGTGACTTTAGCTAGACAAAATCCAGGAATCCAGGACATACACTAAACATGTTTTGGACTAAGTATTTTCCAAGTCAGTTTTTTCTGATAAATGACTATTAATTATTCTGGTTCCATAAACGAATTCTGATCAATATGTATGTCCTCATATCGTGTTACAATGAACAAAACAAGGAAAATTATGGATAAGAGCTATATGGCAGTCATCCAACACGTGACTTCAGTCATTTTCCTTCCAGGAAGCCTGTGATTAACGTCAGGGAACGTCTCGAGGATAAAACGCAGACAATCGTCGCACCTTGCGACCGCCGGCATCCACCTGAGATTACAAATACTAGCGAGGAGCCGCGCGCAGGTCCAGTCACTCTCTAGTATTCACGTATCTTGTGTTATAACGAAGTCTTCCGTCTCTCACTATATCTAAGAACATAAGGATCTCGTTATACAAAGTGAGAACCTTGCTATTGAAGAAGCATCAATCTTCACAGCTCGAATGTGAGAAGTGATGCAAACAAATATTTAATTATATATATATATATATATATATATATATATATATATATATATATATATATATATATATATATATATATATATATATATATATATATATATATATTGACCAAATTAAATATGATGCATTTAGATGCTCCGAGAGCAGTGTGAAAGCTTGAACGAGCGTCCAGGTGTTCACCTTTGACCATCTGGCGTCACAGTTGTCGAGTGCTAGGGAAAGCTTGGTTGGCCGGTGGAAGTGATTAACATACGCACCTAGCAATCCAGCAGTTCCGAGCTCGATTCTCGATAGAAAAGCGGTGGAAGCTTCTGAATTAAAGTCATATCAGTTGCTGATAGTACACCATTATTCCCACAACGCTTAACTAACATCACAAACTGTATCACAAATAACTAAGATAAAGGAGGTGTAAATACGTAGCGAGCACATCCATTGCTGTATTATTTTTATCATATATACCTCACATTTCCCTGCAAACATTCATGAAGGTACGGCGATACCAGACCGAGGTAAGGGGTATTAGACGGAGGTAGGGGATAGCAGGGAAATATGTGAGAGATACTAAGGGCAGGTAGGGGTTACCTGCATAATGCCCAGCCGAGGTACGGTATACCAGGAAAAGGCCAGAGGCGGGCAGGAAATACCAGGGAGATAGGATGTAAAGGGCACCAGGAGTCGTAGAGGTCATCAAGTGCATTGTTTTACATTTTGCGAAGTGTAGATGCAAAAGAGTTGTAGAAATGAGAGATATGACTCAGGCGAGTAGCTACGCTTGCTGTCTTTCACGCATGACAAGTGTGAAAGTGTTCGTTAGGTATTACATGGGCATTTCAAGTGTTGATGTGCATAAATAAATATTTAAGATCAATCATATATGCATTCTACGATGCTTTTGCGCATTGTTTTGTTGTGCTATTAATAAGTATAGTGTGATATTTTCTGAGTTAATATTGATTCTTTGCTTGGGTATTTTGTGGCCAGTCTCTTAGGCCACCAGCTGTAGGTGTGGGTACTAGGCCACCAGCTGTAGGTGTGGGTACTAGGCCACCAGCTGTAGGTGTGGGTACTAGGCCACCAGCTGTAGGAGTGGGTCTTGAGAGGCCAGCTGTCGGAGAGGGTCTTGGCCCACCAGCTGTGATGGGGTGGGCCTTGGGCCACAAGCTGTAGAAGTAGGGTCTGGGCCAACAGTCTGTGGGGGAGTGGGTCTTGTCCCTACCAGCTGTAGAAATGGATCTTGGCTCATTAACGGGTGGAATGGGTTGTTCCCTCTGAGTGAAACAACTCTGGCATTGGGTACTTAAGCATTCAGATCGATCCCCACACTCTGGTGCCTCGCCGAGTTTACGATTTGACACACACGTCAAATTTTAAGTGGTTTTCTTAACCTAAGCGTACGAGCCCAGACAACCCTCCACCTGCCATCTGGATGTCGACGCTCATTAACCTGAACAAGCGTACATTTTATGATGGTTTTAAGTAAAATAAATGGCAATATTTTTGTGTTGGTGTGGGAAATAGAGAGACGGGAAGAAGCTAGTTGCTAGCTTTATTACAGCTGGTGAGGACGATGGTGGTGATGATGGTGGTGGTGATGATGGTGGTGGTGGTGATGCAGAAGTTGGCGGTGATCATGGTAATGGTGAGGGTGATGATATTGGTGGTGGTGGTGGTTGTGAGGTCATGGCGAAGATGAGGGTGGTGAGGATGGTTGTGGTGGTCGTAGTGATGATTGTGGTGGTGGCAGTGCAAGCAGTAAATGTGGCGGTGGGTGGCTTAACTGTACCTCGAAACTCCTGCCTGGTTGTCCTTGGAAATCCAGGCGCTCAGGCATGCGCACGAACACACACACACACACAAACACACACACACACACACACACACACACACACACACACACACACACACACACACACAAACACACACACACACACACACACACACACACACACACACACACACACACACACACACACATACACACACACCTCACACCTCATACTCACCTCAATTAGGTGAGTACACACACACACACACACACACACACACACACACACACACACACACACACACACACACACACACACACACACACACACACACATGGTATGTAGAGGCCTGATAGCTGAATGGACAGCACTCTGGACTTGTAAACCTAGAGTCCTGGTTCGATCCCCGGTGATGGCAGAAACAAAATAGGCAGAGTTTCTTTCACCCTGATGCCCCTGTTACCTAGCAGTAAATAGGTACCTGGGAGTTAGACACCTGCTAGGGGCTGCTTCCTTGGAATGTGCGCGTGTGTTAGAGAGTAATGTATGTAATATATATAATAGAGAAAAAATAGATTGCTTAAAAAGCGGGGTCCAAGAGCTAATAGCTTGATTCTGCAGGCACAAATAGTAAAAACACACTAAACATAACTCTGGAGGTTCATATATATAGGATACCATCAGCAGCATACTCTACACTAGCAAAAGTCAGAACATCATTCAGGAACCTAAATAAGGAGGCATTTAGTTCGTTGCACACCGAGTACTTGATACCAGTGTTAAAGTATACCTCCCAGTCGAAGAACCCCATCTAAAAAAAACACACATAAGGAAACTCGAAAAGGTTCAGAAATTTGCAACAAGGCTCGTCCCAGAATGGCAAGGGACGGGGGGCATGAAGTATGAAAGAATTAAACCTGACGATGCCATAAAGAGGAGAGATATAGAGGAGACATGATAGAGACGTATAAAGTACTTAGGGGGATTGACCGAGTGGAAAAAGAAGTAATGTTCACAATGTCAATAGAACAAGAGGGCATGAAGCGTGCGATTCAGATAACAAGTTTTCTTTTAATGTAAGATTAGTGGGTAAAATCACAGGAACAGGTTGTAGAAGCCTTTTTGAAGGTATATATTACAGGAAAATTGGTCAGGGGGTCATTTCATTAGACAACCGACGGCTAGAAAGGCAGGGTCCAGGAGCTAAAACTCAATCCTGCAGCCACAAATAGACGAGTGCACACACACTTGCACACACGCGCGCGCACTCACGCGTTTGTACACTCATAAAAGCCTTCTCAAACTCATCCACTTTTACGACACCAACTCACGCTGTTGTAAATTCTTGTGCAGGAAAGTGGAACGGCGGGCGAGGTGCCCTCAGTATCTGGTGTTTGGCAACACTGCTTCACAAAATAACAGGAATATCCACTACTTAACTGAAATTCCATCAGATGTTATACGTTATAACCCTCCAAACATACACCGAAACTACGACGTTGGTACAATGTTCGAACAAGTTTTAACACCTCCTAACCAGTTATAACAACTAATATACCAAGTTGTAACAACGTTCTAATACCTCAAAAACATGTTAATTAATTAATTTAAGCCAAGATGTAACAACTTTATTACAAGTTGTAAGAAACGGAAAATAGAGACAGTTACGGTTTGTGTTTCCAGGGAACCTCGCAACACACCTAATGGATAAGTGTGCCTCGCTTATATACTTATGATTCAATGTTATGTTTGTTATAGGTTAGAGAGGCCTTCTTAAAGTGATTCTCGTGGTTAGATATGTCACAAAGGAGCGGGTATACGTTCGTCAGATTGTTTGTGGCAAGTTGTTATCCTTGTTAGATGGTACGAGTTAGACTTCCGTACTCTCACCTGTCGGGAAAGGCAGAGAGGATAATTATCATTAACAAATAGCATTAACAATTAAAATGCCAAATTTCAACACAGACGTTGTAGTTTAGCGTGAGTGGAATCATTCACAACACAGATAATTAAACAGTGAAATTTCACATGTAACCAATTTTATGCGTCTACTTGAACTGGTAGACTAATTGGACTTGGACTTACAGCGGCGGCCTCGCTTTTTGCAGGCCAGCGTTCGATCCCCGGTGGTACAAGTCGTTGGGCACGATTCCTTCGCTCCGTCTTGCTCTAGCTCCTTGTTCTCATATCCCTTCCACACCTTATATAGTCTTACAGACATGTCACTTTCTCTTCATAATTACCATACCTGATTGCCAGTGAGAAACTAATTTAGTAATTAACGACTGAGATGCTTTTGTGTATTAGTAGTTTTATTAAATATACGTACACTGTTACATCTGTATCAAGCTCTTCTGTTTATTTTTTAAATCAAAATATTGTAATTTTTAATAATAATACAACAACGATCACAAAAACACTGATCTAAGTATGTGGAAAAACCACACGTGAAAAATAGATCAATGCTAAACGCGTTTTCGGCTTAATTCGTCTTCATCAGAGCAAAGTAGAAATGAAAGAGTAGAAAAAGGAAATAATAATAATATATTTTCTCCTTGTCTCCAGCTTGGGAACTCCAGCCATGGTCCACGATGATAAGACCAACGCCTACGACAATCAGGCCTTTGAGAGGAGAGATGGTTCCATAGATCTCCAAGGTGAGAATATGTTCCTTGTCTGTAGCTGTATTTTATTTGAAGTGTTTTGGCTATTCCTTGTTTTCGTTCTCTGTCTCTCTCTATGTATCTGTCTGTCTGTCTGTCTGTCTGTCTGTCTCTCTCTCTCTCTCTCTCTCTCTCTCTCTCTCTCTCTCTCTCTCTCTCTCTCTCTCTCTCTCTCTCTCTCTCTCTCTCTCTCTCTCTCTCTCTCTCTCTCTCTATTTTCTCTCTCAAAGAGAAATTAAGGGAATCTCAAAAGGAACTATCTTTTAACTTTCTCCTTTCCTCTCCTCAAGTAACCCTCATCTTTCCCTTCTTCTTTCTCACCTTATCTCTGTCAGTCTCTTTTTGATTGACTTTCTGTCTTTTTACGTATCTGCTTGTCTATGTCTTGTTATTGTCTGTTTCTCTCTGCCTGTTTGTCTTTGTACGACTCTCTTTCTTTCTCATTATGTCTCTACTTCATTCGGTCTGTCTCGGACTACATCTGCCCTTATCTTTTAGCTGACTATGTCTCTGTATCTCTCTCTCTCTCTCTTTTATACAAATAATAATAATAATAATAATAATAATAATAATAATAATAATAATATAGTAGCTTCATTTTGCAATTTATGCCATCCAGGTATTTTTTCAGTACTAATATAGACAGGACTGTCGAATATTAAGTTGAGAATCTAATTTATAATCGGTTTGTCCTTGCTGGGATGATGCCCTGCCCCTACCATAAATCCTAGTTGGGATGATAATCTGCCACATCCATAAATCTTAGCAGGAATGATACCTACCACATCCATAAATCCTAGCTGGGATGATGCCCTGTCACAGCCATGAATCTTAGCTGGGATGATACCTAATCACAGCCATGAATACTTCCTGGGATGATTACCCCGAGAAGATTGTCCTCTAATTACGAAGAGTGGTGGCGACCCACGGTAAAAGCTGCATCTGTATTCGGAGCGGAATTATAATCAAATCTTCTATCCGTCCGGAGAATATCAACAAGATCAGCATCGTGCCTAGTATTTAACATTACTTTTTGATACCGGGAATGTTATTCAAGCTAGAATAGGAAGAATTCCAAGCCTCGATCACCTCACTCGCTTTTAAGAGATGACGAGGCTGAGAGGCTGAAACAGCCTTCTTCACCTCAACTCTGTTGAGGTGACCTTAGACATCTTGGAGAACTTTGGTAACCATTGGCAAATGTTTCCTAGTTTGTTTGCGGACGTTTTATTAGACGGTTCATTAGATGTAGCACTTGTGCTGAATACTAAACTCTCTGGGCAGTGTGCTGGGAGTTGCGTCGAATCATAGTGAGACACTTGGTGAATGTTTATATATATATATATATATATATATATATATATATATATATATATATATATATATATATATATATATATATATATATATATAGATAGATAGATAGATAGATATTCAATAGTCTTTTGTCGCAGATATAAAAAATGGCTCACAACAGTCTTTAAACCCAGCAATTTACATCTGCGTTGAACCAGGTACATAGTTTCTAACCACGCACCCTCCATACCAATCCACTGGATGACAGCTGATCTATCATAACACTGCTCTATCACAGAACTATTTTATCATAACACTGCTCTATCACAGAACTATTTTATCATAATACTGCTCTACTATTACACTGCTCAATCATAACACTACTTTACCCCTGCTCTATCATAAGTGCACATCCTTCCTTACCTGGTTTCTCCAGCATCTCTCTTCCTCTCCCTCTTAATAAACAAGCTCCCTTCTCCTCCCTTATCAGTTACGGGCTCACCATAGCCCGTGCTACATAGACACTTCGTTCTGAGTAGCTAAATCTAAAACAACATCCTCCCTCACGAACAAGCTTCATCTTCCATTCCATCCTCATAAACACGCTCCCCTTTCCTGTCCTCCCTCATAACTCCGTCATCCTCTCTATCCAAATAAGAAACCCCAACTCCTCTCCTCATAAACAAACCCACTCCTCTTCTCCTCCCTCATGAACACGCTCTCCTGCTCACTCGATCCCCCACCTCCAACATTCTCATATAACTGTGCTGCTTCTCGCCGCCTGGTGAACGCTCCAGCCTGCACGAAGGCCGCGACGGGAAATCCCAGGGAGGGGTTTGTAGGAGGAAAATTCTTGGAGGCCACCGTGGTGTCACCTGGAGAGTGGGTGGCGCTGTATCCGCCTGAGTTGGTTTTCACAGGAGCGCATGGTGTAGGTTTACACTGGATCGTATGGTGTAGGTTTACATTGGAACGTATGGTGTAGGTTTACACTGGATCCTGGATCGTATGGTGTAGGTTTTTACTGGAACATATGGTGTAGGTTTACACTGGATTGTATGGTGTAGGTCTTTACTGGATCGTATGGTGTAGGTTTACACTGGATCGTATGGTGTAGGTTTACATTGGAACGTATGGTGTAGGTTTACACTGGATCGTATGGTGTAGGTTTATACTGGATCGTATGGTGTAGGTTTACACTTGATCGTATGGTGTAGGTTTATACAGGAACGTATGGTATAGGTTTACACTGGATCGTATGGTGTAGGTTTACACTGGATCGTATGGTGTAGGTTTACACTGGATCGTATGGTGTAGGTTTACACTGGATCGTATGGTGTAGGTTTACACTGGATCGTATGGTGTAGGTTTACACAGGAACGCATGGTGTAGATTTACATAGGCATGCATGGTATAGGTTTCCACAGGAACTCCCGGTATAAGTTTAAATAAAAAACTGTGCAATATCCGCAAATTTGTTGGCCTCATAAAACGTATTAATGAATTGATCTGTCTCGTAGTACAGGTGGGTTCGTTCTCCGCTCACAAATGGGGGATCCCAGGTTCGATTTCACGGCCGGGATAGAAATGGCTGAGTACATTTCTCTTTTTCGCGTAATGCCTCTGTTCACCTAGCAGTAAATAGGTACCCCAGGAGTTAAACCACTGTTGTGGGTTGCAGCCTGAGGAGGGTCAGTAGTTCGTCATTAGGGATAGGGGGAGGACCTCGATATAAGCCTAAAGTTCGTATATACACTCACACATACACACAGGCTTCCTGTCCCCCAACTAAAAACGAATTAGACCACATCCGACAAAAATTCCATTGTTTCACTGACCACTTCAGTAAGAAGAATTCATTTACTGTTTACTTGTAAAACGTTTTCACTCTGTCGAGTTAACAGATGCACTCCCGGTAAAATGTAGCCCACTAATATACGACTAAACCAATATAAGTGCACATATTACCTTATTAGCAAATTAGTTAATGAACTCGTAATATGATACAACACAGAGTTAATAGGTAAAATAATATATATTAGCAAATAAAAACATTACACTTGTTTTATTCAAAGTCTTGCGTGTGTTTTTTTAACAAATATTGTCACAATTGATTATCAATCAGAAAGTGGCACAAGTGCCAGAACAGGAGGAAAACGTCAAATCAAATCACATGTTAATCATTCATCAAAGAGAACAAATAATCAAAACATAGGCTTGATTATATATAAAGAATTAATTACAAATTATGGTGAATAAAATGTTGCAAGATGGCACAATTGCATATTTATTCGCATAATTCAATGCGATTTCACTATGAATACTATGAATTAACGTTACCAACATTGAATCAACGTTGAATTACCGTTACACCTGAATATTACGCCCACTGGGTAACGTGTCTTCCAACGAAAAGTCATCTTTTCCACACAATAGTGAGATTTGAACCTATTATATCTGGCCGTACTAATAGTATACTTTCAGCTAATTTATCCAATCAGAGGCAAAAAACGAACTGTGAATTTCCACTTCCTCTGCTAGTTAGATCCCCTTCGTCATCACTGTCGGTGGTCGCTGGCACAGGCTACAATACGTCGACAGGCTGAAGGAAGGCCGTGTTCGTACACTAATATCTACACTTACGTGGAACTTTCCCTGCTTATTATATGATATATATTTACCCTTCTCTGCGACATGAAGTCTCTGGTCCGGTTCACCTTCTCGTAGCAAGACTGTTGCATTCCTTTATCTAGTTGTAGATTTCGACGCAATCAGCCATCTGTGTTCTTTATATTTCTCGAGAAGAGAGAGAGAGAGAGAGAGAGAGAGAGAGAGAGAGAGAGAGAGAGAGAGAGAGAGAGTCTCTCACCACACTGAATGGAGTCGACTTAAAGATAATTGCTTTGTCAGGGTCTCTTTTTTGAAGTAACGTTTAGTGCCGGTTCAACTGGTGCTCCAACCTTGCGAGACTCACCCTGTCTCTAACTGAGCTTGTCTGCCTCTAATAGAATATCTGAACCCGTTATGGGAGCTTGGTCGTTGGTAAACTAACCCCGCCAACTTGAAGTCCTTACTCGAACATATGTGTCTGTACTGAATAACATTTAAAAACAAAAAATAAGGGGGCAAGCTCAGCTCAGCTCAGGGGATTAGAGAGGGTACCAATGGTTCTCTGAAAATTTCCTTATAATAAACAGTGTACACAACGAAATCACAATAACGTGGCTTACCAATAAGGAAATCATTCTCGTTGTCCAGGGATAAGGCACACGCCTGGAAGTACACAGGTCGATGGTTCGATCCGAAATACTTTCTCAGTGAAAAGTGTGATATGATTTCCTGTTGTTGATGGCAGCAAGCTGGTTAGAATGCAAGGCTTATCCAAATTCCAATAGGTTCCAAATGACCTTTCAACAGCCTGCTAGGTGAAGAAAGGCATCGGGAATAAGGAAATGTGCCCATACGTCTCATCCTGCCCGTGAGTCAAACTCGAGAATCTTTCGTTGTGAGTCGACTGTTTTAACCATTGAGATGCAGAACAATCTCACGTGTTGTTCTCTGTAAATCATTCAGTGTGAACTGAACTTACCACACGTTCCTTGCTAGTGTCGTCGTCGTCCTCTCTCTCTCTCTCTCTCTCTCTCTCTCTCTCTCTCTCTCTCTCTCTCTCTCTCTCTCTCTCTCTCTCTCTCTCTCTCTCTCTCTCTCTCTCTCTCTGACACTTCAGTTAGATCAGTTAATATGGGGTGATTGTTGGACCTCCCGAGGGGTGATTGTGATGGACCTCCCAATGGGTGATTGACGTCCAGCACCACAATATAAGCTATTTTAAGGCCAACCCAATATACACACTACTGCGTGAGTTACACCCAAGCAGTATGTCATTCATTATATTGATGACTCTTACTGTCTTTGAGAGTTGAACGGTGAGTTTCTGGCACTCGCCTTCCACTGATAGTGAGTCACTTGCACTCACCTTACATTGATAGTGAATCACTGGCACTCATCTGCCATTGATAGTGAATCGCTGGCACTCATCTGCCATTGATAGTGAATCGCTGGCACTCATCTGCCATTGATAGTGAATCCCTGGCACTCATCTTTTATTTAATCTATCTATCTCACGAGAGGATAAAAATACACAAAGTTTTTATGTCACTTTCTTATAAAAACAAAAACGAGCGAAACCTAAATTATCATTTCCGACAAAGCATACACGAAAAGAATGATTTAATGTTTACACAATGACCCAGTACACACTTAATCATCACTTTGCACTATTTCACGTAGTACAACACTAAATACAATGCAACGCACGACCAATTACACAGAAAGACATCAACAACGTTGCGCTGCTCAAGGTCATAAGATATGTTTGTAAACACTACGCATCTTACTGGCACATTATGAATAGGTTGCAATCATCACTCAATGGCGTAACACATAATTTATGTTACAAGTAATACTCTGGTTGGGACACTTTATTATAAACACTAATTAATTAATTGCCTTGTCACGTGGAAAGTGAATTCACTCACACCAAAACTAATACTTTATTATTAGTTTGTGTTGATACAAGTGTGGAAGCCTTCCTCCTGCTATTTTTAATGTATGCAAATTTAACTACGAGGAACTTGTTCGTCATTCTCATACAAAGTAAACAGTTTACCTCACTTTCGAATAATGGTCTCGGTGTGGTGTTAGAGCGATCAACCTTTGGCAGGTTATTAGTTAATTAAGACCACCACAATAGCCTACTGACTATCCAGCAAGTATACCAAAGTCGTGGATATAGTAGTGGACTAAAATAAGCTGTCAGTGCACACAGACCGTGAAATAGGGAATACCTATTTGGGTATATACTCGTGAATGAATGACGCAACAATTTACATGTCGGCCGGATGGAGTCGTGTTGCCAGTTCCTACAACGGTTGACTTCTGGGGCGTTTCCCACGAAGTCTGTCAATTACGTCACTAACGAGACTCGTGCTGTTGTGTTGGAGGAGGACGTCATATTTGACGGTTACCTTCAGTAACTAACCCGAGTCCACACGTTCTCCGATGTTCATGTGGGAAGTTAGAGAGAAGCTAAAGAAAATTTTCCACTTCTGAAAATACTAATTTGAGATGCCACATTGATGTTCCATATTATTACGATAATTTGGATACCATACAATTGAACCATAAACATTACCAGTGAGGTTTTCTTACTACAAGACGTGTGTGTGTGTGTGTGTGTGTGTGTGTGTGTGTGTGTGTGTGTGTGTGTGTGTGTGTGTGTGTGTGTGTGTGTGCTCCCCCAGAACGCTGGTTCGAGACCCCGGATCTGCTCCAAAGATTTTCTCATCGGGGTTTTCCCTCGATGATACATCATTCAAGTCCTCATAATCAAACGCCAGAGTCCATTCCGTGCACCCGCCAAACCCCCCCCCCCCCCTTGTTTATGAATGAAAAACGGTTTATACACGACTCACAACTGATGACATACGAACACTTTAGGAACAAGTGCTTCGCTCACGTCCTCTGTTCGAACCACAACTCTATAAATGTTTCACCCATGTAATTCAAATACAAATAATCGCCAACAGAACCTAAACACCTAACCTAACCCCATGCCTAACTGTACATATAATTTTTATGTATAAGAATATTAATTTATATATGAGAATAAACCAATTTTTAACACACAGTATGTTAAAGTTTATGAATGCGTCTGGGGAGGACGCCCCCTGTTTTAAGCAGCCTAGTGTGAGGACGGGTTGTCTGGGGAGGACGCCCGCTGCTTTAAACAGCCTAGAGTGAGAACAGGTTGCTCGATGTTACAACATTCCAAGCTGTGACTGCCAAGTTGTCACGTTGTCCGCTGCTTCGTGCATCACTATCTTCCCACTGAAAGAGGCAATGGTGTAATTTTCAGTGTCAGGATCTTTGACAAGTGTCCAATGTCGACACGAGGAATTTGATGTAGTTCTGGTCCACATGGCTGTACCCCATGAATGCTGGTATTCAGTTGAGAGCCCATCTGGCTGTCAGATTGGCTACTTCTTCTCTCAATGATATTTTTAACCAACTACAGTGATCCACGTCGCACCTGTCTCCTACGGGTTGCAACAGATCACATGATTCAAAAATATAACTATTCAGAAAGCCTAGAAAGGTGACATAATTGTTAGACCTAATAAAATTAAGTTTAAAAACATTAATGCGCAGCATCCGATACATCAAATTTCATCCCAGCATAAAGCATATTGTCTCTAAAAATTAAACATGATATGAAGGGCTGAGATATAACTCTCAACGGAGTTAGAATAAGCAATCAAGGTCAGTTGCCTCGTCACAGCAGTGAGGGAGGAGGCTGGTGAGGACGGTACTCACCTGCTTGTGCTTGCAGGGGTTGAGCTCTGGCTCTTTGGTCCCCTCCCTCAACGGTACGTGAGGGTGGGTGAGTGTCGCTAGACTGCTGTATCCTGCCCCATTTAAACTGCCTATTTACGTGTAGCTGGGCTGATCCTGCAAATAAATAATGGGCATTTGTTTAAGTGATTGATGTAAGTCACATATTGTGTACGCTTTCTGGTGTGTGAATTACTTGTGTAAGATGTTTCATCGTATAAGTATCGGGAACCAAGTGTTTGGCAGGCCGGTTACTTCAAGCTAGAGAGACGATATCATATCATTATAATTGCCTGAGATCATGTGTGTGTGATTAATATTATGGGATGTGAAACACTGCTGACAACATCCACAAGGAAAGCTGTTTTATCACTCAGAGACGCAGTTAAGAGCAGTAAATCCTGTCTCACGCAAGCCTGACAAAATTTCATGATTAGGCACAAGAAATCAGAGAGGAGAGTGGATAGCAAGAATGCTTAATTCTGTATTTTCTGGAAGTTAATGTCATCCACCCGGCATGAGACAAATTCACAAGCCTAAAAAAACAGTCAAGAGTGACAGGGAAGTGTGGAGTCGAGGCACAAGGAAAATTAACAATATTATTTTATTTGGGGTCATCTGTTTGTCAAATATATTAAGGTTATAATGTTTTTTAATAAAGCAAATGCTCGTCCTTCTGTTCCTTCACCAGAGCCTCCAGCGAAGGGAAAGAATGGAGAGCTGGTGGGGGCGGTGGTCTCCGGTGTCAAGGTGCTCACCCCCGAGGAGAAAAGGGAGAAGATCTCCATAATAAAGAACATCATTATCATCTCCATCGCCTTCATGTTCCTCTTCACCAGCTACAACTCTATGGCCAACCTCCAGTCCTCCATCAACAAGTGAGTATACCTTACCTGGCCGCAGCTGGCACTCCATGGCCGCAGGTGGCACTCAATGGCCACAGGTGGGACTCCATGGTCATAGGTGGCACTCCATGGCCACAGGTGGCACTCCATGGCCACAGGTGGCACTTAATGGCCACAGGTGGCACTCCATGGCCACAGGTGGCACTCCATGGCCACAGGTGGCACTCCATGGTCACAGAAGATACTTCTTGGTCATAGATTGTACTCCATCGCTTCATATTAGCAAGTGTCGCATATGGCAGGATATGCAATTTGTGAACTTTGAAGATCTCACAAGTCAGCCATAACTCTATAAATTTTGTTTTAACAAATTTAGAAAAGACTATGGAGAGGAACTCCATAATTAACTCTCATGTGAAAGTTATAGAGTAATATTCTTACGTTAGCGTCCAGGTAATGTGCTTCCCACCCAGGAAAGGTTTATAGATTCCTAGCGAATTTGGCTAGAGCATTTCCGTTCCTAATATAGTAATTGATAAGTTCCATGTCACTGTTTTCATTCCTTTTGCAATGATAACGAGATATTTTGACTTTCTATTAGATAGCCAATAATTCGTGTTTTTCTGAGTAACTTGCCACCGTCGTCCCCCAAGTAGTAATAGCTTTATAGATTTCATTTCTGCAATTTAAGCTTCATATCTTGTACATGAAAAAATTCAGTTCATGAGCATCCGCAAGTGGGCGCTTGCCTCTAGTATGAAATTTATAATGTTACCGAAGTAGATGTTGGACAGGTGCGGTGCGGTCGCAATTATTCCCTGGGGCATACTGGCCACCATGGTATGTTCGTGGGAAGACTTATTGTTATTATTATTAGTAGTAGTTTATTATTATTATTATTATTCCAGAGTGGATGGGACGGCTGCACTGTCAACCTTGTACGGAGCTCTGGTGGTCTCCTGTTGCTTCCTGCCCTCGTGGTTCATCAAGACGCTCAAGGTCAAGTACACTATGGCCGTGTGCATGCTCTGCTACTCTACCTACATCGCCGCACAATTCTACCCGCAGATCTATACGTTAGTGCCCACGGCCGTCATCCTGGGCCTGGGAGCGGCGCCCATGTGGTCGGCCAAATGCACCTACCTCACCAAGGTGAGTCTTCGATGGTATAGCGAGAGGGACTTCTCTCCCTTAATGTGTGTTCCATGATGAAGGTCACTTTGAGGATGATGCGTTCTTGACTATCTTTTTTTTTTCCCCCGGGCCAGGTCGGAGCGAGGTACGCGGAGCTCGTGGGAGATGATAAAGAGGTCATCATCACTCGCTTCTTCGGCGTCTTCTTCCTCTTCTTCCAGTCGACGCAGGTCTGGGGCAACCTCATCTCCTCCTCCAGTAGGTAGTTTGTTACGAGTTCCATAAGAGGAGACTCGTTTTTGTTGAATATCAATATTGCTCTGAAATATATACTTTCAAGGAAGCTTTCTGACACAATCATTGTATGCTGGCAGGCTTTTTCATCTAATTCCTCAATCACCACTCGCTTGATCACTGAACAGCAGCGTACCAGTTGTATATCCCGTAAATCCCAGAGTGCCAGTTGTGTTTCCCGTGAATCCCATAAAGCCAGTTGTATGTCCCGTGAATCCTGGACAGCCATTTCTATGCCCTGTGAATCCCAGAGAGCCAGTTGTATTTTCCGTAACTCCAGAGAGCCAGTTGTATGTCCAGGGAGCTAGTTGTATAACCCTCTTCCTCCCTTCCACAGTTCTGTCGGTGGGGATTAATTCAACGGAAAAGAGCGTGGAAGACCTGGAAAAGTGCGGGTTCAACTTTTGCCCCTGGGATTCCTCGGGCAACAGCAGCAACAGCACCGACTCTGACGAGCCGCCGAAGTGGCAGATTTACACCATGGCCTCCGTCTACCTCGTATTCTCTCTCCTCTCCTCTGTCATTATCATCCTCTTCGTCGACCCCCTTAGCACGTAGGTATTTCGGGTCGTTGAATATTCAGGTGCTAGACCTTTGGACAGGTAGAGCATTCAATTGATAGCTGTGTCCAACCACTTGGGCTGGACGATAGAGCGACGGTCTCGCTTTTTGTAGGTCGGCGTTCAATCCCCAACCGTCCAAGTGATTGGCTCCATGCCCCCCCCCCCATCTCATCCCAAATCCTTATCCTGATCCCTTCCCAGTGCTATAAAGGTCGTAATGGCTTGGGGACTTTCTCCTGATAGTTCCCTTCAATTGATAGTTTTATCTTTGATGCTTTGTAAATAGTCATCTAGAAGATAAATAATTTAAAGTTGCTATAAGATAACTCACAGGCGTCTTTACGATACCGACTTGAAACGATTCCACCTTCGCAGGTTCGTAGGGAAGGAGACGTACGACGCCACGGCTGACAAGACAGGCGTACAGCTGTTAGTGGCGACCTTCAACCACATGCGTCACCCATACCAATTGCTTGTCATCCCGCTCACAATCTGGTCCGGCGTTGAGCAGGCCTTCCTCGGAGCTGATTATACCGCTGTAAGTATCCTGCCGGTGCACTTACACGCTACTATACATATTTTAGAACACATACGCTAGCACACACACATATGGAGGACTCCTGGTTCAACCTTGACGACGAGTGGACGTCTGGACTCCTGCTCCGCTGGGGGCCGCCGGAAAACGTGATGCGATTTTACCCTATGGGTCTCGATACGGCCGTCAAGCGTTCCTCTTCAACGGTCCGGATTGTTATAACGCCTGGCGCACTTCTCGCCTGGAGTCACAAGGAAGTTGATTAATTTGTTCCGTTTTCTGGCTGCTTTCTCGGGCGGAGAGACGGTGTCCAGCGGCGGCTTGGCCGGGAGGGACCAGAAGATGGTGGGTCTTGGAAGACGATTTTAGAAAAAAAATAAAGAGCTACACCTCGCTCTCCCGTGGACACTGATAAGTACTCACACGCTAGATGTGAGTAGAAAGCTCAGTAGCAGAGTGGCCTAGGACTGAAAAACAAAAACTACGGCACGTGATACAGTGAAAAAACTAGTCTTATCCTTATAAGGATTCTGGGGTGAAGGATCTGGTTTTTTTGGTTCTTGGTGCTAAAGTATCGGATGAGGGGGGATGATATCAGACATAGAAAACGCGCAACATTGCAGGACGAACCCCTAACTGTCCTGTATGTTGATCGTTTCATTCCCGTTGTTGGAGACTTGAATCCTGTAATTAGGCTTGTATCGAAGTGCCCCTAGGTCGAACACTCCCCTGGATGCAACCCACAGCAGTTGCATCCTGCTGTGGGTTGCACCCTTGCAATAAATACCAATTCATTGCAAGATGAACATATAATGTCAGAACATAAACTACTGTATTACAAGACCCATGCTATATCACTGATATATCTGAAAGTCTCAAGCTAACTCAACACATCAGACGCAGAATGAGTATATCATCCTTGATGCTCAATAACTGCCATTCACAGAGTGAGTAAGAGGTGCACTCGATGAGTATAATAAACTAGCAGCTGCTGGTGGCAACACTCAAAATAAAAACCACTCGAGAGCAATTAATTAGGATTTAATACTGAGAGATTTCTCTTCACGTCGTTATGGTTTGTATCAATGTTATTGTGAAATACCAGTGGTGTTTATTTTTTATAGGGCCTAAGGTGGGCCCTTTTTTTATAGGGCCTTAGGTGGACCCTTTTTTATAGGGCCTTAGGTGGGCCCTTTTTTTATAGGGCCTTAGGGCTTTTTTATAGCTCAAGGTGGTTAGGACCACCTTGAGCTGGTCCTAACTTGATTTAAGGGTCTTGAGAGCTTGAGGGGTTTTATTCACCATAACTTACCAACTCCTTTAGTTTCTTAGATTACGAGAGAAGAATTAGTCACTTTGCTAAATACAGCTGCACTTTGTTTAGCCTTGTTATTAATATATTTATCTGTAAAGAGGTTTTAACTTGAATTTACCTGAGGGCCAGTCTCTCCTTAGTGGCTCGACAGGAACAAAAAGCCAGCGGTTTGTCAAAGATCCTTCCCTTCCCTTATTGAAGATGTTTTCTATCAGGATTTTAAACTGAACTAATATCTTGGTATTTACAGCCTCGACGGGTTAGGCGGTACTATGGATACAACGGGTTGCTGGATATAATGTTATGGGTGAATAGCATTTTCTCTTTTCTCTCCTACATTGTGGCCTGTTGACCCTGAAGCTCCTGCTGTGTGCGAAAACTAACATACGTTGTTAACTAGTGTTTTCGAGGTCAGGGTCGAGGATCATTTATCATCTCTATTGGACAAACTGGCAGGCAAACTATAGTGTTAACCATTAAGAGAGTTAGAACACTTTGCGCCTCATCGGTACAGTGTTGGCGGTAGTATTGCGTTACTCATGCAGGCGATGAGTCACAATAACGTGGCTAAAGTTGACCAGACCACACACTAGAAGGTGAAGGGACGACGACGTTTCGGTCCGTCCTGGACCATTCTCAAGTCGATTACTCATGTCTGTGTGTGTCTTCTTTTCCCATGCTCTAGGCGTACGTGTCGTGTGGTCTTGGTGTCCATATGGTCGGCTACATCATGATCTGCTACGGGGTGTGCGACGCAGTCTGCTCCGTCAGCTTCAGCCCGCTGGTGAAGATTGTGGGGCGCGTGCCCATCTTCGTTATGGGTTTCAGCATCAACTTAAGCATCATTATCACCCTTATATACTGGTCGCCGAACCCTGAGGACTTGCCTGTCTTCTACATCCTCGCTGGGCTGTGGGGCGTGTCAGATGCGGTGTGGCAGACTCAGATTAATGGTAAGGATGCTGGCAGTTTTCTGGACGTGCTCGACACTGGAATATTGTATATTTTTTCTGGTAAAAATTCTCTTCAAAGTGACGGATTAAAACTTTTTTCAAAGTTAATGCTCTAAATCGGCACAGAAACGTGTTGTAACAAATACATTTTCGATGTTTTCAAAGTATTCTTTCAATTCTGTTAGTTTTGATCAACAATCTAAAAATTTTGACTTCGGTTATAGGTTTCTGTAATTCTGTAAAGTCAAAAGTTCCTTTTCTTTCAGCGCTCTACGGTGTCATCTTTCCCGGGGAGTCGGAGGCGGCCTTCAGCAACTACCGCCTGTGGGAATCCATTGGATTCATTATCGCCTACGCCTGCAGCACCGTCGTCTGTATCAACACCAAGATCACCATCCTCCTCGTGTTCCTTGTGCTGGGCTTCGTGGGATACTTCGCCATCGAGATGGTTGAGAGGTGTGGGGGACTCAAGAAGAACAAAGAAGGGAAGGTAGTCACCCTCGATCAGTTGGTCACGGGGAAATATGAGTGATTATCGATAGTTGGTGTTGATATTCCCGATGCCAAAGCGGTCACGAGCTTGTGACCGTATCATTAAACCAAAGAAATATTGGTTGTGAGTTTCCAGGCCATCACCATAAGGACTTTTTTGCATTTGCTGTGGGGAAACATCTGCCGTAAGTGTGATGTGCTGTTTGTACAGAGAGAAAAACTTTGATAATTACTTCGAAAAAGTTATGTTTATATTAATGCAGCAGGCTGCAAGCAACAAATATTATGTATATAGAAGAAAAACACAAGAAAACCTTTCTCCTTCCAGAAGGTGTTTAAGGTATTTTTTTCATTTGATTGAAACTGCCATTATTAATTTAGTAAATATAAATGAGTATATTGAAGTAAATATTTAATGAGAGTCGTCCGTTTCTGAGAACGGAAATATATATTATTAATATCAAACTTTTATTTAAAAGGGTGATTATTCTTCGAAGATTAGCCGGAGTATCTGTACAGCATCTGTTGTTGTATCGAGGCTCTCTCTCGCTGACAACATTTCTCCTGAAATGGTCTTTTCTCATACTGACAACATTCCTCCTGAAGTGGTCATTAGGAGGCAAACTCAGATGATCTCTTAATAATGTTCCTGGTGTATCAAAAGTTAAGTATCATTATTATTATAAACCACTAAGCCGGTATTACTGTATAACATCTGGAAGGGATGGTGAGTGAAGGGAAGGTGAGGGAAGCCAAGGTGAATTTGAGGACATAGTGAAGGATGTCCAACTGCTTGGACCATTGGGGATGGTTTAACCTGGATGACCAAACTTTATTTTCCATACAAGCTGTTGTGGTTGACTTAATGTAGCTTTCCGGGCTCCTAAAAAGCGGATATTCTGTTGTCAATTGTAATATAGCGATGATTGTTATATATGTATATACTAATATAGGTAGAGAAAGAAAACATACAGACGTAAATCCCAAACACACGAACGCTTTAAAGCATATGCTTTACACACACACACACACACACACACACACACACACACACACACACACACACACACACACACACACACACACACAAAACACATTTATAATTGGGTTGAGGGTGAAGAACAATCCTGGAAGACGTTGAAGAAAGAAAGCACAAACCAAATAATTTGTTGGGAACTTTGTGGCGTAGTGCACAGCGCTCTGTCTCTGAATTAGAACGTCCTCAACACGAATCCTGGAAAGGCTTCAAGAATGCAAGGATTTCATACTGATAAAGTTAACAACATCGTGGGTTAAGACTGACCCTTCACTCCTTGAGTGGTGCGGTGCTAGCGAGAGGTACTCCACTCAGCGGGGACCTGAAGAGTACCAGTGCGGCAGTTGCTACCGCCAGGGGTCGAAGGTGTTCCCTGTCTCGGTTCGAACTGGAAATGGAACCCTCTCGGCGGAGACCTGAAGATTTCAGATCAAGTCACCGAGGCAACAAAAACACAACACACACACCTACGCGTGTTGTTGTTTTATAACTATATTTCACGAATGCTAAAGTTGTTAGTGAAACCTCGCTTAACAGTACCGCTAAGGGGATTAACAGAAGCTTTGGGAGTAGTACACCTCACGAGTTAATCCAAACAGTATAGGTTTAAGAGGCAAACGAAATCTCAATTTTATTATATGACAATGAGTACTGGGAAGACGGGACACCACGAGCTTAACTCTCACCCTGTAACTGCACTTAGGTAATTACACTTAGGTAACTACTCCCCTCGCCCATCCTCAACAAACACGTATGAATGGGGCATACACATATAAACATGTTTCAGTAAACAGTCTAAAAGAGTTATTCAGATCATCAGACCTTCAACAACAGTTGAACACTGAACAGGATAGACAGAGCTTCGTTCAGCCACTCAAACACGCAGCTCACATTACTGGTGAACGAGTAACAACAAGCTTTCAGTTGCCTCAAATCTGTGCTCGTGATACAAGGAAAGTTGATTGATTACAGTACTGTTCTTAATATTACGGAGTAGGATATGATCTTGTAAGCAGTAATAGACATACAGGCGGTGCGAGTTAACATACACTATGTTCAGTTTTGTGCACTAATAGGTAAACTTGAAATAGCTAGGATTTTGGGTAATATGCCATCCGGATTAATCGAACATTGATGATAATATGCCATTAACTTCTTGGATTCCTTTTTCACTCAGTTACACAGTGAGGAAGAATGTGTGAATAGTGTTGCTGACAAAGTTTACATTTGGTCAGATCTGCACGAGCTGGTTGTGTAAACTCTTGACGATGTAGTGGACTTAGTGTAGGACGTGTGCCAACCCTTGGGATGTGTTCAGTTCAGACCATATTAGTCAGTGTCCGTCCTCCTGCAAGTTCACTTGTATTAACTGAATTATTACAACGAGGCTGTAGATTTTCTTTTGTATATAATTTTTGTATGAAAATAAATACATACTGAATCTGTTTGGTATTTGTTCAGCCCCTTTTCGTTCCAGTTAAAAGAAGCATGTGTAGATTTGGTGCTGTTTTTATCAATATATGTTAGCATACCATTATTTGTTACAGTGTTGCCATAGCTGGTAGTTACCTAATACCCACACACACATCGACTCCATGATATATATATATTATTTATATATAGACACAAATATACAAGAGTGATCTGAGCACACCACGCTGGGGGTCACTTGTTTATAACGAGTGTTAGAGGAAGGGAATGACTTGGGAGGGAAGACATCTAGCATAAAATGAATAATAATTGATATGTACATAATATATCGATCAGTTGCAAGTGTACAGTCGGAAAAGTATACAGATTTTAGAGCATAAGTGCATAATATATATATATATATATATATATATATATATATATATATATATATATATATATATATATATATATATATATATATATATATATATATATATATATATATATTACAATGTTAGTGGTAACATATATCGCAAAAGTAACAAAAATTACATATGAAAAATAAGATTTATTTAGACTGTATATTAAATTAACAGATAATTTGTATATTCTATAAAACACAAGGACCAGAGGATAAAAAAATAATTTAGGAAAGAAACATGAACATGAAAATAAGTTATAATCCATATAGATTCACAGACTAACCTTGATCAAATTTCATTGGAACACAGCTCATATAACCGTGATCTGACTTTAAGAGGATTTAAACTGCTTTCCATTCATATCAAAAAGACTGTAATTTCACAATAATAAATAAGTATCCAGCTAGATGTATGCCTGCTTCCCTTTGTCCTCTGTCTGCCTTTTCACTTGCCCTTTCTATTCCCTTTCTCTCCCCATCCCCCCTACCGCCTCACCACCAATTACCTCAACACTAACTACCAATACTGAGACGTTCAAAACAACCCGGCAATGAGACGATCAAGTGGAATTACACTGCCGTTCTGGTTCCTCTTCAAGCCGCCCATCTTCTCGAGGACCTCGATGGCATAGTACCCGACGATGCCCACCACAAGGAAGACGACCAGGATGGTGATCTTGGCGTCGATGCAAAGGACGCTGCTGCAGGCGTAGGCGATGAGAAAGCCGAGGCACTCCCACAGGCGGTAGTTGCTGAAGGCCGCCTCTGGCGTCCCGGGAAAGATGACGCCATAGAGCGCTGACGAAAGAGGAAAGCTACAGTATCATCTTGAACCTCCAGTACTTAAAAGGTATACCAAATAAGACAAATCCCAATACCAACAGACTAAGAACGTAACGTTGCATCTATATTATCTACTCAATATATATTATATTCGACTAGCGCAAGGTCTACAAACTTTTCGGACCATTTTAGAAAGGAATGAATTAGTTTTATTTGGATCTTTTATGTGCAGGTGATTAATTTTCTATAGTTCCAGTTAGAAAGGTTTGTATATGAATAACACAGTCGAGTGTTGATTTCACGATGAATTAAGAATGACAAAAGGGACGTCAAAATCATTAACTGTAATACAAAAGAAAAGTTATGTACAAAAATCTACTAAAGCGCAATTGAAAATAACTTGCACAACAACAAAATTCTATTAAGATTTACGCAAAGATGATGGTTACTCAGAGATGTTATAAGAAGCAGGGATTGAGAGTCGTCTCAGAATCCTCCTACACACTAACACAGCCGGGGTGAGGTTAACGCTGAATGATTATGGTTTAAAATCTTAATGCATATGGCGCTTATGATTGAAAATGAAGATTCACTAAACCGACAACCGTGCAGTTGAGAAGGGAAGTAAGAATTTTTTTCTTTACATATATTTCAAGTCACTAAGGATTGGATAAAATCTTGTGGCGGATTAGATGTAACCCTCGGGTCATGGTTTGAAGACCCCCTGGATTATAGCATAACAGAATGATTAGGCAAGTAGATGAATAAGTCTTCTGTGACCTCACCGTTGATTTGCGTCTGCCAGACAGCGTCAGCCGCCCCCCAGAAGCCGGCGATGACAAAGAACCACACCAGATCATCCGGATGTGGCCGCCAGTAGACCAGGGCTACGATGAGCCCAGAGTTGCAGAGGAACCCCAGAGTGAACACCGGCACTCGCCCCAACACCTTGACCAGCCGACTGAGCCCCACCGAGCACAGTGCGTCACACACACCGTAACACACTATGACATAACCCACCATGTGTACGCCCAGCCCGCACGAGACGTAAGCCTGCAACACAATGGGTCAATAATGGTGACTCGAGCTCAATGTTTATGTTTTGTACAGTAACAGTGCAGCATTTGGGTATATACAGATTGGCAATTACCGGGGGCAAGGTGACAATTATGAAGAGTAATGTAGGGTGTTGGTTGATCATGAAACTTGTGCACATTAGTTCCATGACCAATCAATACATGTAGACGAACGCTGGTGCAGATGAGAGACGGGGTGAGATTGGGAGAGAGTGGGGAAGGGGGAGAGAGACCCGGGCACAGCTGGATACCCCTATATAGTGTAAATAAAAAAGAATGTCTGTCTGATCGAGACTGTGGGCCAGACACTTGGGGAGCTACCCTTACAAAACTTTCCAGGGTGACTGGTCTTTGCCCGAGAATGGCTATAGGCGATTCAGGGTCGAACTCTACACCCACGCCCCCTTTATATGTTATGGCAAATTGCACAAATTTTCAGTCTTATTAAATACCAGGTTCTACCCTTACTAAAATTTAATTACCACGCTCTATCGTCACTAACATTCATCTAAGATTATTCGCTACATAATGATTATGTTAATTACTTTTACTGCGAAAGTTAGTTACTCTTACGTAGTAGGAATAACTAACTCAATATGATCATGGTGCAGCTGGTATCATACATTATGGTGTAGAAAAATAACAGTCAAGAGAAAATTAGTTGTTTAGGAGTGATGGTGCCTGCCAGATTCTGGGAGAAGCCAGACAGGCCAGAGACGACTGGATTTTCGCTGAACTTAACAAAGCAAGCATTGATACCATGTCGAAACTACTGGAAAATTGCTACCGCTTGCATGCTCAAAAGAGAGGTCTGTGGTGCCCGAACTATTAAGTTTGAAAAACAAGTGGAACACGTCAAAAAGAGCATATCGAGCAATGTCTCCTCACTTCTCGGTGTATATACACTAATAATTTTCTTTTGCCCTGCATTACGTTCAGGACTAAAACATTCTTTATGTTCATTCGTAAACCTCTGTGGTATTGTTAATAACCCTACGGAGGTTGATAGCCCTTAAGCCCAACACCAAACCAAAAGTAGCCAATCAGAGGACAGGAGCTCCATATTGACGAGCGAATAGTGAGAAGTGGGGGGGGGGCATGACTCTTTCCTGCCGAGTAGACAAGAAGGGAAGCACCATTGATAGTTACTCTGTTGTAGTGGACACGTGCACAGTAGGCTACTGCCAGCTTGCTTGGTGGACACTTCTGAAGGATTATCCCTTAGGTAAGAGAAAAGAACATGGAATATCCACACCACACATCATAAAATGAAGAAACGACGACGTTTCGGTCCGTCCTAAGCCATTATCAAGCCGTGGCAGATTATTTCCAAATAGGTTGGTGCTCATGGGGTTGTTTCGACGCCATCTGAAGCGACGCGGTGCTATCCCTAACCAGCCATCCCCCAACCAAACAGGCAGACATTCTCTTTTAAAAATATTAATATGATAGAGAAAATAGGCAGAAAGTCAGTAAATTAGACACCGATGGATAGATAGGCGGGGGTACAAAACCTAACAGCTCGATCCTGAAAGTACAAATACATGAATACACGCACATCCCCACTAGATTGGGAGAGCGGACCGCATCCAAATTGAATAGATACATAATTCAGCCCGTCTTCAGGTTAGAGTGATTACACCGAAACACCAAACCCTCTCTCACACCACCAAGATACTTATCTAGATATTTGTGAAAGTTTGAAACCATATTACGGTTCCAACAATAGTTTGTTTGTAAGCTGGTAAGTAAACCTTAGTCCTTAATGGAGAATATTCTTTAGTTATAATTTTATTGAGTTATAAATCGAGGGAATAAAATGAACAAAATATGTGGTACACTCGTTTTCACATATATTTTTTTTTTTACTCCATGACTATTACTACTGTATAACACTTCCAAGTGCTAAATAGTCGTAATAACATGGCGCTTTACTTTGATAATTCCCATCGTTTTCTTTGATACGGCCACAGCCTTAAGTTTTCTGTAATGTGAAATTCTATTTGGATACTCAAACAGTTTTCGAATTTAATATTTCAAATGTTTGAGAATATTACGCTGTTTTATCCTAACCTACTTTAAACCTAATCATGTATAGGGAGAAGATAATAGCACAAGTTACATAGTGGTTTTTATGTGATTACACAAAGGAGTACAAACCCCTTAACAGGACAAGCGCGCACACACACACACACACACACACACACACACACACACACACACACAGGGGGCCTCGTAGCCTGCTGGATAGCGCGCAGGACTCTTAATTCTGTGGCGCGGGTTCGATTCCCGCACGAGGCAGAAACAAATGGGCAAAGTTTCTTTCACCCTAAGTGCCCCTGTTACCTAGCAGTAAATAGGTACCTGGGAGTTAGTCAGCTGTAACGGGCTGCTTCCTGGGGTGTGTGTGTGTGTGGTGTGAAAAAAAAAAAAGTAGTTAGTAAACAGTTGATTGACAGTTGAGAGGCGGGCCGAAAGAGCAAAGCTCAACCCCCGCAAAACACAACTAGTAAACACAACTAGTAAACACACACACACACACATACACACACGCTGGAAGACAGGAGAATTAGGGGGGACATTATCACCACATACAAGATTCTCAAAAGAATTTATAGGGAAAACAAAGACAGATTATTTAACACATGGGGCACACGCACGAGGAAACTCAAGTGGAAATTGAGTGCCAAAATGAGCCATAAAGATATTAGAAAATAAATGTTAGTGTCATAGTAGTTAATAAATGGAACACATTAGGAAATGATATGGTTACCTTGAGGTTACCTTGAGGTGCTTCCGGGGCTTAGCGTCCCCGCGGCCCGGTCGTCGACCAGGCCTCCTGGTTGCTGGACTGATCAACCAGGCTGTTGGACGCTGCTGCTCGCAGCCTGACGTATGAGTCACAGCCTGGTTGATCAGGTATAGCTTGACCTGGTGGAGGCAGACTCCATACAGTTTTAAGTGTAGATATGACAAAGCCCAACAGGCTCAGGAACCTGTACACCTGTTGATTGACCGTTGAAAGCCGGAACCAAAGAGCCAAAGCTCAACCCCCCCCCCCCCCCCGCAAGCACAACTAGGTGAGTACAACTGGGTGAGTATACACACACACATACACTCTGCAGGCCTCGCGGCTGAGTGAACAGCGCTCGGAAGTCGTAGTCCTAAGAGCCCTGGTTCGATTCCCGGCCGAGGCGAAAACAAATGGATGAGTTTCTTTCACCCTGATGCCCCTTGTTCACCTAGCAGTAAGTAGGTACCTGGGAGTTAGACTGCTGCTACGGATATAATAGAGGAAATATAGATTGGTTTGAAAGGCTGGGTTCATGAGTTAATAGCTCGATTCTACAGGCACAAATAGTACATATAAAATAATAAATACACAGGCTGAGAGAAGTCAACTTCACGTTGTTAAAGAATCAAGAAACAGAGGAAACAGTAAAGAATAACGAGGTACTGTTTAATCACCCAAGGTTGCGCTTTCATGTATACATGTTAATAACAATAACAAACATATTGCTGGCTAAAACCAACTGTTTACCCTAAACAGCAAGAGAACAGGAGCACGGGGGTGATGAGGGTACTGGGCACAAATCAGAGAAAGTACTGGGCTGGGTTGTAAAGAAGATTTATTGAATATATGACTAGTGAGCAACTGTATTGGTTACAGATTAGGTTTATTGAGGCTAATCGACGACAACCGACAACCAGAAACACGTGAGCCTTGTAACTGGACTTCATCCCTGAAAACTCAAGTCGGAGAGTAAATGTAGGCAAGTGGAGACAATGGATGCTCACAGCAGTATAGTCGGCGGTGAGGAAGCCCTGCTCAAGGCCAGACCAGATGGTGAGGGGAACAATGAGCAGCTGGTACGGGTGCCGCAGGTGGGTGAAGGTGGCCACCAGCAGCTGCACGCTGCTCTTACCGCTTCCTCCACTACCTTCTATTTCTTTAAAACTGGCGAAGAGTTAATTTGTATACATGAATCATCTTTCATCAGTTGATATTTAGCAACAATATTTCATAAATCATTGAACTTGAACTTTCTCCACTCTCACATGACTAAATTACACCTGACCTTTGAGAGTGGGAGAATATTTTGCATGATTTATGACTAGACTTCTGACTGCTTACTGCTTAAGTCAGTAAGTTTTCAGATGGAAGCACAAGTTAAAGCCAATGTTTGATTATAGACAAAGCTTCACTTAAGAATTGATAAAATGAACAGCATATATTTAGACGCAGCAGAGAAAGGGTTAAGGACGGATACCGTAAATGATCTTGTATTCTGAAAGGAACCCAATTCTGCACAATGGCGTCGTTGATTCTTTGGCGGGAATCATCGCTATGGGCTTCCCTCTCCAACCTTTCCCTCTCCCTCTGTGACTGATTTATTAACTTGTTCATTCTATAAGTCCTCTGACAATAGTCCTAAGAAAGCTCCTCACTGAGGGAAAAATTTTCTGTGAATAAGACCTGTCCTTAACCGGTGTTTCCCTCAGCACTCCTGCAGGAACCTCCTGCGTTTAGTCCAAGTTTTCAGCAAGGAATGTTGATGCCAGGAAGGCGCAGACAGTCTCGAAGGCTAGTTACTAGGTTTCTCCTTTACCTGCTGAGGGGATCCACGAAGACGAGGACGACGACGCAGGAGAACAGAGAGAAGACCAGGTAGATACTAGCCATGGTGTAGATCTGCCAAAGAGGCGGACCTTCCCTCCCGCCGGAGTCGCTGCTGTTGGAGCCATCAGAGATTTCCCCGATGCAGAAGTTGTAACCGCAGGAAAGCAACTCTGTGTTATGCGTCCCATTGGGTTCCTCCACTCCCACCGACAATACTGACGGAGGTGAAATGTTACGCTAGTGGGAGACAACATGAAAAGCACGAGACAAAATAATCACCAAAAGATGCTAAACTAAATGGATATTCAAGGAATACCTTGGATAGTCTTCGTCTCCCTCCATCCTCATTCCCCCCTCTTTTCTTCCCCTCTCCCCACATTGCTTTCCATCTCTTTCCCCTGTCTTCTCTGTCCTCCTTTCCTACCCTTCCCCACTCCCCTTCCTCTCATCTCCCCATTTTTTATCCCCTATTCACCCCCTATCCCTTCCCTTTCCACCTCCCCGTCTTTCCTCCCCCTTCTCCCCTCTTTCTACCCCCTTCCCTCTTTAGCCTGTTGGACCTTGAACAGACAGAAATTTCCATTATACACAGAGTTCACTTGTATGTGAGGAATTCTAGGGACCCGGTCAGCCACCTTTCAATTATATTGTGGATGGGGGTATCATTATTGGGCTTTACCCCCTCTTAATAAGACAAATATACCGAACCCAGCCAAACTATGTGTGTCTCGTACCCCAGACCATTCCTCCTGCAAAGTAGGGTGGGGTTAGTCCCACGGATCTGGCTTCCAACCTAGGACAAACAGGCAGACATTCTCGTACAAATATATAGGTAACATTAGTGGTGGAGATTTTTGTACATGTACTGTATATTTACACGGGAGTAAACGTAAGCTGTAGTTTTACCTGAGGAGGCGATGAGGCTGCCCCATACTTGGGTAGACTGGAAGAACATGAAGAATATGCCGAAGAACTTTGTTATGATGACGTCACTGTTCTCTCCCGCCAACTCGGCGTATCTCATCCCGGCCTGTGATACACAATACGAATTAATATATCAACTTTGTATTACGAAGAACTCTGAAATGTGTCCATTAGAATGTGAAAAATAATACTTCTAATTGTTCCTATAAATGGAGATAAAAAATTTGAATTTCTTTCATCAAACAACAGCTCTAAAGGCCTATCCTCTCTTGCGTTCACAACGTCACTAAACTAAATTGCCAGAACCTAACCTAACCGAGGACCCACGAATAGGAAACGGAACATCACATCAAATTTAAGAGTTGCTATAAATTTAAGTACATACATCAGTAGTACATCAATATGGATTTTAACAGTGGAAAGTTCCCACAGGTGTCAACGTCCTTCCTGACCTACCTTGGTGAGGTAGGTACACTTGGAGGACCAGAGAGGTGCGGCTCCCAGGCCCAGGATGACGGCTGTGGGCACCAACGTGTAGAACTCTGGATAGAACTGGGCGGCGATGTAGGAGGAGTAGCAGAGCATGGAGGCCGCCATGGTGTACTTCTCCTTCAGCACCGTCAGTAGCCACGACGGCAGGAAGCAGCAGGAGAAGATATAAGTGGCGTAGAGGGCAGTCAGCGAGGCCGTCCCATCCACCCTGCAGCAATAACAGAAAATCATGGCTTGTGTGCTCCCCTAATTATGCTCATCTTATTGTGCTGACGGGAGTTGAGCTTCGATTCTTTGGTCTCGCCTCTCCATCTTTAGTCAACTGATGTACTGGCTTCCGAGTCTATTAGGTTCTATCATATCCATATTTAAAACTGTGTGGAGCCTTCGTTTAGTGTTTGACTAGAGAAGGAATCTACGATAATTCTTGCACAAATCTACTCATTATTATGTTCTTTACTTGTTAAGAAAGTTGCAAAGTAGCTTTACAATGTTCATTTAATATTTTAAATTTGCTAGATGCATATTGAACAAAGACCGTCTTATGTTAAAGGACTCTTTAGCCTCTCCCGAGGCATGTTGTTGTTATTGTTGTTGTTTTAGATTTAGCTTCTCAGAGTGAAATGTCCATTTAGCACGGGCTATGGTGAGCCTGTAATTGAGTTCGGTTACTCGCGATAACCTTGTTACTCTGATATTTGGGTCAAAGTTTTAAATGGAGGTAGGGTTTCCTCCTTTTTCCCTGTTTCTTTTTCGCTTCTGTTTTAGTCGTGTTTTAATAACATTATCTTGGTGGCGGATGTAGATGCAGAATGTTCACTAGTGAGTCCCATTCTTTAACGGCTTTTCTAATCATTGTAGTGGCTGTGGAATGTGCATCTAATGCAGCTGCTGTCGTTGGATTAATGTTGAGTTAGATGTGCAGGACTTCAGTAGCTTCACATACCAGTAAGTAGTGCACTCTCGAGGCAGATGGAAATTGAATATATATTGTCAGGGGACAACATTATATATTCCAAGTATGAAAAGGTAAGAGATGAGGTGGGTTTCCTGTCGAAATGTTGTTTTGTTCCTTTGTTAGATTTAGCTTCTCGGAACAAAAAGTTCCAAGTAGCACGGGCTATGGTAAGCCCGTAGTGGACTTACCTGGCACAGAAGCGGGGCTGTATATGCCTGTCGTGAGGACTGCATTTTTCCTGGTCGGCTGGTCCAGTTGAGGTTGTAACCTAATGGAATTGGTTAGACGAGATTATAGTATAATTCTATAAATAATTTCTAAATAAAGTATGGAGTGATGAGGAAAGGGAGTCATTGCATTAAATGACTTGTAGCAGTAAAGGCGAAGTTTAGGGGATACTGCTTGACTGTGCGAGTTCATCTAGTTGAGTACACACATCTAGTAGTAGATGTGTGTGTAGTGGTAGTAGTTCCACTAGGTGAGTACATGAGAACATAAGAATGAAGGTAACTGCAGAAGGCCTTTTGGCCCATACGTGGTAGCTCCTATTTATATTCACCCAATCTCATTCATTCACGCAAGCGAGAACACATACACACACACACACACCCACACACACACACACACACACACACACACACACACACACACACACACAGCCAAAGAAGAGCCAAAGCTCAACCCCCGCAAGCACAATTAGGTGAGTACACACACACACACACACACACACACACACACACATACGCTAGCTTGCAAAGTAAGCGCCGAGATACACAAATAATTACACCTTATATCACCATAAAACATTCTTTACATCATATATACAACTTATATAAATTTATAACGATGCGATATTAACTTATTGATTAGTACCACCTGTGACCATGGAGTGCCACCTGTAGCCACAGCAGTGCCACCTGCAACCATGTGTGGTATGGTATACTCACTTGTTGATGGAGGACTGGAGGTTGGACATGGAGTTGTAGCTGGTGAAGAGGAATGTAAAAGCAACAGAGATGACGAAGATGTTCTTCATGATGGCAAATTTTTCCTTCTTTTCCTCTGGCGTGAGGTCTTTCCTGCCGGCCTTCCCAGTACTCTTCTCGACCTCCACATGTCGCTCTTTCGTCTCTCTTGTTTCTGCAGAAGAAACACAATATTGCAAGCTTATTTACTCGTTTTACCAGTAGTACACCATGGGATCAATCACCCTTGTTGAACCAGTATAGGTGGAGAAGTCCCAGGGGGTAGGCTTGACCTTTGAACTGTTATCTGAGGTCAGATAGCAAGAATCGCCTACATGTCGAAGTGTTAGGCTGCTTGGGGTCACATGTGAGAAACAAAGATACCTCGTGTGACCTGTGGTCACCAGTGTATACAACAAGGAGAATTACAGATACCAGAGAGTGTGTTTTGAGTAGTTGGGAGGAAGGTTGAAGTTTTGGGTAAACATCAGACCTCAAGAGCACTGTGGAATTGGGATGGAAGTTTCTGGATCGTACCTGATCGTACCTGGACGTATCTCTCCTGATCCCAAGATCAGGAGAACAGTACGTCCTGCTCTCCTGCAGGACGTACTGCAGGAGAGTACGTCCTGCAGTACGTACAGAGAGTACGTACTCTCTGTTTTACGTACCATATACGTAATATTACAGAGACCATATAGTTAGGATTCTATAACTATTAGAATATTATTCTAATATAATAGAATATATTATATTAGAATAATATAATATATTATTAGAGACCATATAGTTAGGATTGTTTCCTAGGAGCCGAGTGCTGGAAAGAAATTTGTATTATTATTATTATTATTTATTATTATTATTATTGAAATATGTGGTAAAAGTAGCTCTGAGGTTGGCAACAGTCTGGTGAGAACCTCGTATTTTTTATATAAATATTAATGTAATTATGGTAAATATCGCCTCCTCCCCCCTCCCTTCCCTTCCGTTCAGCAAGATGATGGGGGACTGTGTATAAGTATGATGACTGTATATTGTATAAACCCAATACAGTACCACTACATTAGGTTTTCACTTTTGATGTATCAATTATACATATTTGGTAGTGTTTGTGAGGAATGTTTGGCAATATTGGTGAGGAATGTTTAAAAGTGTTGGTGAGGACCTCCTTCAGGCGAGGAATGTCTGTCAGTGTTGATTAATATTAATATGGCAGGGTTTGTTCCATTCTCCACGATTCATTGTCTAGGCCGGGCGATCATTGTTTACTAATACAGGTCACGCTCAGAGCTGCTCCTCTGACTGTGATTATACACCCAACAGAAAAGTAGCCAAAAAAATAATCTGCAGTGACCTATATTTTATAGAGAATTTGTCTTAAATTTTAACGAAACTATGCAAATAATATAACACTAAAACAGTGTAAGTCTAATAAGAGGAATAAGACATTAGGGTTAACATGGTTTTTCCAAACCTGGCAACCCTGACAACGGAAGCCAGGGTTGTAGTTATCCACACGAAGAAAAGCAAGATATCAGTAGACACATGTAGACCAAAATCCTTGGTTACTGTTTTTTGAGAAGATCTTTGAAAACATTCCTTCTTGAGAAACTAGAAAACTTCGATAACAAATATGTACTAAGGTTTTTACAAATAATGGAAGTACATCAGACTTAATAACTCCAGAGTAGTGTATAAAGGAACAAGTCTCGATGGTGGAGAGGATACATGTAATACTGAAGCTTTGGACACTGCTAGAGCATTTGATGATTTGATACACAGATTTAGTGTGTAAGCTAACGGAGATTGGGACTTGTGAACGAGTCAAATCAGTTTCATACAATTACTTAAGTAACCGAATTTTCCAGGTCGAAATTACAGTTTTTAACATTTTAAACTCATTTAACCTACAAGTAAGTTTATCAAGTTACTGTTGTCCAATAAAAACATAATTGTACTAAGTATGGCATCAATTCAAAACATTATTCAAAATAACCATTAATAAATTTTGAACTTTGGTATACATTTTCATTAGATTTAATCAACTATAGAGATATTGGTAACTTTATCACATAAAGGCATCCAGAGTGCTAGGCATTATATAATTAAGGCATTAAAGGCATTAAGAGTGATGTAATGATTAATATAAACTTAAAACCAAAACATAAATATGCTAAATGTGCACAATGAGAATTCTCGATTTTATATCAAGTGTTGACTATTGATATATTACCATTATTCTACAACTTTATCTAGCTTGACTGAAACGTCATTCCGATTAACGTCTGCCATTTTCATCACTAAATCACAAAAACATAAATCATTGGAACACAAATTATCCTATACAAATATTCGTTGGGTAAGAAGGTTAACCTGAACATCAAGAAACTCAAGAGCGATGCATATTGTATTGCTAATTTTGGTGATTAATTGAAACAGTCTCTTAGAGCCACTAACAGGCTGGGTGTTCCTGACCAAGTTGCAGTCTCTTGAATAGGAAAGTAACATTGAACTTATATCGAGAAGTGTAGAAATAACGGTGATGTTGCTGAAGTTTGCAAATGAATAAAAGTCATAAATTTGGAGTGTATACAAAATGTGTTCACAATATCATCTCAAATTGGAGGCCCAGAGTCCCAGACGAGAGAAAAAAGATTGAATTGACAGATTCTTGAGTGGGAAAATGGGAGGTAAATAGCAACTCCTCGCATGGGACATTATCCACTCCAATGTCTCACCACCACTCTCTCTCCTTCCAGCATTTTGCTGCTTTCAAGCACTCTCCCTCCCACCACCGCTCTCTCTCTCTCTCTCTCTCTCTCTCTCTCTCTCTCTCTCTCTCTCTCTCTCTCTCTCTCTCTCTCTCTCTACCACTCTCCCCCAACATCCATCACTCTCTTCCTCTCCTCTTCCCTCGTTCAATCACTTGCTCCCTCATCTTCACTCCAGCGTTCTCTTGACTTTATACTCCGTCAAAAAATACACCTCCTAACCTAACCAGAACAGTATGAACCCAACCAACCCACCTAACCCTCTCAAGTCCGATGAATAGAAAACAAAGATATTTGTGAGTAGTAACTTTTTATAGTAGGTTGCATTTGTAACGATGGTTACCATAACGTAGAGACTCACCGGACTGAGCGAGCTCCTCGCTGTTAAAGGCTGGGTTGTCCAGTCCTGTCCTCTCCTCCTTCTCTTCCATCTGTATAAAACACAATAGGTTAGAATTAATTCACATGAATGTAATAAGTACACACACACACACACACACACACACACACACACACAGGCTGGTGGAAGCTGACTCCATACACAGTTTCAAATGTAGTTATAATAGAACCCAATAGGCTCAGGAATCTGTACTCCAGTTGATTGACAGTTGAGAGGCTGGACCAAAGAGACAAAGCTCAACCCCCGCAAGCACAAATAGGTGAGTATACACACACACACACACACACACACACACACACACTCACACACGTGTGTGTTATATTATGTGTTTGTTGCAATATTATTTATGTGGTCTGGTAGCTGAGCGGACAGCGCGCAGGATTCTTAATTCTGGGGCCCCGGTTCGATTCCCGAACCAGGCAGAAACAAATGGGCAGATTTTCTTTCACCCTGGTGCACCTGTTACCTAGCAGTAAATAGATACCTGGAAGTTAGACAGCTGTTACGGAGCTGCTTCCTGGGGTTTGTGTGTGTGTTTGTGGGAAATTAAATAAGTTAGGTAGTAGTTAGTTACAGTTGATTGACAGGTGAGAGGCGGGCCGAAAGAGCAGAGCTCAACCCCCGCAAGAACAACTAGGTGAATACACACAATATTAGCTGATTAATTGTTTTAATTACGAAAAGTTACTACTGTGTGGTGTTAATACACTGCTTCACTATGACACCCTTCTCAATGTAAACATTGTAGTGGATGTAAACTTAAGATCTTGTGTTGTCACGTGACCTTCAGCCACACTCATAAGCTCACAATCACGTTCATAACCCCTCACAATCACGCTCATAACCTCACAACCAACAACAACACGATGGTCTCACTAGTGTATGACCAAAATACATAGAAGTAAAAATTCCCTTTATATTTAAATTTCCCATTAAGCTTAAGAAAAGACATTTCGTAAGCTAAATTTCTGCAACTGGGTACAAAGCACAAGACGAAAGTTACTGCGGCTTAGAGTGGTGACGAATCGGGTGACCTTGTACAAGCCATGTACACACGGCTGTGTCCTGCTTCTCGCTGTATATTCAATGATAGTATACTAAAATATAAGAGAGTTGTGCTAAACTACTACGCTACCAGTGTGTCATTTCGTTACAAAAAACACACACTTGGTATTGTATTCCAGGCAGATGCTGTATTCCAGGGATGTTGTATTTCAGGCAGGTACTGTATTTCAGGCAGGTACTGTATTCCAGACAGATACTGTATTCCAGACAGATACTGTATTCCAGGGATGTTGTTGTATTTCAGGCAGGTACTGTATTCCAGTTAAGTTTTATTTCTAGTCAGTCACTGCAACCCTATTACAAGCTGCGAGGTGACAAGCGTATGAGCGTCACCTCCCTGAATGCTGAGCAAGTGAGCACTGAAACACCTGCCTGACGTCTCCCTCAAGTGAAATCGGTCCAGTGATTGGGTCGAGAAGCTGTTGCCAAGAGTCGCAAGTCAGTGTATCTTAGTTGGCGTTCACGTAATGACCCCCTCCTCCTTTCCCTGTACCTTGGGCAAAGCAGGAGTAGTGACGTCTATGTAACCATGAAATAATGCTTTATATTGCTGAGTCTAGGTTGATTAAACGTCATTGGATTATCGCCTCAGACAGCTGTGTTTATATCAGCAAAACTCGATGGCAGTGCGTTTCGCTTCTATGGTGTTTATAGTTTTTTTCATAAATCTGTCCATAGATCTGTAACTAAATTTCAGAATCATTAATTGCTTATTTTCTAAATCTAAATCTATGTAACATAAATTCAAAGTATTGTATTCTAACTTGGGTTGATAGTCTCGCACTCTATTTATATTTTTCTTGTTTAAAAGTGTTATCCATTTACAAAATTCGCAAGAAATGCTTTAGAGTACAAATTGAGTTTTCTTAGTCTCTCTTCACAGGATAGGTTTCTTCTTTTGTTACCTCTCCACATGATGCATACCTAGAGAGGGTTCCGTTCGTTCTTCTACTTCCCGAGCCAGTCGGGAAGTAGAAGAACTTCTACGTTCTTCTACTTCCTGGGACCAGTCTTGACTTGTGATTACTTAGTACAACAGGTCTGATGTTGGAGGGCTGCTGGGCCCCTCATGCCCAGTGTGACCTCATACCCAGTACGACCACGTACCCAGTAGGACCTCATTCCCAGTATGACTTCCATACTGCTTGGAGCGGCCCGCAGGCCCGCAGCCCCATTGTAACCCAGTGGGTCATGCACTTTTTGCAAGAACCTATCTAACTGCTTTTTGAAGAAGTCCACCTCTGTTCCGACAATATCTGTAATGCTTGCTGGGAGAGTATTGGACAGCTGTGGACCTCTGATGGTCACACAGTGCTCTCTGATTGTGCCAATTGTCCCTCTTCAATGGTTCGATTCTCCATTTCTTTACGTGTCTTTCGCTAAAGTATCTTGTTATTCTACTGTGGAGTTTTGGGACCTGGCCTTTCACTATCTTCCATGTATATATTATTTGATACCTCGTCTCCTTTTTCGGGAAGTACATTTTGAGAGCTTTGAGACGATCCCAGTAATTTAGGTGCTTTATTGTGTCTATGTGTGCCGGTTATGTTCATTGTATTTCCTCAGGTTCCGTTTTCTTTATTAGCTTGGAGATCTAAGCAGGTAGAGGCGGAACCTCTCGCAGTCGACACTCTTTACTGGTAGATGGAGGCCACTTGTGGGTTCCCTGCCTGAAGGTAAGTACACTTTCTAACAGATAAGCCATTTTGTACCTTATATTGTGTGTTGCTAGTGTTTAATAGTATTCATTTGTATGTATGGCAGAGAATATGATAATTTTTCTCATATTCGCTGCATCATCCCACAATGTGCATTGTTGTTTCTCTGCAGTTCTTCCTATACCTTGTTAAACTCTGTGGTTAGACTGTGGGAGCCAGGAAAAAAGAGCGTGAGAGTGTGCATTTAATATTTGGGCCTGCAGAATCGAGCTGTTAGCTCTTGGATCCCCGTCTTTCTAACCGTTTATTGTCCAAAGTACTGTTATATATATATAACATCTTCAGATTCCTTCAGATACATCTTCAGATTCCTTCAGATACATCTTCAGATTCCTTCAGATACATCTTCAGATTCCTTCAGATACATCTTCAAGTTCTTTCTGAAGATGTATTAATATACGAAAGTACTTACGGACATATAGAACTCTAATATATGTTGTTAACATATATTAGAAATAGAATTGGTCCCAGCACCGATCCTTGAGGTACCCCACTCGTCACTGTTCTTCAGTCCGTAACTCTCTGGCTCCTTCCTGTTAGGTAGTTCCTTATCCATGCTAGGGCCTTTCCTCCCACCCCCGCCTTCCTCTCGAGTTTGAATAGCAGCCTCATGTGCGGTACTGTATCAAAGGCTTTCTAGCAGTCCAGAAATATGTAGTCTGCCCAACCTTCTCTGTCCTGTCTTATCCTCGGTATTTTATCATAGAGTTCCAAAAGGTTTGTTAGGCAAGATTTCCCTTTCCAGAACCCATGTTGATGTTTGTTTACAAACCTAACGTTCTCTAGGTGTGCAACCAATCTTAGCCAAATTATTCTTTCAAGTATATTACAGGGGATACTTGTCAATGATACAGGTCTATAGTTAAGTGCCTCCTTCCTATCACCTTTCTTGAAAATCGATACACCATTTGCCCTCTTCCAGCAACTAGGCAATTCTCCCGACATAAGTGATTCATTAGAGATCCTTGCCAGAGGCACGCTGAGGGCCTGCGTTGCCTCTTTTAGTATCCACGATGACACTTTGTCTGGTCCAACCGCTTTAGTTGCATCCAGTGTTGTCAACTGTTTCATTACCTCCTCTGCTGTCACCTCTATATCTGAGTCTTTCATCTAGGGTAATCTGTGTGTGTGTGTGTGTGTGTGTGTGTGTGTGTGTGTGTGTGTGTGTGTGTGTGTGTGTGTGTGTGTGTGTGTGTGTGTGTGTGTACACATTACATACGTGTGAACCGATTCTGATTAACTTATTGTGTTGTATACAGATGGAAAGGCAGGAGGGGAGGACAGGACTGGACTTCCCAGCCATCATCAGCGTGGAGTTCACTCAGTCCGGTGAGTCTCGTCGTTATGGCAACCAACGTTACAAATGCAACCTACTATGAAAAGTAACGACTCACAAATATCTATGTTTTCTATCTATCGGACTCGATAGGTTAGGTGGGTTGGTTAGGTTCATATTTTTCTGGTTAGGGTTAGGAGGTTGGTTTTTTGACGGAGTAGTAAAATCAAGAGAACGCTGGAGAGAGGCAGTAGGAGCAAGTGATTGAACGAGGGAAAGAATAGAGGGAGAGAGGAATGGAAGCAGGGTGAGAGTAGTGAAGGAAGAGGCAGAGTGGTGGAGGGAGAGATAGTGGATAGAGAGAGAGAAGGAGAGTGATTCTTCCATCACAATTTTCGACACAGATTCTATTTTACACCCAATTTGTAAATTCTTCATATTCCGATGTATGGGTTGGGTGTGTGGGTTGGGTGTGTGGGTTGAGTGTATGGGTTGAGTGTATGGGTTGAGTGTATGGGTTGAGTGTATGGGTTGAGTGTATGGGTTGAGTGTATGGGTTGAGTGTATGGGTTGAGTGTATGGGTTGAGTGTATGGGTTGAGTGTATGGGTTGAGTGTATGGGTTGAGTGTATGGGTTGAGTGTGTGGGTTGGGTGTGTGATCATCTGCTGCGTTATTCTGACTCATCGTCTACTAATGCTGTCACAATAACGGGTGCCTTCATATGTTGAAGTTCCCAACATCTATGTTATTGAGATTCAGTGCATTAAAAATTTCGTATTCCAAAGTTCAAAATTTACAGATGGCTATTTTTGAACAGATGTCAATGCTTTGTCCATATATGAAGCTCATTGAGGCTTTCTTGCCGTTCCAGGAGTCATTTTGATTTTCTAATCACAATTGTTCTACATGGTCTTAAGGGCCCAGCGCCTTCTATTGAAAATTACTTATTTAATCTCGAACTAACCGTAAGAAACTTTTTTAGATATTAAATAGGATTTGAATACAGTGATTACTATAACTATATATATTTCACGTGTCATTTTGTATTATTTGTCATTCTTTTACAATACATTTCAATTGTTAAGAAGCAAAGGAACATCTCCCTAGTGGTCACATGTAGCACTTCTTGTTCAGAAGTTTTTGCTCAAGTGAGGAAGTTGAATTAACACAGTGTCGTGCGTAAATTTCGTAGAGTTTGTAAAATACAAACAGACAAGCCACAGATCTTCTATGACGTATAGTGTGGATGCAAGATATATATGGGTCGGGTGTATTAAGTTTGCTTCTCGATGCATTGCCGCGTCACAAGTTTTGTCTAAGGACTTAGGACAAGCGCGTGATGGGTACTACATTATTGATCTCATTTGTGTGTTGTAGACGCGCGACCCTCAATTTACTGAGAAATTTCCTTGCGTATTAACTGTAATAACTTATACAAGTCAAGTAAAAGATTTTACTTCTTTTTTAATCGAGGAGTTATATATCATGTTTTTCTTGCCTGTCTTATGTAAGGAGGACACAAGGGACACAAGAGACAACAATTGAGGTTTTTCTTGAACAACAATGACTTGCAAAGCTCATCCGTAGGTTAATTAAATAAAATGTTTAAATAAAATAAAATGTTTATTTAGGTAAGGTACATACATACAAGAAATTTTTACAAAGATTGGTTGAATTATAGGTAGTGCTAGTACATACAATGCCTAAAGCCACTATTACGCAAAGCGTTTCCGGCATAATTAATTTCAAAAGTTTAAAAACTATTATTTGCATTCTCTCTCATGTCTCTTCACTATCTTTTATATAATCTGTACAACTACGCAGTTATCTCTATTGGGCCTCTGGGAGTAACTATTAAATATCGTTGAACGTGTGTGAATATTCCACTGAAGTGGTCCGACCAGTATTCTGGACTGTACTTGTTTTTAATGAATCAAATCAAGTTCATGCAGGCCCCAATCCTCTTTAGTTTTACACATCAAATCTGTGCACTAAGCTATCACATGTTTTAGCACTGTCCAAGACTATAATAGTTACCTGTATCCTTTCTTACACTTTAAGAAAAATGCTCTAGAAAATATTAGTCACTGAAAATCGTTTTCTATGACTTTCCTGCTGAGTGACTCGTCACAATCAGAGGAGCAGCTGTAAGCGTGATCTGGGTTAGTAAACAGTGATCGACTGGCCTAGACAACGTCTCTCGAGGCACAGGACGTTTTCCAGACGTTGTCGACCATGCAGTAAGACGTCGAGGCACAGGACGTTTTCCAGACGTTGTCGACCATGCAGTAAGATGTCGAGTCACAGGACGTTTTCCAGACGTTGTCGACCATGCAGTAAGACGTCGAGGCTCAGGACGTTATCCAGACGTTGTCGACCATGCAGTGAGACGAATTCATCAGTAATCCTGTCAAATATTCCTCACTACTACTGCCAATTATTCATCATCAACACTGACAAACATTCCTCGCATGAAGGAGGTCCTCAGTAACACTGACAAACATTAATCACTAATATTCCGCACCAACGCTGCCAAACATTTTTCGCATGCAGGATATTCTTACTTTATTGTATATTGTGCATCTTCAGCAAGTCATGTATTCACCTAGTTGTGCTTGCGGGGATTGAGCTCTGGCTCTTTCGGCCCGCCTCTCAACAGTCCATCAACCTTTTTTTTCACACACACACACACGCGCGCACACACACACACACACACACACACACACACACACACACACTTAGGCTCAGGAATCTGTACATCAATTGATTGACAGTTGAGAGGCGGGACCAAATAGCCAGAGCTCAAGCCGAGCTCATTGTTCTAAGCACAATTAGGTGAGTACAATTAGGTGAGTACACACACACACACACACGCACACACACACACACACACTTAGGTAATTACACACACACGGGATCCAAGAGTCAATGTTCGATCCTGCAGACGCAAATAGGTGAGTTCACACACACACACACACACACACACCCTGCCTAACTTATTGCATTTGTTAGGAAGCAGCGTGTAACAGGTACCTATTTACTACTAGGTAACAGGGGCATCAGAGTGAAAGAAACTCTGCCCCATTTGTTTCCGCCGGGGCCGGGAACTGATCCCCGGTCCACAGGAATACGTATTCAGCGTGCTATCTTCTCAGCCACCAGGTACCCACCATGTGATCCACATGCAGTACTGTGTGGACGTAGAGGATTGAGACCACAGACTTGCAATTCTTACTTATATGTGGTAAGACCATTTAGAGCTCTAATATCCACCAACAATTAGGGTTAAGCAAACGCAAGTCTCTGATCCAAACACGTATATTCTAAAGCTGTATAAACCCAAGGAGGGAGCGAGAGAGCGTCTCGTCTCGTCTCGTGGCTGTCTGCTTGTTTCTGTGTTGGTCGGTTGACTCTCTTGCTCCTCTAACGTTTTCTCTGACCCTCAGCCGTGTTGTAGGGGGTACTGAAGTCACTACAACTGAATCATTTCAGAAGACGACTACACTACACTACATTGTAGTGTAATGTAAGTTACTTTTTATTTTTTATCAAAATTATTATGTAAAGAGATTTTGGATAAATATACATGTATTTAGTGAACGAATTATCAGTCATGCAGAAATATTGGAGAGTTGGTACACCTGCCATTGGAATCAGTTGTTCGTGTTTCAGATCGAGGTGCTCCGTATCTGGCTGCTATACCTGGCGGGCAAATCCGTATCTAACAGTTGTTTTCATACCTGACTTTCATAACATGGAGAGTAAGTATCAGTGAGCAAACCTTATGGCAAAAAGTTGTAGATGCCGTGCATATCTGTGATTAATTACGCAATGCTTATATAAGAGAGCCTAGCTAGGCCGAGAGGTGGACCTGCAGGCGGCGTTGGCAACCTGCCCTTTTTATAGCGCGTCACACTCTGACGTATACTTTACATAAGACCCCCAAAACTATCCTATTAGAAAATGGTAACGGCTCGCAAAATTGACATACTGTTCCGTTTTCTGTTACGTGGAGTTTTCTGGTAGGGTAGGATGAGGCACTTACGTTGAACAGTTTCTTGATCTTGGGAACGCTCGCGAGAATCGGGTGATTTAGCTGCGTAGCGCCACTTGGCTCGTTCTCATGGCACCTCACCACAGTTAGATTAGTTCATTTATTATTCACCCCATACCGAACTTGTGGGCGGTAGTGGTAAGGGTTATAGAGGCACATTTACCCAAACAAAGGGCAACATTAAGAAAACATGGAGCACAATTTCACAAATATTGGGATCAAAGAAGATTTTAAATAACAAACCAATACTCCTGTCCAATAACGATGGTCAGCTTACAGCCTCTGATACTGCTATTGAGTTCAATAGGTTCTTCTCTTCCATTGGGTCATCCCTTGCAAATGATATTCCATCTTCCAGTAATGATGTTCAGGACTATCTTACAGGTAACTATCCCCAGTCTCTGTACCTAACGCCTGGAAATTCCACTGATGTTAATAAGATAATCCTTTCCCTTAAAACCAAGTCTAGTGCCCTTGAGGAGATACCAACTTTAATTTACAAAAAAGCCTCCAGATCTTTAGCTCCTACTATTGCATTGCTCTTCAACAAGTCACTTGGACTAAAAACCTTACCAGATATTATAAAAAAGCGAGATTAACCCCTGTCCACAAATGTGGTGATCTCACTGATGTTAACAACTACAGACCTGTATCAATCCTGCCTAACTTGTCAAAAATATTTGAAAAACTAATCTACAAGCAGCTTTACTCCTATCTAGCCAAACATAATATACTTAGCTCTTGTCAATATGGCTTCAGACCCTAAAAAAAAGTACTAACGATGCACTTATTAGTATGATTAACTTGATACATGTAGCTCTTGATAAAAATGAGTTCCTTGTTGGGTTATTTGTGGACCTGCGTAAGGCTTTTGACACTGTCAACCACCAAAACCTTCTTCTTAAATTACATCATTATGGAGTCAGAGGTCACCCTGCAATACCTCAAATCTTACCTTACTGACAGGCTCCAGTATGTTTCTGTGAATAATTCAATTTCTCCCACCCTACCCATTAACATTGGTGTTCTTCAGGGCAGCATACTTGGCCCTCTCCTCTTTCTCATCTACATTAATGACCTTCCAAATGCCTCCCAACACCTCAAAACTATTCTTTTTGCTGACGACACAACCTTCATTTACTCCAGTCCTGACTCCCTTGCTCTAAATGTCACAGTAAATAATGAGCTAAATAAAGTCCATCTTTGGCTAACTGCCAACGAACTCAACCTCAACATTGACAAAACTTTCTATATTTTGTTTGGCAATAAATCCTCAAATCAAATAAATCTCAGGATAGGGAAGGGAACTGTCAGGGTAAAGCGCCAAGTCATTACGACTATATAGCACTGGGAAGGTGTCAGGATAAGGATTTGGGATGGGAAAGAATAGAACAGAAAATAGTTGGGATGGAGACTGGGAGGGACTAAGGTAGGAAGAGAGAGAGAGAGAGAGAGAGGGGTGGAGTGGGAAGGAGAATGTAAGGGAGGGAGAATGGGAGAGTGAATAGGAGGTAGGGAGGGGGAGAGAGAACGAGTAAAAACGCTTGCAATAGTGTGCTTCTCCTGCAGAGGGGAACTACAGCCATGGGAAGACTGACAGGAAGCACCTCACAGCTAAGGCGAGGAAGGAAAAGTTTGCCATCTTGAAGAACATCTTTATCATCTCTCTGGCTTTCACCTTCCTCTTCACCAGCCACAACTCCATTGCCAACCTCCAGTCCTCCATCAACAGGTGAGTATACCTTATGTGGTCACAGGTGGCACTCCATGGCAACAAGTGGCACTCCGTCAATTTGTGAATATCACATTGTTATTCATCTATATAAGTTGCAGATATGAAGTACTGTTAAGAATGCTTTATAGTGACTGTTGCGACTCACTGTATATCAGATACGTTAAATATACTCCGCGTCATAGAACTTAAGTGATAAATTCTTTGTCATTGTACAGTTATTCATTGATATCTATGCTGTGAATGTAATTTATTTAAGTGACACAAGTATATGTTCACTGTCATTATTATACACATTCCAGTTTAATTTTGTTCCGTATAAAATTCGGATAGCATAAATAATTATTAGATGTTTTTATTTTATGTCGTGTCCAAGTGTCAAACTACCTAATTGCCTTATTAACGAGTGTGCGTCGAATGTCTAGAAAGGGACTGAGAGCGTGTGTTGTCTGTCTGTGTGTGTGAGAGAGAACCAACTCAGGGAAGCTAACCCTTTTCTTGGTCATTCAAAATATAGAAATGATTAAAACATTGCATACCATTCTTTTACCTGAAGAGAACATCTCTGAATGTTCCTGTACATTTATTACTATATGAATTAGTATTATGAAAGAGGATTACTTACTTTTCTGAGGCACCGTTGGTACTGAATTTGTCAACTTTATGTCTGTTTTCACCACCTCGAGTCATTGGACTGATGAAGGGCAACGACGGAGGTCGTGTATTCCAGCCTAGTTAGGGTCATGAGTTTTATATATCTTTGGATATTATATTTTATGAATTACTGTTATGTGGAAAGGTAAGAACTGTGTCTTGCTTTTTTAATCATATTTATATTTTTATGTTAAGTGACTTTAAAATGGTCAGTCTCCACGTTACTTAGATCTTACCAAGCGATTTGTGAATGATTTTTTTTCAGTCTATACTGGCTTTGATTTTGCCAATCCAGAGGGAATGCCCAGGACGCAGCATTTTTTAGAGAAACGGAACTGCTGCTCTTTTGTTCATAGGGCTGAAAGATGGTCTCTCGTCCCCCCACCCCCCCCCCCCCCCACCCCCTCTTGGGCTCATGAACTTAAGGTAGAACTTGAACCGCATCCCCTCCCCCCTCACTCCAGTTTCCCTACAGAACACTCTCCAGAGCATATGCTCCGCGGAAATCGCCATCCTCTTCCTTCCTGGTACTCTCTGTTTACTCTCTAGATCCGCATTTATCCTGGGCACTTGCCCATCTTTATCAGTGTGTTCGATTCAACGTTTTTTATTTCTTTGTACTAAATTCCTTATTTCCTTGGATTTTCGTTGTCAGTTTCCTGGTGTTCCTTACGGTCTTTTGCTGCAGGGTGGATGGCACGGAATCGCTGACTGCCCTCAACGCCGCTTATATCTTCTCCTGCTGCTTCCTGCCATCGTGGCTACTGACGGTGCTGAAGGAGAAGTACACCATGGTGGCTGCCATGCTCTGCTACCCCTACTACATCGCCGCCCAGTTCTATCCAGAGACCTACACGTTGGTGCCCACAGCCGTCATCGCGGGCCTGGGAGCCGCACCTCTCTGGTCCTCCAAGTGTACCTACCTCACCAAGGTAAGTCACGAAGGACCTTCATACTAGTATGGTGAAGATACTTGCTGCATTGTATGGATCCTAGAAGCAGGGTGTAGATACTAGAAACAGGGTCTAGATACTAGACGCAGGGTATAGATCCTAGAAGCAGGGAATAGATACTAGAGGCAGGGTATAGATACTAGAAGCAAGGTATAGATCCTAGAGGCAGGGTGTAGATACTAGAAGCAGGGTATAGATCCTAGAGGCAGGGTGTAGATTCTAGAAGCAGGGTGTAGATCCACGAAGCAGGGGTGTAGATACTAGAAGCAGGGTATAGGACACTAGAAGCAGAGCGTAAAAATAATGAACAGATTTGATTCTCAATTTTTTTCAGCCATTTACGTCTTCGTTTCAAGATCTATTACTAACACTGCATAACAATTGTATATGGTTCGCAATATTTCATAATGGATATTTCCTTCTTGAACATATAAAAATTGTTCCTATATTCCTAAAGGAATGATAATTAATGAAAAAGAAACGTCAAGAACTGCATTTACAAACCCTAGAAGAACAACATTAAAAAAACTTTACACCAACTCCAGCAGGAGGCGGTTCAGAAATATATGGCAAGATCCTCTATAATTATATAACTCTTCTGAAAACTACTGTTATCTCTGATATTATTTGACAACAATTACTACCTAGTGCGTTAGCTTTCTTCAAATGATGTATTTTTACAGCATTTTTCTTCATAGATTCTGATCATTTTATTAAAAAAGTTGTAAATTTCTTTCTTCATTTACAGCGTTATTATTAATTACGAAAAGCATCTGGTAAGAGCCAATTAAATGGATGATTTTCCCACATACATAATATGGTGGACACATATCAGAGGTCCTCGGAATATAATGTAAAAAGTGACACATCAATTTGTATTGTGTGTCACAGGCCGGGAAGAGATACGCAACGCTGGTAGGCGAGAAGAGTGAAATCGTCATAACAAGGTTCTTCGGCATATTCTTCGTGTTCTTCCAGTCAGCCCAGGTGTGGGGCAGTATCATCGCTTCCTCTGGTAAGACTATAATTTCCTTTACACTCGTGGGTTACTCCTCGCCCATCTTTGCAGGGGTAATGGACTGTGGGTATGGGACAGACCAGATCGTCAGCCTTCCTTACCCTGTGATGCCCACCACCAGACCCCCAGACTCCTGTTTGGTCTGAGACACAGCACACTCTCTTTCTGACTCTGTAACCAGCTGTTGTTTTAGTTGTTCTAGATTCAGCTATTCAGAACGAAATGTCCATGTAGCACGGGCTATAGTGAGCCCGTAATGGGGAGATGATATTGAAGAATTGACAGGGAAGGGGGGTTCGAAAAAGAAATGAAGGGGGGTGTAAGGGGAAGGGGAGGGGAAGGGGAGTGGGAGATGTGAGGAGATGAGAGGGAAAAGAAGAGAGGTGGAATGGGAAATGTGGGGAAAAGACAGACTATACTGGGTAACCTTCCTAATCTTGCATGTGTTAAAACATGCAAAAAATGTATAAACAAATGCTACCCAGTTTAGCGCCTTCTGAAGGGTACTTTCACGCACAGATTCATTACACACTGTTGCCTTCATAGTAATTCCTCTCCCTCAGTGTTATCGGCGGGCTTGGAGGAAGCCAACGAGATTGATAAAGCGGCGCTGCAGTCCTGCGGCTACAACTTCTGCATCGCGGAACCCACCAATGCCTCCAACAGCAGCGACTCCGGCGGGAGGGAAGGTCCGCCTCTTTGGCAGATCTACACCATGGCTAGTATCTTCCTGGTCTTCTCTCTCTCCGCCAGCTTCATTGTCCTCGTCTTCGTGGATCCCCTCAGCAGGTAAAGGAGAAACCTTGTAACTAGCGCTTCGAGATTGTCTGCGCCTTCCTGGCATCAACATTCCTTGCTGAAAACTTAGATTAAACGCAGGAGGTTCCTGCAGGAGTGCTGATGGAAACACCGGTTAAGGACAAGTCTTATTCACAGACAACTTTCAACTCAATGAGGAGCTTTTTAACACTACTGATGGAGGACTTACAGAATGAACAATTTAAAAAGTCATTCACAGAGGGAGGAGGAAAGGTTGGAGAGGGAAGCCCAATACGGTGATTCCCGCCAAAGAATCAACGAAGCCATTGTGCAGAATTGGGTTCCTTTCAACACATAAGAAAATGTACGGTATCCTTCCTTAACCCTTTCTCTGCTGCGTCTAAATATATGTAGTTCTTTTGATCTATTCCTAAGTGAAGCTTTGTCTGTAATAAAACATTGGCTTTAAACTTGTGCTTCCATCTGAAAACTTACTGACTTTGGCAGTAAGCAGTCGGAAGTCTTGTTATAAATCATGCAAAATATTCTCCCACTCTCAAAGGTCAGGTGTAATTTAGTTTTGCGAGAGTGGAGAAAGTTTCAGTCTAGTGATTTATAAAACATTATTGCTTAATATCAACTGAGGGAAGACGATTTATGTATATAATTAACTCGTCACCAGTTTCAAAGAAATAGAAGGTAGTGGAGGAAGCGGTAAGAGCAGCGTGCAGCTGCTGGTGGCCACCTTCACCCACCTGCGGCACCCGTACCAGCTGCTCATTGTTCCCCTCACCATCTGGTGTGGCCTTGAGCAGGGCTTCCTCACCGCCGACTATACTGTCGTAAGTATCCTGTGTGTTTCCAGTACTGCTTGTCGTATAAACAGCACTGGAAATAAGTATAAAATAAGTCTCATTGTCACTCCACCAGCATATTTTAATTTCCAGAACAGCCTCTTGTGTGGGACCCTGTCAAAAGCCTTTTTAAGGTCCAGATACACAGTCAACCCAACTACCTCTCTCCTGTAGTATCTCTGAGGCTCTATGATAAAAACTAAGTAGATTTGTTACACAGGATCTTCTTGTTCGAAAACCACATTGTCTGTCCGTTATTATGTCATTACTCTCTAGGTGTTCAACCCATTAAGTTTTAAGCTTTCATCGAGTTTATCAACTGTTTTAGTGGCCCCATTCTCTTCTATCGCAAAATATATTTAATTTCCAACAGGACATGATCACTCTTTCCCAAGGGAGGTGTCTATGTCTCTCTTGGTTTAGTATGTTGTTGAGCAGCAAAGAGGGAGGGTGCCGTGTTTCGTCAAATCTAATCTCTTCAGTCTTATCAGTAGGCCTACCTGGTGTGCCCGTGGTGTTGGATGGATGAATGTTGGACACCTAAACAGGACGGTGTTGCGACACCTAAACAGGGCTGAGAACACGTGACGGGTCTCCCTCTTTTAAGGCTTGGTTGGCCTACGACCAACTGTCTGCGCTATGCAGAAAGCTGATCCTCCAGGTGAAATGTGCCGCCAGGGTGTAGCACATTTCTTCAGTTTGACTGTTCCACCGCCGGTACATGGAAATTCCTGTGACAGGCGCTGATAACTTACCTGCCTACCCTACCCTCAATTTCCTTGACATGTGTGCTCCTGGCGGGAAAGATCTTCGTGATTCTCATGGCCCTTCGGTTCCAATGATTAATGACTCCCTCGAGCCACGGTACTCTACGTGGTTTGCAATTCGGTTGCTGGGTCTCCTTCCTTCCTTCCATTCCTCGGTCTTTCCTCGGCTGGTAGGAAAGATCCAGACAGAGATACATCGGTATCTCAGGATATGGTCATGGCCTAGAGGAGGAATTGCGTTACGATGACCTGCGTCTGACATTCTGCTTCCTGGAGGCCAAACTAAGACGTCTGTAACCAATACAGTTCACGCCCATTGGGGTGCCCTGTTGGTTCATCGGGACTCCAGTAACGTCAGGATTAGCGAGAGACAAACACCTCAGTGCTGTAGCTGCCCCTCACCCATCAACAACATGACCAATTTTCTTGTCTCTCTACACCATAATATATGACAGCAGCTTATCCAATACATTGGAATGATAATCAGTCCAGAAAATGGGGCTGGGCTCTTCTAAACGTCACACTCCATGACTGTCACCTTCCTCTCCGTGACTGTCACCTTCCTCTCCGTGACTGTCACCTTCCTCTCCATGACTGTCACCTTCCTCTCCATGACTGTCACCTTCCTCTCCATGACTGTCACCTTCCTCTCCGTGACTGTCACCTTCCTCTCCGTGACTGTCACCTTCTTCTCCATGACTGTCACCTTCCTCTCCATGACTGTCGCCTTCCTCTCCATGACTGTCACCTTCCTCTCCATGACTGTCACCTTCCTCTCCGTGACTGTCACCTTCCTCTCCGTGACTGTCACCTTCCTCTCCGTGACTGTCACCTTCCTCTCCGTGACTGTCACCTTCCTCTCCATGACTGTCACCTTCCTCTTCATGATTGTCACCTTCCTCACCATGATTGTCACCTTCCTCTCCTTGATTGTCCCCTTGTTCTTCATGGTTGTCACCTTGCCTTCGATGATTGTTACCTGGCCCTCTATGCTTTGTCACCTTGCCGTCCGTGATTGTCACCTTGCTCTCCGTGATTGTTCCTAGTCCTCCATAATTGTCACCTTGCCCCCGGTAATTGCCAATCTGTATATACCCAAATGCTGCACTGTTACTGTACAAAACATAAACATTGAGCTCGAGTCACCATTATTGACCCATTGTGTTACAGGCTTACGTCTCGTGCGGGCTGGGCGTGCACATGGTGGGTTATGTCATAGTGTGTTACGGTGTGTGTGACGCACTGTGCTCGGTGGGGCTCAGTCGGCTGGTCAAGGTGTTGGGGCGAGTGCCGGTGTTCACTCTGGGGTTCCTCTGCAACTCTGGGCTCATCGTAGCCCTGGTCTACTGGCGGCCACATCCGGATGATCTGGTGTGGTTCTTTGTCATCGCCGGCTTCTGGGGGGCGGCTGACGCTGTCTGGCAGACGCAAATCAACGGTGAGGTCACAGAAGACTTATTCATCACTTGTGTAGTCATTCTGTTATGCTCAAGTTGAATGCAAAAATATTAAGAAGATAATATAGAAGCAAGGTGACATCCTTGAGCTGATGCTATTTGAATTTCTTTGTCATATTTGGTATTTTTATTTAGTCCTATGCGTTTATGATGAATGAAACATTCATCTTTTGTCAGCGCTCTACAGCATCATCTTCCCCGGGAAGTCAGAGGCGGCCTTCAGCAACTATCGCCTGTGGGCGTCCGCCGGCTTCTTCATCTCCTACACCAGCAGCAGCGTCCTTTGCATCGACGCCAAGATCACCGTCCTGGTCGTCTTCCTTGTGGTGGGCATCGTTGGATACTATGTCATCGAGGTCCTCGAGAAGATGGGCGGCTTGAAGAAGTAATAGTACGGCAATGTTATTCCGCTTGATGCATAAGTGCATCAAGCGGAATAACATTGCTCGCGCATTTGTGTTGCTCACGTGGCCCCACCAAGTGAGGTGATTCGACGAAATATCTGTGCCCAAGTTGACCACCGAGCATTGTCGGAGTTTGGATAAATAGGCTAAATATATATTCCATATACTAAATAAATTCCAGTCATTGTGGGCTCTGCTTAACATCACGAAGATTTTAGACTCAGCCATTTGTCAGTCCAGTTGGGACTTAGTTATTCTGAAGGCAAGTGAAAGTTCATTGACTTGTGATACAGTATTGATATTCATGATGAGACTTTATACCTCACTCTGGTTATGTAACGTCACTGTACCCCAACCATGTTCACAAACTTTCAGTCAGTCTTGGGGTGACTAGTGGTCCAATGTTGTTAGGTTATTGTGGCCTAGTAACATCTAGCTGGTATGACTTGTGCTTTGTGTTGATTCACTTCATTGTTATTTGATAGTGAGTGTGCACAGAGAGATTTGCGTATATAAGAAGCGGTGTCCTGTAGATAAGTTCGCCCCAGTAAACTAGTGGATTTTACGTAGACTTTCACTTTATCCTAGACCGAGTTACTCAGAATTATGAGGCCAGTTGGCTCATTGATTATTAAAGGAAAGTTCTATTCCACGAGCCTTACTGTGACAAGGGACACGACAAGGTGAAAGTTAGTAATTATCAAAAGAAGGCGCCAAGTCGGGAAAACTATGTAGCACCGCATGTGTTGCTGGATATGTAAAAGGTGCAAAATATCAATCAAGACGAAAACAAAAGGACATAAGGCGAGTGATAGCAAATGTTATCGGGCTTGCCAAGGAGTCTAACGAGGGAAATGACGCCTAACGAACAAGAAGAAAGCAAAATATACAATTATCCTGAAACCGGGATAGAAAAGGAAGAAAGAAGGCGTATTCCACGTTTCGCCTCAGGGAAAGATATGCGATTACGGTGTTTAAAGAGGAGGATGGCTTATTCAGATTTATATTGTATACAAGAACGCGGTAAAACAGAGTGGGCATCACCACATCACTTTATGCAGGAAGTATTAGGAGAAGAACATTCCGACCTAGAATGGTCTAAGGCACCATACAGAAATAAGACACCTCACTACCACATTTCGAGACCGCATAGCCGACTTCCAATACCTATTGCAAAGTCGTGGAGAGCACATTCCTGAACGGAGCACCTGGCACCCGCAAGAATTACCGGAGGGGATGATCTGACTATCAAAGGCTACCTTGACCACCTTAAGGGGATGACGATTGCGAGAGAGTCGAGTGAACGCGTCAACCCTGATAGGATAACCCTGTGCCTCGAGGATATGCTCAATATCCTGAAGTAAGTAATTATCCTCAAAGCAGTCCTTAAGTTCTCTGTCCCGCCGTCTCTACATGGGGTGGAAGAAGGATTGTGCCGACGCTGGCATTCAATAAAACGTTCTTTGAAACCCGAACTAAGGGTTCGCCTGTTTGAGATCGAGCAGCTAGGCGAGTAGCCACCTCCTTAGAGAGATGACCCTCGACGACCGGGGTACCAATCCGGTTGGGGAATCAGCTGAACACGAGGATCCGCAGAGTCTATAAGATGTCTTTGTGTCTGTAAACCGTCAGGGCGGGTATAGTCATCACGGTAGAGATCGAAACATTTAGGCCACGTAGCGGGATCAAACAAGTCTTGTAATGAAGTAGCTGTTGCGGAAAATATGTGCACACGGTGGCGAGGACATCACCACGGACCTCTTGGAATGAATTGTAGGCGCTGTAGTAACCATCAAAGTTTAAGTTACTCCATGTGACGTGGTAGTCACCACTGGGGACTCGGAGGTCGACCCTGCTAAGGAAGAGGTTGGGGAAGGGAGAGAATCTAAAGGGGTAGCCATACTCAAAGCCTGGTCTGGGCCCACCACAGCCGGAGGTATGGAGCTCGATCTTCTACCACAGTCCGAAAGAGTCCTGTTCGCAACCCTTACCAACTAGAGAAGAAGAAATGTGGTCAGAATTAAATATAAAAATCGGAATTAGACGTGTTTACTGCTCGGCGAACAAAGACATCAGTTGACAGGAAACGTGCTCAACCATTTTTGTCGCACCCGGGTATCGAGCCCGGAATTCTTAATTGTGAGTCAAGAACGTAGTCACTGTACTACCGATACCCAACCTATTACTTACCTTTGTGCTATACCAGCACAGATACTGATGAGTAATCACGTGAGAGTCCGTATGACTATACTAGACCTAGTGAGATATGGAGCCATGATGAGTAAGTGCATGCCATGAAGCCTCGGCATCCAGCCTGGATCTTCGCTCTTGTGGGAATGTGTGTCAAGGTCTATATTTCTAAAAACCAAATTGTCTACAAGAGAAGGAAGGGAATCTAATCTAGGCTGTGTTATTGCCTAAGCCCTGTGCTCTTTGGAAATAGAGGCGAATAACGTGGCCTTCGGTACAACTAAATGTGTGAGCAGCCTCAATATTGAAAAGGTTTATAGTAAAGTGTCGTCTATATTGCTTTTCAAGCACGAGCTACTTCATAGAATATTCCTATTTTATAAAGCTAACAATTAATTTGTTAGTTGTGAGGTGCTGTTACATACAGAGTAGTTCTTGGGCACCACTCGCAATCGGTGCACGGCCTACCATAACAAAACGGATGGTAGAACGATTCCATCGCCAATTGAAGGCCGCCCTAAGGTCTCAGGTATGCTCGACAATCTCCCTCTGGTCTACGGTATTCGTTCGGTGGAGAATCTTGCTGATGGGCCCAGTCTACGGCTTCCATGTGAATTCCAGCAGATCCAACACCGCAGGCTGCATCCTCCGACTTCTTAGGACAACGTAAATAAAAAATCAATACCATATATTGGACTTTCAAACACAGACATGCATACGTTTAGGCATTATATTTGGTTTTGAATGTGTTTTTGATAATTTGGAGAGGATATGTAGGACATAGGGGACCCGTCCCACCTTGTAATATTGGTAAACTAAAAGCATACGTATATATACTTCACGTCCATTGCACATTTATGATATTTGATCGTAGACATTATTTGCCAGGTATCTGATCCATGTCGGTCAAGTCACCTTCGAAGTGAAACTACCAAAATTCACAAAGTTTGACGTCTGAAAGCTATATCAGTGTTTGTCATCTGAGTCTGATAAGCCCAAACCTTGAGATTCCCAGGATTTCAGGATGATGTCAGAATTTCAGGATGCTGCATAGGCCACTTAATTATTTATTTATTTATTTGCAAGAATGTTCGCTTAATATCTATATCTCGTAGGATGGTTGGTCGTACATGTAAGAATATAGCAAGTAAACTTTGAGGGGAGAATAAAGGTTTAGTAAGAGTAGCGAGTGTGTGACGAGTTGCCAGGCGCGGCATCTGTGGCAGGGGGCGTGAGTGTCTCCTCCCAGTGTGTCTCAGCTGATGCTAAGTAAACAATCTCAGAGTCAGAGATTCTTCAGACGCAGCTGATGGTGGTAATGCTCTTTAGAGTATCCACTCCCACTCCGGTCTTTTAATCTAGTTAATCGTTGGGTGTGATTTTAACAATAACCATGTCAGAAAACTCCGAAGCAGGCGTCGCTGACGGGGTCGTGGCGGCTGTAGTCGCCAAATCTAGAAACAAATCAGGGTCTTCCTCGTCTGTGGGTCCCGTGGTTGGTCTCGTGACTCCACACGTCCACGACCCCAACCACAACCACAACTATCTCCACAGCCTCCACGACGAGGATGACCTCGCCCTCCTCACAGACCAAGAGGCAGCTTACGATGAACATCAAGAGGTTCTCTTTGCTTCATGTCAACTTTCAAGTATTTATGGGGAAGATAGTGGTACGTGTTTTTTTCTCGTTGTTTGTTCTGGTAGATGGAAAATGTGCTTTTCAAGAATTTATTTTGCTAGTATCTTTTCTGGCTTGGAAGGAAGGCAATTTGGATTGCCTTCCTTTCAAAAGTGTTGAAATGCATTAACCAATATGTAAATTTCATATGTAAATGTATACATACACTTCATATGTAAATGTATGTATACACTTCATATGTAAATGTATGTATGTATGCATGCATGTATGTATGTATGTATGTATGCATGTATGTATGTATGTACAGTATATGCTTGCATGCTATATGCACAATACACATTACAGTGTGTCCTTAAGTACTATACTGTGTACTATTCCATTTAAACTTTGATGAAAAACTATAATCATTGTTTGCAATTATTATGAGGCAAGAGGTCTGCCATAGATCATCTACTACAGTATTTTCTTCATTGATTGCCATATATGAAAAATCATGTGTATTTTGACTTCTTATGACTTATGCTATTTTTGTTTTCTTTTTAGGAATCACTTGGGGTAAAGCAATGTTCCTGATAGTCAATGCAGCCCTAGGTGCAGGGCTTTTAAACTTTCCCAAAGCTTTTCATGAATCTGGTGGAATTGTTAGCGGCAATCTTATCCATATTGTAAGTACTGAATAGTATTTTAATTGTACAGTAATTGTATATTGACATTTTTGTTATAATAAAATTCTGAATTATCTCTGATCCTCCAATCCAAGATTGCCCTACATTTGATGTATGTGACGCACCAAAAATTATTTTTCAAACCCACTCTGATTTCCACCCCATGAAGATTTCTGGTTTGATCCCTTGGCGAAACAGACACGCTTGGTCAGGGTTTCCTTTCACCTGATGCCTCTGTTCACTGTGCGGTAAATAGGTGCCTGGGAGTTAAGCAACTGTTGTGATTTGTATCCTGAGAAAGGTCAATAGCTGGCTTCAGGGGGACTTCAATAAGCCTAATAATCTTCCTGTCCCTGAATATGGGAAACCATAAGGTTAACCATATGCCTACATCTCTACTCACACCACTTGTAGGCTTCACCCCAACCACCACATACAAAGATAAGCCATCCCATACCCAGTGTGAAAATACAGATCCTCAGGTACCTGAAAAACAAGTTTGCAGGGGGGACCTTTTCATGACAAACTTCATTTGTGGACATGTGTAAATATAACTTGGCAATTGGGTAAGAGTGCAGAAAGTGATGATGCAGGAAGCCGCTTGGCAGGAAGTGACAAGAAACTATTCAACTATTAGAAATGAAAAGAGCAATAGTGGTGGTAGAACTTAGAGAGCCAGAAGAAATCGACAGTGATGAGTGAAGAGTGAAAGACACCTAAAATGATGAGGATTGTGACAGAGTTGCAGATGGCTAGGGCAGATAACAACATAGAAAATGTTTTCAGGCTAGAATGGTATAAGTGGGACCAAAGAACTGAAGCTCAACCACCCACCATTTGCCCATAATCATCCTATGTGGACCATATGCTTGTACTCACACCACTGACTATAGGCCTAGTCCCACACCACCCACAATATGCCCATACTCATAACCACAGCACCACTTCCAACCAGTTGAATCTCATCAATCTCCATTCCCCATCTACACCTCTAATAGATTAATCGAGGCACACTCTTTTTTTTATTTTGCTTGGCATGTTCCTAGACTATTTTATAGATAGTATGTGCATATGTATGACATGACATAATGACAGAGTATACTTTCCTTGGCTGAACAGGGCACAAAGAACTAACAGCATTGTAGAAAACCAATTAAGAGTAGACTTTCATTTGAAAATAAGGTTCTGAACAAAAAGAACGAAAAGTATTTTTGACAGTTGTTACAGGTGAAACAATACCTGATATAATGTGCTCTTCATTTTGTATTTCTTTACATACCTCGTTCAGTAGGTTGCAATTTAAACACATCGAGTTGCTATATAAAGATAACAACTCTGCACAAGGTTTTCCAAGAATGCAGCCCTCATGCAGATTGAGGTTTGATTATATTTTGACATGTAGAATTAATTTTATGCATGTGGTTAAATAAATGAAGCTTCATTCACTTTATAATGGAGAGGGAATTTCTTCTATAAAAGTAATGTTGGCTAATTCCTTTCAATTTGTAAGTTGCATATATTTTCATTATCCTGATCCACAGTTTTGTGGGGTAGAGAGGCACCAAACTAATACAAAATGATGAATAATACAACAAAACAAGGTTATAAGTATAAAATACTAAAATATTAAAACTATCACTATTCCATTCATTACATCAGCCAAAATATAAAGCATCATTGATAAATAAGGAACTCAACATTCCAGTAGTTCTCCACAGCAGTAGTACATATATTTGTTCCCTAGCGAGACCAGGTCAGGTATTCAGGAGACGAGGTGTGCGGTATTCCTCATGAATTGTCACTTGCAGTAAGAGAATGCAAATACATACACTTCTAAGAAGTCACTCCTATCCATCCTTGTTCATTCACTTTAGAATGGAGAGGGAATTTCTTCTATAAAAGTAATGTTGGCTAATTCCTTTTAATTTGTATGTTGCCATTTACCATGTACATTTGCATTTATTTATTGTACAGTACTTTGCTTATTAAACAAAAAAATCTGCATTGTTTTAAGATGTTTTTAAATTTCAGATATTCACCTCATTTGCTCTTGGATCTCTCATCATTATTGCTAAATGTTCTAATGAACACAATTGTAAAACGTATCAAGAGGTTAGTAAAATTCTTGCCTAAATATTATATTTTGTTCCTTTTTAAGTTTTCAGTTGTTTGCTGCAGGTATTGTTCATTGAGTTTAGTTTGTAGAGTGCTTGCTTTGCTTGTACTGTCTACATTTACAGAAATGTCTGATATTAAAAGCTACCTCAAAATCTAGTACAGGTATTCCGGGGAATGAGTTCAGTCGTTGATAGTTTCCAAATGTTAGTAGATTTATAAATTTAAGTGTTTATTTCTTAAAGCTGCAACATTAAAATGGTAAGAACTGAACTCCGCCTACCTGGAGATAACCTCTGGCTATCTTCCTACCACACCTGGACAGTGGTTGTTTGATGGAAACAACAGTCACCTGTCTGAAATTATCAGCTCAGCAGAGAGTGAGGTTACCTGATGTGACCTGACCTCTACTTAACCTGTGAACAATTAACGCTTGAAAAAGTGTGACTTTTGAATTGATAAGGCCGACAGCCTGGTGCCGCCAATATCGTGTGTGACTGACTCTCCTGTATGTGAAATATTAAATAAAACCATTTATGGTGTTACACCATTGTGATCCATTTAGAGGCAGAACTTCGCATATGATACTGTAGATTAACAAATGTAATTTCTCGGCTATTTACAGAAGCATATTTTTAACTTTTGGCTGTGTAATTAATTTGAAATCATATTAAAAGCGTGCCATGAACTCTTGGTATTGAAGGAAGCTCATTTTGGAGAAGCTTTAGCGTCATCAGCTGTATATCATGTAATGTACAGTACATTAGGTCATAAACAAGTAGATTGACTGCTGCTTGGAATTAAATTAAATCTTTTTGTTTTGAGTATGGGATGCAAACAGGACCACACCCAGCCACTACTGTCATAAACTCTTTTGTAGTAAAACATTAACCATCACAAAAACTGTCCCAGTCAATATTCATTTCAATCTAGGCTTGAATTGAGTATTCCTGTAATATACTAAGATGGGATCTGCCCTTCTTACAATCATTTTTGGCTATTCTAGTCATTTTCAAATTCTTAAAGAGGGAACCCTTCATATATCTAGTCAAATAGTTTTAGATTATTAGCTGGCTTTCATATGATGTTTTCCACACAAAGCATTCTCAGAATTTTGGCACTGAGAAACAAGCACGTGTCTAAGGACAAATTGCATATGTAATGTTTTTTGTGATATTCTGTACTATAAATACTCACAATTATAAAGTTTTCTACAAAGCAAAACTTTTAATATTATTCTACATAATGCAAAATGGAAAAAAAAATTTTGTTCAAGAATTTAGCATTTCTATGATACTTAGTACATAGCCCACCATAGCATAGATTTGGCTATGTTCACTCTTTCAAACCAGCACATTTAAATTCTGAAAAAATTGGTTCTCGGTTAAGTAACATTTTCCTGATTATAAATGTCATAGAAAACTGAGGAACAAGAAAAGATGAGACAAATTGGGCACTAGTCCTAGTTTTAAGACAAATGCTCATTTTGTTATGTGAAAAATTTTGTTGTGACATAATCTATATTTTGTCCATCAAAATGTTCATCAATACAGTATTACTACCTTCCTTTGCTAAGAATAGCAAAATACATTACAGTACTGTATTATGCTTTCTTTTATATGACCCAGTTGTTGAGAGTAATTAAGAACATAAGTCTTTAACAAAGTGTAGCTATTAGAATTTCACCCTCATTTTATTTAGTAAAAAAAAATATATATATTTAAAACCAATTAAGATTCATGTGTATCAGGGACAAAACACTATGTAACTAATAAATATTGTTTAAATCTTCAGCTGGTCCTCCACATGTGTAGTCCAGGGTGGAGCATGGTGACTTCTATATGTATATCCGTCTACTGCTTCATTACGTGTATTACCTTCATCATTATAATTGGCGATCAATTTGACAGAGGTTTGAAAATGATTGTATTATTGTTTTTTGTTGAACTGTTCTAATTTAATATGCTTAACTATCTAACATGTTCTTTTTAATTTTGTAAAAACTAAGTTTAAACAAATTCAATATACACTGAACACCCACTTGAATGGTACACATTTCATCGGAATGCAGATTGCAACGAAGGCTTTGATAGCCATTTGAAAATGTTGAAGGGTGTCTCAGAGACTGAAATTTTGTGTCCTTTCACTTGCATGGGTGTTTCAAATAGGTTGGTGTCCCACCATGAATCACTGGTGTCTCCTCTGCCTCTGGGGTTTTCCACATTTCACTCTCTATTAGAAGATGGAAAATTACCTTGAGGGCCCCCTAGATTCTGTCATTAACCAGGTATGAGATGCTGTTCCAGGTTTGAGATGCCAGGCTCATATGGCCTTTCTTCTTCTCTGGTAAAGGATGCAGTGACAGGAAATTTATAGGTACAATGAATGAATGTATTAAAGAAATATGAAAGAAAGATGAGTATTTATGTTCTGAACTTCGTGTGGTATACTTCCTCTTTCATATTTTTTTTTTTTTTACTAGACTAATTGGACTGTGGACAAATTAAGCACATCAGTGGTTTGCAATCTGGTGTCATAAGATAGTGTAATTTCTGAAGAACTACCCTAAGTAGAATGGGTCAAAGTACTGTACCTCACGCAGCTAAGGTGGGGTCACTTGGCCTCTCTTGGGTTGGACGGTAGAGCGATGGTCTCGCTTCATACAAGTCAGCATTCAATCCCGACTGTCCAGGTGGTTTTGCACCATTCCTTCCTCCCCTCCCCTAGGGAGCCGGTCGGCCGAGTGGACAGCACACTGGACTTGTGATCCTGTGGTCCTAGGTTCGATCCCAGGCGCCGGCGAGAAACAATGGGCAGAGTTTCTTTCACCTATGCCCCTGTTACCTAGCAGTAAAATAGGTACCTGGGTGTTAGTCAGCTGTCACGGGCTGCTTCCTGGGGGTGGAGGCCTGGTCGAGGACCGGGCCGTGGGGACACTAAAGCCCCGAAATCATCTCAAGATAACCTCAAGATAACCTCCCATTCCAAATTGTTTTCCTGATCCCTTCCAAGTACTATGTAATTTTAATGGCTTGGGACGTTCTCTGATAGCTCCCTTTCCTTCTCCTGGGTGTGTTTTGACTGTGAAGTGATCAAGAAGATTGTCTGAGGTATGTTATCTCATTGTTTGTCCATAGCTCAGTACAAATGGGTCTTTTTCCTGGATTCAAGTGTGCATATTAGCATGTTCTGATTCATCTGTGGTTCAGGAATTGGTTGGGCTTCAGGGCCGATCAGTCGCCTTTTTCCACTTTCCTGCTTTCCACTTTGGGTTAAACTCAATTTCCAGAGTGTCCTCCATTCCAGACTTCCCAAAGTCCTTCAGGAGCCTTGGCTCCTTGGGCTCGGTGTTGTGGCCTACCTCAACAGCTGGCTAGTTCCGGCTCCCAATTGTCAGTACTGTACTGCAGTACATTGTTTTGACAGTTATGAAATTTTAGTATACTGTACATTAATATTTGTTGAGCTCTATTACATATTACATATTGAACTCTATTACTAAATATTAGGCAAGTCTAAATATTTGATAGTGGCCACTTAAAGATTGACCATAATATTTTGGCAGGTATATTTATAGACTTAATTATGGTAACTTTTGTTGCTCCCTGTAATATATTTTTTACTGAATATATGTTTTAACTCAAATTTATCCACATTTTTCAAAAGTTTACTGTACTGTATTAAATCAATGTAGTCATTTGATGTTATATAAGAAAAAAGGTCACAGAAGGAGAAATGGAGATCAAAGAAAAATGCATACTCTTCTAAGTAAATTGTCCATTGCAGAAGATGAGTTGCAATAAAGTGGCTGAAAAATTGATACCCAACCCACACATCTGAAAATGAAGAAACGATGATGTTTTGGTTCATCCTGGACCATTATCAAGTCAATTACATGTCTTGATAATAGTCCATGACAGACCGGAATGTCATTGTTTCTTCATTTTAAAATGTGTGGGTTGGGTATCAATTTTCCATTTTTAATACAGTATTAAAATCTATAATTCAGACGATGAGTCACAATTACATGGCTGAAGATATGATATCCAAACTACACATCAAAATATGAAGAAATGACTGCGTTTCGGACATTGTTTCTTCATTTTCTTATGTGTGGCTTAGATATCAAAATCTGCTGTTTTCAGATGAATCTTTGATCTTAAATAACCTATAATAAACAGTACATGTCTTGTGAGAAAATGACTTAGTATCAACATGGCTTGGAAAGGTTTCCAGGATGGAACTTACATCAGTTGTCTAACTCCCAGGTACCTATTTACTGTTAGGTAAACAGAACTTTCGGGTGAAAGGAAGTGTGCCCAACCATCTCTGTCCCATCCGGGGATCTCACCCAAGCTTAACAGTTGTGAGCTGAGGAAGTAGACCACTGTGCTATTGGGATTCATTGTGATGCATTAGTTATTTCTTAATGGTTTTTTCTACCTAATAAGCCTAGATGTTTGATTTAATGGCAAGAGTTTGTATGATAAGGTGCTAATTTAACATACCATATTTAACACTTGTTTAGTAATTTGTACATTTAGCACATGTAACTTAAATGCAGTAATTGAAGTTATGTATTCCTATTATTGCATTAACCATTTTTTCAACAATTTCAGTGTTTGCATCATTTGTAGGAAAGGATTTCTGTCATACATGGTACTTAAACAGAAAGTTTACGATGACAGCATCATCGTTGCTGCTCATCTTTCCCTGCTGTTTCAAGAGGATTGACGGACTTAGGTTTATGAGGTAGATATGCTTTCTCTAATGTATATAGAGATTTGTTAATTCACTTAATTAGGTGTTGCTACTTCACTTAATACCTACATGTATGTACTCACCTAATTGTACTCGCCTAATTATGCTTGCATGAGTTGAGCGTCGGCTCTTTGATCCTGCCTCTCTACTGTCAGTCAGCTGGCATACAGATTCCTGAACCTATTGGGCTCTATCATATCTACATTTTAAATGGAGTATGGATTCTGCCTCCACCACATCACTACCTAGTACATTCCGTTTAACTAACTACTCTTGACACTTAAAAAAGTTCTTACTAATGGCTTTCTTTTTCCATGTATTTCTATTGTATGTATGTATGTGTGTGTGTACTAACCACATACAACATGCTAGATCATGCAGCCCATTCTCTTCATTTGCCTCAATGTACAAATTGCAAAGGACTAACCTAACCAGAAGCCATGCATTTAACCAAACCAACTGTTGTGTAGAAAATGTGGGTATTTGTGAGCTGCTAATTTTCATAGTACTGGTACTTTGTAATTTATACGTTGGGGACCGTAACATGCAAAATGAGATGTACTGGCTAAGATCTTGACTGCGATGAGTAAAGTGGTGGGTGTGAGGCCTTTACATTTTAATTGTAAACACTTTTTTAATACTTTTATTTTTAAATAGGAGATTACAGTATAATGATTATAAGTTAATGCAATAATAATAATTGCTGTCACTGACAATGGTTAGCAAAATGTGCTATCCTGTTCATCCACTTGGATTAGTGTCTACAGTGACTACCTTGTTACTTGCAGGCAGGCCAGCATTTAATCCCCATTGGTCCAAGTTGTTAGCCACCATTCCTTTGCTCTGTCCTGAAACCCCCAGCTTCTTGTCCTCATTTGCCTTTTAAGTGCTATACTGCATAGTCTACTGGCTTTGCAATTTCTTCTGATAATTACCTCATCTTATTTCTATTCGGCCAGTTACTCCCATGCATCACTGTGTCATTTGGAGCTAACATGTTTACAGGTATATTGTTTTATGTAATTGCTCTTATCATGTTCACTCTTATTAACAAAAAACAATTATCTATTCAAGTGCCTTTATCCAATACAGAGTTTGTTGCCATTTGCAGGGTGGAATGTGGTGAGCAGCTCCTAGGTATTCCTGTTCTTGTAACACCATGCACTCCTTTCCCATCCCTTGTTATTTAAATATTTTTACAGCCTCTATTTCTCTGTTCACTCATTTAACCCATTCATTTACATTCACCATCTACTGCTTTCATCTCCTGTTTAACCCACTCAAATATATTTTTCATCAGCCTCTTGTCATCCAAGAGTTGGGCATCTTCTGTGATCTTTACTTTCAACTCGCTAAAATGTTTTGCTGCCTTAATACGTTGTGTATTGTATACGTTGTATTGTGAAAAAGTTTAGATGACTGAGGATTCTTAAAAGTGTGCTAGTGTGTTGTTATTCATGATGTAAAACAAATGTAAAACCTTTGTGTGTCGAATTGTGAGAGAAGCTGTTAGCTTTCATTATTAACTGAAAACCAACTTTCAACATTAAATGACCAACCCTTGGGCTGGACGGTAGAGCAACGGTCTTGCTGCATGTAGGTCGGCGTTCACTTCCCGACCATCCAAGTGGTTGGGCACCATTCCTTTTCCCCGTCCAATCCCAAATCCTTATCCTGCTCCTTCCAAGTGCTATATAGTTGTAATGGCTTGGCACTTTTCACTGATAATTCCCTCCCTCAGCATTAACTGGTGTTGATGTCCTATCATTTAGGACATTGTTGATAGATGGCGAGTCCTATCATTTCATACTCCATCTTGCTCATTTAATTTGAATGTAATTAAATTATAAATACTGTAGTTACTTTTATACATGTCTGTAACATCCCTCAATATTTAACTGATCACTAATATAAATTGAGAATTTTTTTCCCCAATTAAAAGTGGATCTCAATTAAGACGGTTTCCTAGTCTGTTATTAACATCAGAAGAGCCAACTGGACATTGGATTGAGTAGATCATCCTTAGGGACTTCAAGCACTAGCAAGAGTCTTATTGGCCAAACTGCTATTACCAATAACTTCTGTAAGTACAGTATAGGATATTATAAAATCACAATACAGTACATTATATATAAATATTTTGGCTCTGTGGATCTTTATCTGGATAAAACAGTCTGGATAATTTTATAATATTTTGACAATAAAGACAAAGTATGTTTTTTCATATTTTTTTAATGTTTTTAGTGGGTGTGTTCTGTATAAGGGTATGTTGAATTAAAATTAACTTGTTTTCAGCTATGTTGGAGTCATGTCAATTTGGTATTTGGTGGCAGTAATAGTAGCTGAATTCTATACTGGTAGCTACAAAACAGGCCCTGTTGTCATCTTCGATGCTCATTGGACACAGGTAAAGATAAAATTAAACACTCTTAAATGTTTTTGATAGTTATAATATTTTTAAAGTGATATATATTGTAAATATCTTTTATGTATATTTATTTAGAGTAGTTCTCTTACCTCTCACTCTTCAGGCTTCTACATGTCAAGTCTTTCACAAGGTAAACATTTGTTACTCATACCTTACTTTTAAAGAACACTATAAGGTAGCTGTCACAACTACAAGAAAAATGACAGGCTAAATAACAAGAACCTTTCAAACTAGAAATGCCAGACCAATGATGATTTGTTTCAAGATACTTCTGCTCTCTAGGGTAGAATATTGTTGCACACTAAGAACTCCATTCAAAGCTGGAGAAATTACGAACCTGGAGAATGTGTAGAGATCTCTCGCTGCCAAAATCGATTCAAGAAAACATCTAAACTATTGGAAAAGCTTAAAAATCTCTAAATCTGAATTCTCTCGAGTGCAAGTGAGATACACATATACATATATATATATAATAGTTTATACTCTCACATATTAGAGGGACTGGTTCCCAATATGCACACAGAAATAACTCCTTATGAGTGCAGAAAGCATGGCAGGAAGTACAAAATAGCCCTTTTGAAAAGTAGAGGTGCAATAGGTATGCTATGAGATAATTCTATCAACAATTAAGGGCCCAGAACTTTTCATTGCCCTCCATATATATGGTATCTCATGGTGTTCAAAAGAGAACTTGATAAACACCTCAACAATTTTTTATGATCAACAAAGTTGTGTCTCATACATCAGACTGCAAGCAGTAGAAGCCTGGGGCCAGATTCACGAAGCAGTTACGCAAACACTTACGAACGTGTACGTCTTTCCTCAATCTTTGATGGCTTTGGTTACATTTATTAAACAGTTTACAAACATGAAAACTTCCCAATCAATTGTTGTTATTATTATAAACATCCTCCTGGTGCTTCGGAGTTCGGAGCTCAGTAACTGTTTAATAATTGTAAACAAAGCTGCCAAAGATTGAGAAAAGATGTACAGGTTCGTGAGTGCTTGCATAACTGCTTCATGAATCTGGCCCCTGACTGTCTAACCTACCATCTAACAGCCTGACTGACCTGAGCTCTGGTCAGAGACTTAGACTGTTGAAACAATATTTTTATTTGTATTTATTTTATTTATTTATTTATATATACAAGAGTTCTTACATTCTTGTTCAGCCACTAGCACGCATAGCATTCTGGGCAGGTCCTTAATCCTAATTTTCTCAGGAACACGACCCGCCAAATCGTTTAACAACCAGGTACCCATTTACTGCTGGGTGAACAGAGGCTGCAGTTAAGGATTGGTGCCCAGGCAATCCTCCTAGGCCAGGATATGAACCCTGGCCAAAGCGGTCGTGAAATGCCAGGTAAGTGTCTTACCGCATTGCCATGGGGACTAAATATCATGTCTCAATTTTTACGAACCATTTGGCAAGTAGTAATGAGCTATTAAAGCTTCCTTGATTCTACTACATGGTGTTGCATTGTTTAGCAGCTGCAGCTTCTTTATTCTTCCTTCTAATGTTTTCTTCTTCTTTAATGATAGTTTTCTGTCCTTTTGTTTCATGAGATCTTTCCTGTGGTATCTGTGTATGATGAAGCATTGTTAGTGTTGGCTGAACAACAAACTAATGAACCTAAATCCTGTCATCTAAGTTTGTTACTATTTCTCTTGTGGTTTACTCCAGTTAGCACATGTTATTATGTACACTTTTTCTTACATTATTCAATTCATTAAAAGTGCAGGTGCTTACTCTTGTTTACCAGTTAAGAGCTCTTCCTCTTTCTGCTCATTTGAAGCCCAGAACACTGGGTTTGCACATTTCTAATTGCTTTGCATCTAGGTCCCCTGTTACTGTTGCATTTCTGTGGGCACACAGTGAAGAAATGATGCCCAAGCGTCTCAGTCTGCCTAGGGTTTGAACATAGGTCTTCTCACTTACAGGGCAAGGGAGTAAAAGTGTTAACCATTAGATTGCAGAGTGCTTCTGAGTTTGTCCCTAAAACTGGTGAAGCAGTCAGAGCATCATCGACATAGTAAAGCCAATTTCCATTGCTTTGCTGTGTTCACAATATTCTATTAAACCATGATATTTTGACTTGGATATTGATATTTACCACTGGCCAAAAACTGTTGTTTGGTAAATACAAATTTTAGAGTGTTTATGGTAATTAATTCATGCTTAATTCTGAACATGTTTCCAGATATGTGATGCCTGTCCTTACGTCCTTTTTGTAAGCAGCATGCTATGTGTATACAGTATATTAGATTTACTATAACTCTTTGAAGGAAAATATAATTCAAATTTTACTCCTGACTATGTGTTTTCATTAGTACTACATTTTTCTTTGGTTTCATTGGTTATGCAGTGTACCCAGATATTTTAGTAAGCATTTTTATAGTTTGTCATTGTTTTTCTAAACATGTCTCTCTGGCATACTTATTTTTAAATTTTTCACATTTTGTACATTTAGCAAGACCTCTTTTCAGTGTCTATATATGATATGCACTGAGATCTAGGAAACATGCACATGTAGAAAAGTAGAAGTGGGTGTTGTTGTCACAGTTATGAACATGTAGAGGTTTACTAAGAAAAGGGCAGAATTTAAAAGTAAATTTGATAAAGTCCTTACAGGCAAAATGTAATCTACTATTAAAATTTACTCTCTTGATGTTTCTGTATATTGTTTTAAACACTTTCTGCTCTTCATTACCAAGTAATAGATGCATGTTAAGCATGTATTGAATGCAATATTAATTTCATAGTGTTTTCTTCTTGATTTGCATGTGTTTTACACATGTCTGTTCTTTCATTTTATTGTTTACTTAAACTAGTATTATACCAGTACTTTACAAATCTATGAATGTCAATTTCTCTGTTATTAAGGATACATTTTCTTCTTGATTCCAGTTGTTTAATGTAGTCCCAACAATATGTTTTGGATACCAGTGTCATGTAAGCAGCGTTCCTATTTACTCTTGCGTGAAGGCCCATGATGCAACGTCATTCATTAAGGTTAGCTCACCGCATTGCACTAAAAATATTTTTAATAGTTATTCTCCATTCACTATGTTTCCTGGGAAGTTGAAGTTTATTTTACAAAATATTTATTGTATGAATGTGAAAACATACAATGAATATTTTGCATGGTAATTTATGAAGATGAATTGATTACATAATTTCAAATTCATTTGAGCCTTGTAGCTCTCTAAATGCTACTTGTCTTTTTTTTATTTTGTTTTAGTTCTGTATAACTCAGTAAGCACTTAACTAAATGAAACTTCCTGATAGTTACAGTTTAATATTTGAATATGTAATGCCTAAACTGTGTATAGTTTCTGAATATACTAAGCACTGACTATTATATTTTCACAGGCATGCATTGCTGCAATTGTGGCATGCTTTCTTGTATATACTGTTTCTGCTAACTATGGCTACCTAACATTTGGATCGCTGGTAAATGGTGATGTACTTCTATCTTATGATGCAAGAAAACCTCAAGTTCTCATTGGTGTCATTCTTTTGGCCATAAAATCATGGACAACCTACCCAATCCTGCTGTTTTGCGTGAGGTATTTTTGCTTTTTATTTATATTTTTAAATGGTAGTATTTTAATGAACAAAAGATTCCTGAATAGCATTTCCTCTGAAATCAGTGAATCGTCATTTTAAAAGTACATCCAAGACTTTCATTTCTTGCCTTTCATCACCCTATCTCCATTCCAAATTTAGTAATACCTTATTTACTGTTGCTTCACTACTATGATTTGTTAGGTTTAAATACTAGTATGGATCGGTTAGTATTATCACATCAGTAGGGCTCCCCCCAAGTGATGTGACTCAGTAGAGAGGAGCCATTTCGGTTAGATAGTTTCAGAGTGCCATCAAGGTCTGACTATTAAGTGGCATTTCATTACATTCAATCTCTCTTTTTTTTTATTTGCTTACTGAATGTGAAATATTACAGCCTAATGAAGCATCCTTTTAAGTCATTTACTCTTACAGGGAGGCAATGGGAGATCTTTATATCCAGCTGAGGTCACTGTCTCCAGCTGAAGCTGATGCAACTGAATCAGTACGTCGTAAGGTAATTCCTGGACTTCTTATACTGTATCATTTTTGTATCATGATGTAGCTATTTCCATTAATGTTTGAATCTTTGTGGATAATTCTTTTATATTTGCAGAGATCAGATATACAGTATACAGTATTTAAAAGGGAATCTTCACACACTTGCTTGTCAGTGGGGAAACAACGAAATACAAGATTCTCTTTAGTTACAAGAACCTCTTTTACTGCTTGTAGACTCAAACCATGATTTAATTGTCTTTGACATTAGTCAGTGGTCTGTGATATATGCCAATTTTTTTTTTTTTTTACTAAATATTAACAAAATAGTGTCATTAGGTAGGCAGTATTTATTGTATTTATTTTACCCCAAACACTGCATACTCAGATTTTAATCATGTGTTGTACTTGTTAAAATTGCATTTGTATGACTAAATTTGAGAATGCAGCATAAATAAAAATGGCACTTTATAACCTCACTGCTTCCAGTACTTCACACGATAGCCTAGATCTCGACTTTAAAATATCTTTGAATACAGTTTTGTGTTAATGAGCATTAGATGCAGTAGAATTACTAAACAAAGATGTGTATTTTCAGAACTTCCATGAAATATCAAAATAAATGTGTCAAGGTAGAAAAGCATGTCTATCATACTGTGTGTCAAAACTTACTGAGAATTAGTATACTGTATATGTTTTTCCTTTCAGTTGCTTGCACTTCTCCTGTGGGGGAGTTCGATGCTGATGGCCATTTTCGCACCAAATCTCAATGTTGTTGTGAAACTTCTTGGAAGTCTTGCAGCATTCTTCATTTTTGTGTTCCCAGGTGTGTATCTTGTATATACTTATGTTGTAATTGAAGCAAATGCAAATAATGGGAGAACTATTTTGGTCAAGTGAACTGAATTGGAATTGTTTGTTAGACGCCTTACTTTTCCTGATAAATTTAATATTAAAAAAAAATCAATATTCTTTTCTGCTCCCTAATCTTTAAGTGTGTCTAATCGCTATCTGTGATTACCTCCTGTGTTCATATCCCTAAATGAGTTTTTTTCTGGCATTAGTTTTGTCAGTTATTTCTGGAGGGACTGAACGGTGGCTCTTTGAAGTCATCTCCCTTAAATGGCTTTTACCTACTGACTCACATCAGCCATGTGTCCTGTATGATTTACCAGGAAGGATTGTTACGATCACCCTCACCAAGAAAGTATCCAGAAGAACAGTGAAGCCATACAGACAACTGCAAAATTCAGAAATGAAGCATTGAAACAGCTAAATAACTCCACAAATGATTCACTCAGAAACTTGGTCAAACCCTCTTTGGTTACGGCTGGCCACCAGCAAGTAGCAGCAGCACCTGGCCTCTAGTGCCATCTTGGCCATTTACATTCCCAGCTTTGGCATTTGCTTCAAGAATGTGTGTTTCAACTCTCATTTGTTGCATGTTATCTTGAGATGATTTCGGGGCTTTTAGTGTCCCCGCGGCCCGGTCCTCGACCAGGCCTCCACCCCCAGGAAGCAGCCCGTGACAGCTGACTAACACCCAGGTACCTAATTTACTGCTAGGTAACAGGGGCATAGGGTGAAAGAAACTCTGCCCAATGTTTCTCGCCGGCGCCTGGGATCGAACCCGGGACCACAGGATCACAAGTCCCGCGTGCTGCCCGCTCGGCCGACCGACCCTTTTTTGGACTTGGTCTATTCTTTGCTTTGAGCTGCATTTTGGAAGGGCTTAGGGCAGTGCTTTTCTAAGCACTCATATACCATTACCCCTGCTCTAGCATAGTAACTTCTCTGGTGAGTTCAAGAGTTTACCCCTGAGAGGCCAGGCTGCTGTGTAAAGTGCCTTCCCCTGAGTAGTGTAAGAGTCTTTAACGACTCGGCAAGACCCTGTTGTTGGAGGAGTTTGGGGGTTTTGTTTTGAGTGGGGTGCACAAAGGTTTGTGTGCTTATTCATGGGTAGACTGCTGACACCCTTCACATCCATGTTTATCTTAGGTCTGCTTTTGACATTAGTGTCTTTGTCAAGTGATCCTAGTGCCTGGGTGTCCTGCATAGTTATTCCTTCAGGCCCAGGTAAACCTGTTTCTGAGGGGGTCCCAAGTCACTCGGCAGTTGCTCGAGCAGCTCTGTGGAAGTCTGAACATCGCTGTGATCGTTTACCTGCTGGGTCGGGTTTAGCTGTGGTGTCTGCTCTGGTTCTTCGGGGCCATCCCTTCCGCCGCTCACATGATCGCTGGGTTCATCCACCAGGGGCCTTGCATCGGTTGCTGGGTCTTCGGCTTCCTCTTAAGGCTTTTTGGGGTTCAGTGCCTTGGCGCCTCCCAGAACCCTGCCTCGATGTGTTCATGGATGCCTCCTCTCGCAGCTGGGGCTATGTGACCAGTGGTCACCAGGCCAGCTAGGGGCAGTGGGCTCTGTCTTTTCGTTGGGCTCACAGCACGGTGTGGGAGTTCGCAGCGGTGTGGTGTGTGCTGCATTGAATTCAGCTATCTTGAGGCTCTATGATCTGGCTCCATTCAGACTGCTCTCTGGTGGTTCATTGCCTGAACGGTGAGGGGGGTCTCTACAGTCCTTGGCTCTTTGGAGCTGATCTCTTCAAGGGGCCTCTTCTGCTGAGTTTTCGGGGTTTCGCTCTCCGTGTGGTTCATATAAGGGGTGTGTCCAACTTCCTGGCGTACAGCCTGTTACAGTTCCTTTCCCTGTCTACGGATTGCACGGTCGATGCCAACTCATCCGGTTGTCTCTGACAGATGTTTGGGCCCTTGGATGTGGACCTTTTCACGTCGGCGTGAAGAGACGCCTTCTGACCTCTTCACGCGGTGCCCACTGGACCACAGTTCCTACAGTCGCCTGCCTGACCTCCAGGCTGACATTGTTGCCTGGAAGAACACCAGACGAGACATCCACAATCCCTCAACTGATAACTTTATTGATATAGTATATATATATATATGTGCCACCTGAGCCAACTTGGTCTTTGGACTGGGTGCTCTCCTTTCTCTCCTCTCCTCAGTTTGTGGTGGCCCCTTCGATCAATGATTACTTTCAAAATGGCTTTGTTTTTTTATGGCTTTGGCTTCTGGAGGTTGGGTTGAGGAGCTTCATGCTCTCCTCTGGTGCAGAGGCTTCTGCTTTCTTGGTCCTGGTGGACAGTTTGTTCGATTGCAACCATCTCCCCCTCTTCTGGCGAAGATTGAGATGGCAGGCTTCTGGAAGGGTCCTGTGGGTTATTAATGCTTGATTGGTCAGGCCAGGGGTGCATCATGTGTTGTGTCTGGTTGTGGCTTTACGTCATTACCTGGACGCCTCGGCTTGTGTCCGGGAATGCGCTGTGGGTTGACCAGGTATCTCTCATTCCCAGTTCCAGGTCTTGGGTCTCTTAGGTTGTCCACATGGTTATCAAGTCTAGCCAGCCTGCAGTCTACACTTGTGCCCATGATGTTCTGAAGTTCACAGCTGTGGCTGGAACAGGTCTTGGGCTGACATTCAGGTACGGGGGTTTTGGAGGTTAAAGAAGGTCCTGGCTGCCCAATATCTCGTTATTGTGCTGGGCCCTCAGCGGTCTTGTGTCATCATGAGTCCCGCAGTGTGGCCACCTTCCAGGTAAGTCCCTCTTTTTCCTGCTCTTTAGGTCGTTAGCTCCAGGGAAGCCGACGGGGCTCCCCCACAGAAAACCGACGTTGAATGTAATGAAACACCATTTTCTGGGTAGAACCCCAGAGGCTCTCTGGAGCTTTTCTCATGTACACTATGATGTAGGACTTTTAATTAGCTGAGTCATTTAAGTGTTAATGCTGCATTTGTAAATAACTACTGTAGTTGGCTACTGTATTATTCAGTTGTGCCTTTTGTTTTCAGGTATGTGTTTGTTACAGTTTGTTTTGGTCAGAAATGAAGTGAATGGCTCTAGAAGAACTATAAGAGAAGCTGGCCTAATGCTTATTGCAGCAGCATACATTGTGGTAGGTATTTTTGCCTTTGGACTAGCATTTGTTCTTGGTGTCGAACACATTATTCACCCAGATAGTGTTAAGCCTTTGTGTAAATAATTATGACCTTTTGTCATATTCAGTCCAGAAAATATTTAACCTCATTTTGACTTCAAATGTTATTATTTTATACGTTCATATGAAATATATTGTACATGTTTTCTCAGTGATATCAAAAGTTTGAAATCTCCATCTGTATTCATACTGAGGTGATGATCTAGTGAGATACATACATAAATACACATACACACATAAATATATATATTTTTTTATTGTCACCTACAGTATAGCAGAATAATTGATATGACTAAAATTTACCACATACAGCAAACTACATTGTCTTTTATGGTACTTCCAGTATAATTGCGTATCCATATGACTGTGCATCATGCATTTTGATTACCATCAGGTTATCTGGTATCATAAATTTATGTACAAATAATATGATGTGCTTGCTTTTAATTAAAATTTCATAGTGCAACACTGAACATTGTTTGTTGTTTTGTACAGTGAGGTATTTATACAAAAGAAAACTAAACCACACACAAGAAGATGAGGAGACGATGATGTTTCGGTCTGTCCTGGACCATTATCAAGTCGCTTGTGATATCACACTCGATTTGATATTGATCCAGGATGGATCAATATGTCATCGTCTTCTCATCTTCTGATGTGTGGTTTAGTCTTCATATCTTCAGCTGCATTATTGTGACTATCTGCATTTATATATATTTTTTTTTAATTGTTTTTAGATTTCTTAGCTTGTTTCTCAAACTTTTAAATACATAACAAAAATATAAGTCAAAATTATTCACATACAGGTATTTAGAAAGTTTTTTATTTATAAGGAAAATATGATGGTTGTTGACTTGTATATTGCCAGTGTATATTACAGCTATACATAGCAGCTGCACACTTAATAACTGATATGTAGCAAAGACAGTAGAACCTTATTTTTGTAATTATTAATCTACATTTGTAAATTTGAATTAAAAAAAGTCAAATTTTACTTTTATCATAGGGGATTTGAACATATTAAATAATGACACATATTTAACTAATGCAAACTATAATATATGTAGTACATATACTATATGTATACCATAGTATACTATACTTTAGTACTATAGTATTGATATAAGTTACAGTATTTCATGTACTGACTATAATACGGTATTGTTTTGCACAATAAGAATGTTTATTCCATTGGGAGCAAGTTACAAGGCTGTGGGTACAGTGAATGAGGTAGCTCAAATTGTAAGCTTACCATAGAATCTGAACAAAAAATATTTTCAATGGCTTTGTCCAGAACTATTTTTTCAGTTAAATTTTATAAGAAATTTAACCTTTTCATGATACTCAAATTCAGTGGGATTAGGAGAATTTCTGATGACAAAGACTTGTATATAACAGCACTCTTCGTACAAGAACTCGCATGCCATTCAAACTTGTGTGGAACTGAATATATAATGCATGGAATATTTTTATAGTCAATTTTTAACCTCACATAAGTAATCATCTTTATGTAATTGTTATTAAATGAATGAATTACTGTACTTGTACAAGCGTATTTTATAATTGGTTTTAAATTGTAATCATGTAATGTATTCTCCTTAATTAAGATGAAGTAGAGCATCAGTCAGTAAATAGGTTGTCTAATATCTCTACTACTACCATTCTTTTTTAAACAATTAATAGGCATTGTACTGTTGAATAATTTCATTGGGAGAAAGTGCTTTTAAATGCTGTTCAGCTACTTGCTTTCACGAGAGGATGAGAGTATTTGTTGCATTTGTATGCCCACACATTAATGTGACAATAATTTTGTAGTGTTGACCAAACCACACACTAGAAAGTGAAGAGACAATGACGTTTTGGTCCGTCCTGGACCATTGTCAAGTCAAGTGACAGTCGACTTGACAATGGTCCAGGACGGACCAAAACGTCATCGAATCTTCACTTTCTAGTGTGTGGTTTGGTCAACATACTTCAGCCACATTATTGTGACTCTCCATCTGCAATTTTGTAGTGGTCTCTGAGAATATAATGTACAGACAACATTATTTATTGAATATCTCAAATATTCACAATGTTTAGCCTCGAATAGTCTTTACATATCCACTTATCCTTGCTTGATGTAAATGGTGAGTGAATGAGCAGGGCACTACAATGCAAATCCAAACAAGGAAATTATGAGAAAACCCTGGAATGATTTTAAGCTTTGGCCAGTATAGTGTATTTGGCACAGTAGCCCTTTTTATTTTGTTTTCTGTGTAGCTCATGTTATTGGAAAAAATGAGTTAAATCCAGATTAGAGGTTAAGGTTAATGAAAATATATATATATTGCAGGCTCTCAGTTGTTATTTCTTAAGGTTTATAGTTTACTTCTTTGAGATTAACTTTCCAGAAATTCTTGCGTTTGGAAATGCTATAGCTTTGCTTTGTAGACAGACAAAACATGAGCTATAGCTTACAGTTGGCCATAAGTGTTGTAATGTGATAAATATTATGTAACTAGAAAATTGGCGTACAACTAACTATGCTTACAATTACACAATGATGAAACACAGACCTTTAAGTCATTTTGATCAGTATTATAACATACTTTAGGATATGTGAGGTACAGTACTTGATTTAATTTTGTTTTGTGAATTTTAAAGTTTGCATTTAATCATTTGTAATTGTATACATAGGATTAAATATGGCATTGTTACTGAAATCTAAGATAATTACTTCAGCCATTAAAAGTTATTCCTTTGTGGTGCATTTGTTATGATACAAATTATTTGTATCACTTTTTTGCTAGAATGGTGTTCCCACCAGACCTCCTTTAAGATAGAATATAAATAATGTCTGCTCACAGATAGGTCCACCAAGACAGTTGGAAAATATGTGTCATATGAGAACATTTATGCACACTTCTTTCAGTGTCTTTGTTTACTCAGACCTCTTTCTGTTTACCTGTTATTTTCTTTACTGTCTCTACATTTTTCTTAATTTTTCCTTACCATCTCACCCCTTTCCCCCCAACACAAACACATGTGCAGATACAAACAGACAGGTAGGCAGACACCAACACACACATGCACACACACGTAATAGATATTTCATATTTAGTGAACAGTTGTTATACAGTATATGCAATTGTGTTATAGGCCATATTTTTACTTTTTATTGATGAAATAATGAAATGGTTGAATTTTGAATGAATTGATCTGGAGTATGCACACCATTAGTGTCTTTTTAGCTATTAATAATCCATGCTCATCTTTTTATAGAATTCTCAACACCTTGTGTATTCAGTACACATTGACCATTGCAGGTTGTGAATTGTTGTGTACATTTAGTCTTTCATGAAGTAGACTAGATCTGTATTTTATACATAAAATCATTTGTTATTTTGTAAAAGGAAATAAAGATTTCTTTAATTTTAAGGCTTTTATTGTTGCTAATGGCAATAAATTTAAATAGCTTTGTAGATTAAGTTTAGTTTTAATTAAAGTGACTTAACTTCTTGTAAGAAATAGGATTGATTGATGTAGTCCTATTTCCCATCCATGTGTAATCTCCATTTTCATAAAATTATATATTAATAATATCCTTCTCATACTCCTAACCCCTAAATGGTGTAGCTCTTTTTAAAAGTACTACATCGAGATGTGCATGTTGAGAAGTTAACAAATTGAGTGATAAAAAATGGTATTTGGTGATTGGAGCAGTGTAAGGGGTTTAATAAGATTGGAATAATGTAAACAAAGCCTTAACACAATGCACCACTAAGTACAGTACAGTATGGATGTTTTTCAAGATCCATGTGTATCAACTTCATCCCATCAGCTCCATAAAAATTCAGCATTTTAATTGTCATACACACCTCTGTCATTAATTTTAAGCATGTATCTGATTCTCTAAATGCCCCTCTTTCACTTGTTTTGGCCATGATGAGGTATACTATTCACTAATTGCAAGTTTCTCATGTATCAATACGAGTACTGTACCTGAAAAAAGTCGTAAAATTGCTACTCTTATAAATATATAATATTTAATACTACATTAATATGCATCTACAGTACTAAGAAATTGACAAGAGAAAATTATATGGTAGTGGATTATGCACTCATTGCCCGCTCTCATCTACAGTATAGTACTGTACATGAACCTATTATGCTCCTAATACACTCCATGTTTCCTGTTCCAACTTCCCTATTCCAAATTTTCACTCACAGTACTTTGTTCACCACCTTTGCACTAAAATGTATTTCCAATATATTCCATTTTTCTTTTCTAACTGTTACATATGAAATATAGGCTAACACCAAAGGATTATCTTAATTATATTTTGTTATTTTATATACTGTACAACAATTTCCTTCCATAGTCTGACAATCCCACTTCATACAATAGTATATTTATTATCAATGGAACGTTCACATACAAGCATTAGTACAGTATTGACAAATTATAAATTTTAAAAATATAATTAAAATTAGTTGGGAGAAAATGCAAGTATTTATGATTCACTAATTATCCCAAGTCTAGAAAACACACAAGTGTCACACATTCATTAAAGCATTAAATTTAAAATTGTTCACACATACATTAGATCAAATATCATTATTCCTGGTTAAGGAATCATCAGAGAATTAAAGCACCTATACAATAAAGCATATATATAATTTACAAAAGTTTAATACTCTTAGGCAAATTGTATTACAAAAATATAATTTAACAAAATAACATTAAAAACGCAAACTATTACAAATTATGCAAATACAGACAGATCATGAGACGAGAATGGAGAATATATATATATAGGAACCAATGAGGTGTTCTTTGACACTAGTCATGGCTAAACATTAAAAATATTTTAACAAATTAATGAACTTTAAGCAGAGAATACAACAATAAATGGGGATCTCAAAAGAACAAAATTTAGTTCTATGTCCTAGCATATTCCATTTGCTTTATCAAGGCAAGCACCTGGGCAGGGTCACGGAGTGGCTGTCTATATCGTGATCTAATGAACCAGAGCCAGACCAAACCAATCACATGACCAATGAAGGTTATTAGTAGCAAAATAAGACTATATGAAACATGCTTACCCGAGGTAGAAGTACAATATACAATTATGGCCCAAAGGCAGTACACAAAGCTCTCGCCCACCTGCACAACAAGGTTATGTGCAGGGTAAAATGTATACCTCTCCACAACATCCACAAAGAGTTCCACATTCCTGTTTACTTTCATGAAGGCAAGGTAAACAACAAAACTGATGAACCCTGCAGCCTTGGCTAAGACGTAAGGAAAGATGATGAGGTAAAGGCCCATGAGTACGCCTGAACCACACAAAAGTATGGTCCTCACCACTGTGGGGGGAAGACAAGAGGTTGTGATCACTGTCACGGTAATAATGACAAAATGCACAATTATGAAAGCAGGTAAATAAAAGAAAGGAGAATATATAAACAAAAAAATGAGAGTGAGAGCATTTTTCAGTACTTTGTGTTTCTTCAACCAAGAAGGAGGGAGTAACACAGGATTTGGAGAAATAGATATATATATGTACTGTATATAGATAGAAAAATTAATCATTATGTCTACATAATGATTCATTACATTTAGATGACATAAGACAGAGCAAGCACAAATGTGTTTACATGGATTGAGCTCAAGCTTATGTGCCCCAAATCTTGAGATATTGTTCTGGTGCAATAATCTCCACCCTTTTTGTACTTTTTCATATGTACATTTTTAAATATTGTTATGTATGGAGTAAACCTTCACTATCACCACCTCTAATGCATCCCACTTGCTCGCTAGCTGTACTTGAAGAAATATTTCCATGTGTTTCCTAATTCATTTGAACTCTCAATATTCCTATTTTTTATTTGTCAACTTTGCTAATACCTCTGAATTATTGTATATAGTGTATTCACCTAGTTGTGCTTGTGGGGGGGGGATTGAGCTCTGCTCTTTTGGCCCGTCTCTTAACTGTCAATCAATCAACTGTTACTAACTACTGCTAACTAATTTTTTATTTTATTTTTTTTATTTTTCACACACACACACACACACACCCACACCCACACCCCCCCCCCACCCCACCCACCCACCCACCCACGAAGCAGCCTGTAACAGCTGTCTAATTTCCAAGTACCTATTTACTGCTAGGTAACAGTGGCATCTGGGTGAAAGAAACTCTGCCCATTTTTGTTTCCGCTGGCACCGTGAATCGAACCCCAAACCACTAGTCTACATATCCAGCATGATGCCCACTCAGCCACCAGCACCCTAATGTGATAGTCTTCTTTATTTCTTTCCTGTTTCCAACAATGTGAGATTTGCTTCACTGTTCCTAGTCTCATGTGTGATCTTTCTTTCCCTTGGTACGTAATTTCCTAAATGATATCATTTATGATATAAATACAAGAGCAAAAAGAAATAAGACAAGTGATGCCAAAAGAAGCTGAATTTGCAGTCATTTTGATTGTGTCCTCCATGTCTCACTTTTTACATTTAATCTTCTAAATGCCTTTTTTCTCAGAACAGTTACCTGGTATACCAATGGGCTGGCTCACTGAGGCACCATACACTGTAACTGACATATCTCCGGAAAACACTACAGTAGACTTTCCTTTGGCATAAAGTCCTCTCCTAGAAGCCTGTTTATACAGTGTGTGTTTGTCTACTTGTGTGTTTACATACACCACTAATTAGTAAGGGAACTTTCATTTGTTTATTCACAACTTACCATATAAGAAGAGCCTGAGACCACTGAGGAGCAGGACGTCATGGTTTGTTTGATAGAGAGACCTCTGCGTCACCAGCCATGTCAGGACTCCAAGCACTGCGCTAACGTATGCCATGGAGGGCACTAACCACACTGTAGGAAAGACACAGTTAACACCTGCTTACTACCACTAGCATGTATACCTCTATCCCTTTTTTCCTTCATTTAACTCTCAAGTAATTGTCATCTAGACTTTGGACACCACTTTACTACTTTATGGAAACAGCTACTACTTTACCTTGCCTTGCATTGATTTTGGGGCTCAATGTCCCCGTGGCCTGGTCCCTAACCAGGCCTCCTAACCAACAATATAATTATAATTATAACAGTGAATAATGATTACTGTATATTGTACTATGAAATCAATTCTTGTAAACGACTAATATTTCTATTATGTTCATGGAACAAAATTGTTGAATTTCTCTGTTACAAGCATTTTCTTCAACCACACTATTTTGTTATAATTAATTAAATAATAGCCTGAGTTAGATTACATATTATATAGCATATAAATGCATATGTGGTATTCATTATAATTAAAAAGCTTATATCCTCAGGTAGCAAGCACTTCCTTTATAAATCACAATGCTAAGGTATTGTACTGTAATATTAGACTGGCTATTCTATGACTTTTCGTATAAACAAATATTTTATTACACAATTAACTCAGGCTGAGTGCATAGATTTACTTCATGAGCCAAGAGTGATGCCAACTACCTATTTATTCCATGAACTTAGTCTCTGAGCCCATTTATCCCATAAATCAAGTCTCAGCTTATTTATGCCATGAGCCAAGAATCTCTGAACCTATTTACCCATGAGCCAAGAGTCTCTGGGCCTATTAACCCCTTGGGCTAAATGTCTGGGCATATTTACCAATGAACCAAGAATATCTCTGCTTATTTTCCCAATGAGCCAATAGCCTGTCTCTTGAGCCAATAGCCTGTCTCTTGAGCCTATTGAGATGAGGCTATGTGCATACTGTATGTGCACATGTTACACAGTGCTTGCAATGTTGTTATATACCTTTACTACCGGATGTACGAAACAAATTAAAATTAATAATTAATGTACCTTGTCTTTGCCACAAATCCATTATGATGATGAACTTGATCACTGTCAGGGGCCATGTGGGAAGCCAGATCAACTTTGTTAGGTCTCTGTTAATGAAGCTGGTGACTTCTCCTAGCGATCGTTTTGTAATTGGATATACTTCATAACCATTATACCTATGAAGATTCAAAAGATAGTGGGTATCGTTGCAAATAATACGAGGGTTCTCACTGAGGACACGCTCAGGCAAGCTACAAATGCGTTTATCTGTACATGAAGCATGAATTATTTTTGTGTTTGTGGAATCTGTTACTATATGATAGGAAACTGATGTCTTATCTGCATAGAGCTCCCGTAATCTTCTTGTTACGTATTTATACACGCTCCGTTCACCACCATAGACCTCTTCGGGAGCACCCGGACTGAGTTGAATTTGATTTGTGTTTTGAATGAACTTGGTTGCCACCATTTTCAGTGGGACTTCAGTTTCGTATTGATCTTCAAAAGTGATGTTAGCAGTTCCATTGGTGTCTAGGGCTACATGTGACTCCACAGGCATCCCCCTAGACTGGGAATGAACACAACTCTCCTCACGGTGTTCTGGCCCTTCAACTGGAAGTTTCTCAAAGGAGTTCCATATTTCACAAACACAGGCAAATTTTGCTTGGAGAGCCTTGCGTGACTTTTCTGTCTGGGTGTGGCCCAAGCATGCACCCAGGCCATACCACGCTCCACGACACAACCTGTGATGTGTAAAGATGAGGAAACATTTTTACTGCACAATAAAAATTGGAATTCTATTGATAAACTTTTGTCTAAAATGAAATTCACAGTTCTTCTGCATGTGAACTATAATTCATAAATATTAAATGCTTTATTTTGAAAGTAAAACCAAAACGTACCTTATTTCATCTTCACAGTTTCCTACCTCGTGCTTCAAACTCACACGGTATTTTGTGCTACCCACTCACCCCTCGGTGCCTTTTTTTGATAATTACTTACCCACTCCCCCAAATTTAATAGTTAAGACATGCAAACTCACCAGTGTAATCAGTACAATCAAATTATATTGTAGTTATGTAGAACTCAATTTTTTTCTACATTGTACCTATTTATAATCTTACCTTTGTATGTTAGATTACCTGCCTGAAACTCTATGCGTGATAGTGGCTTTGCAAGAATGCGAGAACATCAATATTATGTACTCTCTCAACCCAATGTACTGTCTTGTAAATAAATAATTGATGCTATAATTTAGACGAGCCATTATCACAGACAAAATGAAACTTCTTATCAAGTGAACCATTACAGGCTTGAGCTTGGGCACTTTGGTCCCGCTCTCAACCATCAGTCAACTGGTGTACAAGTTTTTGAGCCTATTGGGCTTTATCATATCTACATTAAAACTGTGTATGGAGTCTGCCTCCACCACATCACTGTTACATGTGATAAAGATCTGACCCTCTCTGATGATCCCTTTACCTGGAATCAGTTCTGTATTGGGATAGTGATAAACAGGCGATTTCTAAATCTTTAGCTGCATAGAATACTATAACATATATAGAATCAACTCTCCTTTCATGGTACCAAACAACAAACCACCAAATAAACAACAAACCAATATGTAAACAACAAACCACAAATACAAAACAGACCAACAAATACACAATAGATCAATGCATACACAACAGATTAACAAATACAAAACAGACCAACAGAGACACAATAAACAAATGAATACACAACATATTAACAAATACAAAACAGACCAACAAATAATAATTCCCAAATTATCAAATAAAGTACCAAATGCACCACAAATGAACAAATACACAACAGATCAACAAATACACAACAGGCCAACAAATAAACAACAGGCCAACAAATAAACAACAGACCAACAAATAAACAACAGACCAACAAATAAACAACACACTACCAAATGTACCACAAACCCACAAATACACAACAAATCAACAAATTAGAGCTAGCAAACTGTATGAGGTCGTGGTTCTTCCCTGCCCCTTAATTAACAATGGTCCAGGACGGAACGAAACGTTATGTTAAATTTAGCAGATGCATCACTATTTGCTGGTAACGTTTTCACCCCTGCTCATAGATGGGCATGATCTCTGTATCCGTTCCATCTCTTTTTTTTTTTTTTTTTTTTACAGAATGGGTTCTATCTGTCTATATCCATTCCATTTCATTCCTCACAGACTGGGTATATGGTGTGCCTCTGTATCCGTTTCATCCCTGCTCACAGGAAGGGTATAATGAGTCTTTGTATAGGTCCATCCCTGCTCGCAGGATGTATATGATCTGCCTCTGTATCAGTACCACCCTCACTCACAGGATGGGCATATGGCGTGTGTCTCTGTCCGTCCCATTCCTGCTCACTGGATGGGTGTGTGGTGGGCATCTTTATCCATTCCACCCTCGCTCACAGAATGGGTATACGCTATGTTCATTCCATCCAGCAGCAGACCCCAAAAACACTTTCTTCAATTTTAATATGTTATTCACTTAAGATAGGAATTTTCTCAAATATAAATCAATATTATATTTACCTGAATTTTCCTGAGGGTCACTAGCACTAGTGGCCTCGATGAGGACAGGAAGCCAGCGGCTTGTTAAAGGTTAAAGTTTGTTCCATGTATTATCATATTGTGTATAGTTGGGTTTATGTTAGGTTAAATTAGGTGCTTAGGTTCTGTTGGTAATTATTTGTATTTGTAGTACGTGGGTGTGTTGCGTTACAATTCGAACGGAGGTCGTCAGCGAAGCACTGTTCGAGAAATGTTCGAATGTTATTAATTGTGAGTAGTGTGTAAAGCGTTTTTTATTCATGAACGGGATTTGGTGCCTGTATAATCCATTTTTATCTTTACTGATAAAGATAAGACTAAGCTAGCATAACAGGCGGTTGACCCAAAAAAAAAATTTGCCAGTCTTAACGTACAATACTTCGTAATCAAAATTTGTATTTTTTAAATATTAGTCAATATTACTTACTACATAATAGAATGTGTTGAATAGTTAGGTCTAACTTAGCATAGGTGGTTAGGTTCCGTTGGCAATTGTTGGTATTTGCAGTACGTGATTGAAGCATTTAGAAAGGTCGGAATCGAGCAGAGGACGAGAATGAAGCCCTGTTCGAGAAATGTACATACGTCATTGTAGGTGAATCATGTTTGAAAGTGGTTTTTCAATCGTAAACAGGGGGTTTGGTAGCTTAATAAACGAGCATTGTCCAATGTTTATGAAGACGGGCTGCTCCCTTCTCAGTTGGTGAGCAGTTGTGCCAGGCCGCCGGCGCCTCTGGTTTACTTAGCGCCGAGGTGAATATCAGTGTTGTGGCTTTGTGTGTGTAGCGGGAGTTGGGTACCAAGCCCAACACATCCCGCTTAATATGCAAGAGGTGCTTTAATGGCCGGAGGGCCAAGGAACATACCAGGCTGTGACAAAGGTTCGTGCATTAATCAAACGTAGATTGAGAAGCTGGTTTACAATGATGTAAGGAGTCATTGCAACTATAGTTATATATACTGTAGTGTTTAACTTCTTACGCGCATAAGGGCTATAATATTCTTGACCCTGTAACCAAGTTTAGTAAAAATCGCATGTTATGCCACGTTTAAATAGAAGCCTGACTAAAAGGTGGGGAAACAGTTTTCGTGAAAGAGGAAATAATGATGCATAGGCCAGCCAGAGAACTATGTAAGCCTATACTGTATGTCGTCAGTGACTTGGGATACAAGAGTGCTTACAGTCTTCTACAGCCAATAGCACACATGGCATTTCGGGCAGGTCCTTAATCCTAATTTTCCCCGGAATACAGTGACTTGGGATGAAGATACCACTATATGGGACGCTCCCGGATACAGTATTGACTTTGAGCTCTGTAATTACTTCATATACTCAGGAATATTGGAAGATATTCTTGTGCTGTACCCAGATTTTGCTAGTGGGGGGGGGGCTAATAGAACTTCCTTACATTATATGTTCTCACCTGAATTTTAGTCAGTTGATTTTTTTTTTTTGTAGTGAGGCTTGTATTTTCTCCCCTGATTCCATGTACGACTAATCATCCTGTGAGATGGGAATATTAGGTGAACTTACAGCTAGTTTTTTTTTATCTACCCTGTGTAATCTTTTATATAGTATTTCTCAAATCATTAGATTTACTGGTGTCGATTTCACTTTACCTCAGATCTACAAGATTTTGTCGAAGTTTTTGGTGTATTATTGTATACTGTCGAAAATTGTAACTGTTGTTTTCAGAATACATAGCTATCCATGGGTGAATATTTTTGTTGATAAAAAGCAGGCTGATAAAATAGCGTCCCCGCGGCCCGGTCCTCCACAGGCCTTTTTTTTTTTTTTTTTTTTTTTTTTTTTTTACACACTCCCCAGGAAGCAGCCTGTAGCATATGTCTAACTCCCAGATACCAATTTACTGCTAGGTAACAAGGGCATCAGGGTGAAAGAAACTGTCCATTTTGTTTCCGCCTCTACCGGGGATCGAACCCGAACTTCCGGTCTACGAATCCGAGGCGTTGTCCACTGTGGATCACTGTGCTTCAATCTACATTGAAGAATTCCCATGTAAATGACAATGCAAGGCTCGCGATAATAACAAGTGTTCTAATGTTTACAGAATAAATACTATGCAGGATAAAGTACAGTAATCTCACGTATAACAACTTACACCTTTCAAAACAGTGTACTTACAGAAAGAATGGTATCTGCATCATCAGAAACAGCACAGTCAGGCCACACTTGTTAAATTTGTTTGACAATCTGGAATATATCAGAAGTTGTTAATTGTTTCTAGAGACGGCACACACTATATATATATATATATATATATATATATATATATATATATATATATATATATATATATATATATATATATATATATATATATATAATATTATATATTTATATAATATATATTATATAATATATATATAATATATATATATATATATCCATTTAAAACATATCGAATAAGAATGGGGTCCAGTATAATAGAAAATGGATTTGTGTTCTGTACAAGGCATTGCCATACTGTATAGTTAAATATTGCATACTCACTGCTGCTGTAGACCTATATTTCAAGGACGTAGACCACTGTGCTACACTGAATTGATACTATCAACACCATGAGAGATGCCAATAACAACGTAAATATGAACATTTGGATAAAGAGTTCATTAAGTGCACCTTACAACACAGAAGCAGCCAAGCCAGAATTACTTACATTCTGAGGAGCCAGCCACAAGTGACGAGATGGAAGATCAGCTGCCACAGCAGTAGAACACTTCCCAGGACGATATCGGTGAGGATTATGTTCAACACAGCAGTGTAATCCACCACCACATTTGTCACCCACAGCGTCAGCATCGCTACACTGCCTGCTGCCGCTTTCCATGTCATCTTTCACCTGTATCAACCGAATAATATGTGTTACTTTATGTAACTTTACAGTCTGTGTGTTTTCGTCCAGATTTAATGTGTCTTCTTGGCCCTGGATAAAATCCGAGCACTCGGATAGGTCGGAGGAACATTAGGAAGAACTTGTACAAGAATAGGCATAGTGAGGTGGACTGATAATGATAATTTGATTTACGGAAAAGTACATACATACAAAATGAGTTATAAGTAGAATCTTGGATTTCTAGAGAACACAAGTGTATATACTATGACTAAAGCCACTCGTACGCACAGCGTTTCAGGCAAATCTCAGTGATAATGACCTAATTGTTTGGTGGCCCGTGCCACCTATTGGGGGGCTTAATCATCATCAATCAATTAATCAGATGAGAGATTTCAATCCACACGCTGGAGTCCCTCATGATTCTGTCCTAACTACAACTCTATGCATCCTATACACGATGCATATGAGTGTATATGAGTGGGATTGGGTGGTTATAAATAGGAGCTGCCTCGTATGGGCCAACAGGCCTTCTGCAGTTGCCTTTGTTCTTATGTTCTTACACAAACGACATCCATGACCCCATGTATATAAACTCGCTGACAATACGCTATGCAAACGACGTCACACAACTCCATACAGGAGCTGCAACAATTTAAATTGTAAAGCATGAGACGAAATCTACCGAATCACACAATGGTAATATAACTAGCAGGTCCAGACAAACTCAACAAAGTCAACAACCATAACGCGCCAACACAATTCCACTAGAACACTATTGTCGCTCACCCATACGAACTTGCATGCCAGTTTCACCAACATCCACAGTATTGGACTAAAGCTTGAGAAAAAACTTAAGAACACAAACACACACACAGGCATGAGTTACGCAACCCGTTCTCGCACTTTCTTACAGTCAATATTGACTTATTAAATACGTGCACATGTGACATACTAAAGATACTAGTTTACCTTGAAAAGCTTCATAGAAAACACCGACCTTATGAGGTTACGAGGAAAGGCTGCGTGAAATGCACCTCACGACACTGGAAGACAGACGAGTAAGGGAAGATATGATCACTACCTCCAAAATTCTCAGAGGAATTGAGAGGGTAGATAAGGATAAAATGTTTAACACGGGTGGTACGCGAACAAGGGGACACAAGTGGAGACTGAGTACCCAAATGAGCCACTGGGACGTTAGAAAGAACTGTTTCAGTGTCAGAGTAGTTAACAAGTGGAATGCATTAGACAGTGATGTGGTGAAGGCTGACGCCATGCACAGTTTCAAATGTAGATATGATAGAGCCCAGTAGGCTCAGGAATCTGTACATCAGTTGATTGACGGTTTAGAGGAGGGATCAAAGAGCCAGAGCTCAACCCCCGCAAGCACAACTAGACGAGTACACACACACACACACACACACACACACACACACACACACACACACACACACAGAGGCAGTGAAGGGGGCTGGTGGCTGAGTGGACAGCGCTCTTGACTCGTGGACCTAGGAACCGGAGTTCGATTCCGGCACCGCCGAAAAAACAAATGGGCAGAGTTTCCTTCACCCTGATGCCCCCTGTTATCTAGCAGTAAATAGGTACCTGAGAGTTAGACGGCTGCTACAGGCTGCTTCCTGTGTGTGTGTTGGGGGGGGGGGGAGGGAAAAGTAGTTAGTAACAGTTGATAGACGGTTGAGAGGCGGACCGAAAGAGCAGAGCTCAAACCCACTCAAGCACAACTAGGTGAGTATACACAGCCTCGCGGCTGAATGGACAGCGCTTGGGTAATGCACAGGGTGATTCACCCTGATGAACCTGTTCACCTAGCAGTAAATAGGTACTTGGGAGTTAGACAGCTGCTACGGGCTGCTTCCTGAGGGTGTGTGTGTTAAGAGATAAATATATGTAGTAGATATAATAGAGGAAAACTTTATTGGTTAGAAAGGCGGAGTCCAAGAGCTAATAGCTCGATCCTGCAGACACAAACATGCACGAATATCCACACTCTAACACATCCACTCATAACGTAAACACCACTTGCACTCTTCCTAGAAGCCAAAACAAACCAAATGAAACTATAACGTATACAAAAACATTTTAATGGATTTTTAACATATACTGGCAGGACTACATCATCACAGAGGAAACATCCGACCAATGAATATCAAGCTACCATGAATATCACGCATGAATATCACGCTACTTTCCTCTATGACACATTACCCAGAAATACACACAATCTCTTCACAATACATAGCCCACATCACCAACCCGCATACACATAATAAAAAAATGACTGACCACATATCATGCAAACTGCCCAGCTGGCCCTCAAACCAAATAATTCTCTCTCACTTGACCAAATCACCTCTCTGGGGTATCTTTCCTTTTCTTATTTGACATTGAGATGCAAGACTGTCCGAAATAAAGAAATAGCATGGCAACAAATATAGGAACTGGATATAACAAAACCAAATATCCAACCATAATTTATCCGTGCATTTGCTAGTCTTCCAAGATGTTTAGCATGTTTAGGGATTTAAACAAGGGGGAAGGGAGGGCTGAGTGTTGCCTGAAAGCAGAGTTTGTTATTGTTCTGATAGCAGATTTTTGGTGGGTGATGATGGACTTGAGGTGGTTTGCAGTGGTTGAACCCCATGCAAAGATACCATAATTAAGATAGGGATAGATTAGTGCATAATATAGTGACAGGAGAGCAGCATTAGGTACAAAATATCTGATTTTAGAGTATACCAACTGTTTTAGAGACTTTCTTAGTTATGTGTTGTATGCTGAAGTCGAGTCTCTTGTCTAGGTATAAGAGGAGGTTGTGATTAACAGTATCAAAGGCCTTTCTCAGCTCACTGAAGACTCCAATCGACTGAATAGATCACATATGATCGTACGTAATTTATTACTCGCAATAGCTAGCCGTCTATCCCTCCAATAGTTTCGATTCGCATTATGAATGAGAGGGTCGAAATCCGAGTAAAGGATTCGTTTTTAGGAGTTGGGACAGGCAGAAACAGCTTCCTTAGCAGCAGCATCTGCGAGATCGTTGGAACTTGAAAGGAACTCTGAGTTCGGGAACCTGGAAAACTCGACTGTCTTATATTGGATAATGGTGAGGAACCGACACTAACGGACTAAGATCACCATGGGATGTGGGGCTTAAAAGACGCCACGGCCATAAAAACATTGTGGGTTCAACTACAACTAATTAACATAACTGCATAGAGTTCTACCATAAAAATAGGGAGAGAGAAGGTTACACATAAAAGGAAAAATCAGACACATCAGAAAAAATAAGCCAATGACATCGGCAAACTTCGACTCATCCGAAAACAATACGGCAGTTAGTGAGAGTGTCAGTTAGTGAGAGTGTCAGTTAGTGAGAGTGGCAGTTAGTGAGAGTGGCAGTTAGTGAGAGTGGCAGTTAGTGAGAGTGGCAGTTAGAGAGTGGCAGTTAGTGAGAGTGGCAGTTAGTGAGAGTGGCAGCTAGTGAGAGTGGCAGCTAGTGAGAGTGGCAGCTAGTGAGAGTGGCAGCTAGTGAGAGTGGCAGCTACTGAGAATGTTCAATGAAAAGGTGTTTTAGAACAGTGAGAAAGGGTGGGAGTTGGGCGAGGGGGAAGATTAAGCCTTCACCGCAAAGATTACGTCTTTAATTTTTTTACAAGGACCATAAATAAATAATAATAATTATATAAATATTTATTCAGGTATAAGTACCTACATACAAGAAGAGTTAAACAGAATTTTGGATTTCTAGATAGATGTCTAAAGCCACTAATACGCACAGCGTTTCTGGCAAGATGTGGGGAAAAACACTTGGACTAAAAATTAAAACTGAAATCAAAGCATAAATTGAATTGAAAAAAGGAAAAAAACAAGAAAAAAAGTGATAATATTTACGTGATGGATGGAACAGCAGATATCGAAACGGAAGAGCAGAAGTAATTTTAACTAAATAAACACAAGACTACAATTGTTGTAGTATTGACTACTTGAAAAGACTACTACTCCCCATGAGGAGTAAGTGAGGGGTCATAGAGAAAGAAGCATGCAAGCGTGCAATCCGTGATAGAAGCATGCAAGCGTGCAATCCGTACAGTGAGAATACAAAGGACAGTAAGCAGCATGGCTTTCAAGAGGGGTCATGATGCGGTACGAGTGAGAATGGCGACTTTGAAGGTTATGCAAAGTATCAAAGTCTGCATCAAGCGCATCGGCTTGGGACGAGCGAAAGAGCCACCAACTGAGGTGCAAGATCGCATACTGCAAAACACCAAAGGGGAAAGCAGACGAATTAGCGGGACATGCATAGTCCAATTCAGGAATTACTACAGAGGAGTGCAGTCAGTAGTCAACCCAACCTAACCTACGGTAACTTAACCCAACTAACCCCAACCTACGGTAGCTTGGCCTAACTCAACGTAAGCTACATAACGTCATTGTTATGACGTCACACACCGACGTCATTATAACGATATAGATGTCAGATCCAATGAAATTGCGTCACTGGATAGCAGGTGTCTCAGTGACGCAATTTCATTTATTGTATATTGGAGAGAGAAGTATATTCCGGTTAAAAAAGCATGGCAACTTCAGGGGGGAAGGGGGTTCTTCGAACATTAGGGGGGGGGGGACTCGTGTAGTTTGTCACAGTAGTTATGTATCCTGTGTAGTTGCCAGGGGTGGGTATGTATCCTGTGTAGTTGCCAGGTTGGTTATGTATCCTGTGTAGTTGCTAGGGTGGTTATGTATCCTGTGTAGTTGCCAGGTTGGTTATGTATCCTGTGTAGTTGCCAGGGTGGTTATGTATCCTGTGTAGTTGCCAGGGTTGGTTATGTATCCTGTGTAGTTGCCAGGGGTGGTTATGTATCCTGTGCAGTTGCCAGGATGGTTATGTATCCTGTGTAGTTGCCAGGGTTGGTTATGTATCTCGTGTAGTTGCTAGGGTAGTTATGTCCTAAGACGAACGAGAGGACATACGTGGAAGCTGGAAACTCACATTAATGAGTCTAAGAAATGAGAGGAAATGTTCGCATATACCCTGTGCGGATAGTCAACAGGTGGATTGTACTACAATAATTTGTGGAAGCCACCTCCAACGACAACATTAAATCCGGACTCGACAAAATATACCGAATGCCAGAATAATGAAAGTATATAACAACCGAACAAATCCACAAAAGGCCGTGACGAGGATTCGAACCTGCGTCCGGGAGCATCCCAGACACTGCATTAATCGACTGAGCTACGACAGGGTTAAAAAGGGTTGAAACCGAAGTTCTACTGAACTTATAAAACAACCGGTACAACAACGCTATCAAGGCGGAGCATCAAGTTCTAGACCTCTCGGCTGTAGTCACCTGAGAGGTGAGTACAGATAGCTTCATAGACCCCTACTGGATGGAGGTCGCTTTGTGCCTCTGGCGCTATCACCGTTTCACCGTCGCTCACAGGATGGGTGTGGGGTGCATAATAATAATAATAATCACGCCATATTCTGTTTTTTTTTTGTAACTTGTATACCATTGGATAAATTGACAAATAAAGTTCTTTCCACAGGATAAATTACAGGCGAGATGGCTGCCTGTATATTGCGTTCATAATTGAAAAGATAACTTAGAGACATAATCAGAGGTCTCCTTCTGCAACACGTGATTGCCGTGCACTGGTTCCTTGCATGGTAGCTGCCAAACTTTGCAGTATGTTATACCGTTATATCTCTGTTTACATTTTCAAACTTCCTCTGGGAAAGGTATATTTGAACATATTCCACTCACTCTCGCAATATTTATGGAATGACCCAGAACCGGACATGCTGCCATGCACTCCTATGCTTGCCGGTGCGTATAGTGGGAGTCTGTGTACATTCTCCGCCAGATAGCGTATATCTTAAACATTCTTCCCTATATATATATGTGTGTGTTAAATTGCATTTGTTTCAATATTAAATAACCATATCACCTTATTAACAAAACATCCGTTTCTATATCCGATATGCTCTGATTAGAATTAAACGACTTATTGAATATATTTACAGAGGTAATGCCCCTCTAATGTTTCCAACACGAATATAGCTCGTATTCTGTATTTTCTGTACCAGAATCAACACTCACTTCACTGTACGGCTCAATACTATAAAGTAACGGTATTGTAGGAGCCGAAAACGGCACGTACACCTCCCCTCGAGGTTGTAGCCACACTGATGACCACAAGTTCAAGGACCTGTTTACCCCGCTGCCAGACGTCTAGAATTTCCTCAAGCAGTCCTCACAAGTTACCGATGCACTAGATGAATCTACTTTTAATATAGCTAAACTATTAAAGGTTAAATATATTATATTTCGTAATTGAGAGCTTCCTTAAAATCTCTCATTGCTATATATAGCATGAATTAAAATTCGGTGACATTATAGTAAGCTTTCGCTGATCATCTATTCATATTTAATGGTAGTGTTATAGGTAGGAATCAAACGCAGTGAAAAATTACCAGCATTCTAAACATTTAGTGTTTGGTATTTGCCAGTAAATACAACGAAAGTAACTTGCTTGTCATGCTTGTGCATGCTTGTCATCCTGACAGCATGCACCATGCGTGGTCATGATGCGCATTATATAATATATATATATATATATATATATATATATATATATATATATATATATATATATATATATATATATATATATATATAATACATATATACATATATATATGATTGGTTGATACAAAGAGTGCTTAAAGGTTATGGATCTCTTGAAGCTCCTCCGCTTCAGGACGGGAACCGAAGATGCAGCAGGCGTTTCCCCTCTGGAACGCCACACTGAGGCGCTGAGACAAAAAACTGGCAGCTCTTGGGTCCCTGGTGACGTCAATGAGCTTAGAGCCCAATTCCTTGAGAAATCCCAAAGCACTCTTACCCCAGGGGCCATGCATCTCAGACGCTATGGAAACAAAGGTGTATCGACCTTCCAATCGCCTGTATTTGACTGATTTTGCTATTTCCCTGTGATTGGCCGCCCCACCTGCTTGATCAGCACCGAAGTGTACATAGGTGTCAGCCAGGGTGGATACACACGTGTAGTCTCACACCAAGTGTCTGCCTCCCTTCTAGGAGTATATGGTGATGCCATCAGGGCGAAGTGCGGGGAAATCCATGTTTTGGTCCCCCTAGGATGCGAGGTTCTCTCTCCGCTGGGCACTGAGCTGAGACGAGGTCAGACCTCAAATTACGACTCTTTATACCGAAAATATCACGATTACTGAAAACGGCGAAGGGTCATATTTTGCCCAAACCCCCCTGCAGTTTTCAAAATATCTGAAATGTCGGAAATTTCACTCCTGAGCGTTATTTTTGAGCCGAATTCTGATTCTCTGCACCTATTTTTATTTTTAAATTACGACTATTTATACCGAAAATATGCCAATTACTGAAAACAGCGATGGGTTATATTTTCCCATAACCCCCTTGCAGTTTTCACAATATCTGAAATGTCGGAAATTTAACGCCTGAGCATTATTTTTGAGCCGAATTCTGACTCTCTGCACCTATTTTCATTTTCCAATTACGATTTTTTATACCGAAAATATTCCATTTACTGAAAACAGCGATGGGTTATATTTTCCCATAACCCCCTTGCAGTTTTCATAATATCTGAAATGTCGGAAATTTAACGCCTGAGCGTGATTTTTGAGCCGAATTCTGACTCTCTGCAGCTATTTTCATTTTCCAATTACGAATTTTTATACCGAAACTATGCCAATTACTGAAAACGGCAATGGGTCATATTTTCTGCCCCAGCCTGCTGTTCCCTGTCACAGCCTGCCCTTCCCTGCTCTGGAATCCCCTCTACGTGCTATGACAAGCATAATCCGTGTCATGGCATGTTTTTCCCTGCCATAGCTTGCCTTTCCCTGCTCTGTCATACCTTCTAACACGCTGTGGCATGCGTAACCCTGGCATGGCTTACTTCCCACTTAATGTCATAAAAAATCATATAAGGGCAAGATCAGGCTGAGTTACAGTGCATGAAATGGATGTAGCCTACACCTATTCAGAAAGAAAGCATAGCTGTAAACATCCCTGTTGTAAAGTAGTCACGGACATTGTAACAGTTGGTAACAATTTCTTACAATGCCGTAGTATTGTATTGTATTTCTTACAATACAAAGTTACTACAATGCCGTAGTGCTTCAATGAAGGTGAATGTAAGACCCAATTGAATTTTTTAGTGTATTAAAAATCAAATTTTCGGATGTCAGTGTCATCCTTTTCCAAGGTACAGTACTGTATACAATGTTGTGACAGCACTGTATACAGTACCTTGAGAATTTATTTTTTAATGCACTAAAATATCTAAAAATTTAATTTTAAATTCATTAAAATATAAATTGGGTCTTTCATTCGCCTTCATATGAATTTTTGTTGCATCTTGTTGCCATTTCCTTAGCTAAACAAATATTTCAGCTCCTGAATCGTTTTTCTTTGCTACAAAACTCATGACATGCTCTGGTCATTTATTCAGGGAACAGAGAAAAATAAATTAAAGTTGATTAAGCAATGGTTTGTAAAGATATAATGCAGAAAGACAAGATGAATGTGTGTGTGTATCAGGACGCTGCGACGGGCGGGAAAATGGGCGCCAAGTATAAAAGGCGGATGCTGCGGCGCCCTCCCTCAGTCCACGTGCATCTTCAGCAGAGGTAGGTCGTGTTCTTGGGGCCTCTGGGATTTTTTATTTTACAGGTGGCGATTTCTTTAATTATTTAATACATTTGCGTCTTTATATTTGTTGTTATGGAATGCATTTAAGCCGAGAATAATTATTTTACGTGTTGCTGAGGGTTGTATGTGGGGGAAGACCTCACAAGCTATTACAGGTTGATGTAATTTAGTAAGTTTTATGTTTTAGATATTGTCAATGCCCCGTCCTCCCTGCATCACCCCCCCCCCCTTGTCCCGCCTGCATCACCCCCCCCCTCTTGTCCCGCCTGCATCACCCCCCCCCTCTTGTCCCGCCTGCATCACCCCCCCTCTTGTCCCGCCTGCATCACCCCCCCCTTGTCCCGCCTGCATCACCCCCCCCTCTTGTCCCGCCTGCATCACCCCCCCCTCTTATCCCGCCTGCATCACCCCCCCCCCTCTTGTCCCGCCTGCATCACCCCCCTCTTATCCCGCCTGCATCACCCCCCCCTCTTATCCCGCCTGCATCACCCCCCCCTCTTGTCCCGCCTGCATCACCCCCCCTCTTATCCCGCCTGCATCACCCCCCCCTCTTATCCCGCCTGCATCACCCCCCCTCTTATCCCGCCTGCATCACCCCCCCCTCTTATCCCGCCTGCATCACCCCCCCTCTTATCCCGCCTGCATCACCCCGCCCTTGTCCCGCCTGCATCACCCCCCTTGTCCCGCCTGCATCACCCCCCCCTCTTATCCCGCCTGCATCACCCCCCCCCCCTTGTCCCGCCTGCATCACCCCCCCTCTTATCCCGCCTGCATCACCCCCCCCTCTTATCCCGCCTGCATCACCCCCCCTCTTATCCCGCCTGCATCACCCCCCCTTGTCCCGCCTGCATCACCCCCCCCTCTTATCCCGCCTGCATCACCCCCCTCTTATCCCGCCTGCATCACTCCCCCTCTTGTCCCGCCTGCATCACCCCCCCCTTGTCCCGCCTGTATCACCCCCCCTTGTCCCGCCTGCATCACCCCCCGTCTTGTCCCGCCTGCATCACCCCCCCTCTTGTCCCGCCTGCATCACCCCCCCCCTCTTATCCCGCCTGAATCACCCCCCCCCCCTCTTGTCCCGCCTGCATCACCCCCCCCCCCTCTTGTCCCGCCTGCATCACCCCCCCTCTTATCCCGCCTGCATCACCCCCCCCTCTTGTCCCGCCTGCATCACCCCCCCCTCTTGTCCCGCCTGCATCACCCCCCCCCCCTTTTGTCCCGCCTGCATCACCCCCCCTTTCTTGTCCCGCCTGCATCACCCCCCTTTCTTGTCCCGCCTGCATCACCCCCCCTCTTGTCCCCCCTTCATCACCCCCCTTGCCCCCCCCCTCTTGTCCCCCCTGCCCCCCCCCACCTGCAATAATTGGGGTATATAATATATTTGATTATATTTTATAATATAATACAATATAAAATATATTAATTCTCAAATTTTTCTTTCCAGAATGCCTCCTCCTTGTGTAGTCTACTCAACTATTGAAGATAAATCGAGAACAAACTTTTGAAGATATAGATGATTGACCCACTAAATGACCGACAATGAAATCATTCAAAAATAGGTATGAGAGGGGTCGAGGTTTATGAAAGAGACACTTGAGCTTGTGCTCAATTCCTGCAAAAAACAGGTGGTATAGGTGAGTTCATGATCAGCAACGTGTTGGTCTGAGATCCATGGCATTATGACAAGATTTTGGATATGGTATATATCTTACAATCATTATGAAGTTCGTTATATTTCAGGTAAAATATTTTAGCTCCTTAGTATGTGTTTTAGAGTGGGTAGTGGATATACAGTATTAAGTTTGCTATATTTTCTTTGTGGAAATCATAAAACTCGTTTGCCTTCAAACAAGTTTTGGGGCTTGCCTTCAACCATTCAAGTAATCTTGGTGCATAATCTTGGCCCTGGGTATGCCTTTGCCCTGGGTACGCCTTTGCTCTGGGTATGCCTTTGCCCTGGGTACGCCTTTGCTCTGGGTATGCCTTTGCCCTGGGTACGCCTTTGCTCTGGGTATGCCTTTGCCCTGGGTACGCCTTTGCTCTGGGTATGCCTTTGCCCTGGGTACGCCTTTGCTCTGGGTATGCCTTTGCCCTGGGTACGCCTTTGCTCTGGGTATGCCTTTGCCCTGGGTACGCCTTTGCTCTGGGTATGCCTTTGCCCTGGGTAGTCCTGGGGCACGCCAATGCCCTAGGTAGTCCTGAGTTTACATTATTTTCTTGTAATTAAATTTTACACCTAATAATTTTGATATAAAATTTGCACTAAATGATTTTGCCATTTTCTTTTAATACCCTAATACTTATATAAATTATTTTCCCTATCAGTATATTTTTTTACCTTTACAGCATATGTGTTTTTAATATTTTCCAAATCTTTTTCCCTTACAAGGTGACTTTATTATTTTACAGTGGTTTATTGATTTTTTCCATTATTGTCTATTACTTTCTAAACAGACTATGTATGTAATTATTTAATTTGCAACCTATTTCTAAAATTGTTTTTCCTTTG